CTGGAATATTTCTAGAGCGTCCATGAAATGTTTCATAGACTTCCATGATGAAATATTTCATGAACTTCCACGGACTTACATGGACATGGTGTCATGGAGTTCCATGGACTTCCATGAAAATTTTCATTTTTTCATGGACTTCCATGGACTTGAACGTTTCATGGAAGTCCACGGAAGTCCATGGACTGGTTCCATGGAACTCCACGGAACTCCATGGACTTCCATGAAATATTTCACTAAAAAATACTATAATGTAGATGATTGAGCCGATGGGCCTTTGAAAGGGCGGACGCGGTACAGTTTCAATGTTCTGCTGGGCGATAGGTTTGGAGCGCATGGAGCTCCGGGCCGCGGCGAGGAAAGAGGGATCACGTCGGGGGACAATCAGGGGTTGGGGGGCACAGGTGACAATTTCGTGGAGTCGGAGCGTCATGGGACCGCCAAGTATGGACGGGCGTTTTGAGTGGGTAAAAAATGAAGACTTCATGGTCGCGTCCTTTGTGTGTGCTGCCTTACAGAAGAGCAGCTATCGATGTATGTATGTAGTACCAAGTAGTACAGTAGATTGTACCAGAGGGTTTGGTATAATCCCACTCCATCTCGACGCACAAGGAACGGCCGAAACCTGGCGTATATTGCACACAGCTCGTGGGGTGTGTGTGTGGGGGGTCGGTAGAGCCGTCGAGCGAGGGCCTCTCGTCTTACCTGGGCCAGAGGCGGCAGAGGATCTCCATAGCCCAGCAACAGCACACCCGGCACCAGGGATTGACGTTGTTGCCGGTGGTATGGTTAAGAGGTGGTGCGGTCCTTCCACAGAGTACGCCAGACCTACTGTAGCTGCCGGCTTTCCCACGCACCAGGGGCACAGGACCAGCAGCACATTTCACGGTTGACTTGGTAGGCCTCGAGACCCGAACCCAGTAACTCTAGGGCCTGATCGCCAGCTCCTTGTGGCAGGATTATACAGCAGCATGTAGCATATAGACTACAACCCAAATGTTTTTTTCAGCTTCAGCCGCCATGTTGACACAACCTACCGGCGTGCTTCCGCTGCAACAGACCAACAGGCATGCGCTTCCCACGACAGCTTGCCTGCAGCAGGATGGCTGGGCTTAGTCGTGGCGGCTCCAGCAGCTGGGCTCTGTGTCAGCTTGTCACAGGAGCCCCGTTTTTCCCGAACTGCTCTACACATGTATGCTGTAGGTTGATCTCTCGGAAAATAGTGGCGGAGGAATTTCGTCCAATCAAATCAGAGCGAACCAAACACAGGAACGGTCAGGTGGAGCGCTACACGCAGTACTGCGAACACGAGTGCGTCCCGGTTCGTGCGTGTTGCACGTCAAGGGTGACTTCAGCTGTTGAGCAAATGGTTTCTGTGCGTCAAGCCGGCGAGACCAGTCAAGACCAAGCAAGTGTAAGTGGTGGTCAGGACCCGACTGCTTCATCCGGGGAACAGCAGCAACGCCAGCATGCTGAAGACGGCGAAAATGTGGCCCATCAACAACCCGATAATCGCATGGCGGCAGCCATGAAGAGAGGAGGCATCATGGGCTGGGGATCCTACTTGACGTTCGCCTGGGCAGGGTCTTTCCTCAAGCTCGGCTCCACTGTCACCCTCAAGGAGGAGCACCTTGAAGGAATCTACGACAAGCACGAGAGGTGGGAAGCGGGACCAACAAACATGTTCAACGACAGGGGTTTTGGCCGCTGCCGCGGCTGGTCAATGGAGCGATTCCAAGATATAGCTATGTTTTCCTTCCGCAACAACATGCTTGACGGTGTGTTTTTGATGTGGGCATGGTCCAGATGTTTGTGTGGCATGTTGTTCCCGGCACTCGTGGCAGGCCTTGACTGCGTTTACCCATCCAACCCATCCACCAACAAAACAGTATTTGAACAAACGCCGCATGTTTGGCACCCGATCCCAAGATGACAAGTCTCGTGTGACCACGACGCTGCGGTGTGCTGACACAGAAAGCACCTCGGGCGCCTTGAACCCACCGGGAAATCGAGACAACCTATCCATCTGACTGACGAAGGCAGGGCTGTGGCTGTGGCTGTGGCTCTTCGCGGACATTCGTAAAGACGCAGAAAAACACAACAGGGGCGTTGAACTCGAACCCAAAGACCATCATCATACAGCAATAGGTTGCCCGGAATAATGCGGGTGGTTGACAGCCGATTCCGATTTCACCGGCATTTTAGAATCGGCCTCTATAACCGGTTCCGGCATTACTGAGGGCCTGAGAATTCCGCTATAATGTCGGTACCGGCATTATAGGATAATGTCGGTACCGGCATTATAGGATAATGTCGGTACCGGCATTATAGGAAACCGTCGAGTTATTCAGTAAAAAAACGTTTAGCACACACCACAAGCATCAGGTGATGGGGAAATGACAACTGGACAGTGGATAGGCAGCACAATGCTCTTATGACCTTGTTCCCGCGATTGTGCTCGTCGTCGTCGTTGCAACAGAACGGCGGTGAAAATTGAGGTCAAGAGTGGCAAAACGAAAATGTGACAAGTAAACAACGTTCCGCTCGACGAATCGTGGTCGATTTTCCGGCGCTGGCACATTGTCTTCGACCCTCGCCTTCGGGTCTCGGAGACTGCTAAACAGAACCGATGCTGGTACCCTGCGGGACGATCTGTGCACATTGGCTTCGATACAGTAGGCTGGTTTGTGAATCGAGCTGGGGGCTGGAAAATCCTCCTATTTCCAACCGATAGCTTACAAGTATTAGGAGGTGCATGTCCAGTACGCGATACAAGGTCAGCTTCTTGGGACACCATCTCCGGGCATATTTATTTTCAATTGCGACCAGGGCACAACACATAGTGCTCAAAAACTTGCGCGAGACTTCCCATGGACATTCGTATAGTGATGTCGAAGCACCTGTACAGCTGCTGAATGTACGTTTCCAGGAGACATATCCGAGACGGAAATCGTTGAACCATGCTTCCAGAATAACATTTGATGTGCTTCTTACACGATACCTGCCATGTCTTCCTGTAAGTATGTATGTCTTGGCCGTGGTACGAAAACCGTGGTATCATGTGCGTTGAGTTTGAATTCGGCGATTTGAAGGTCGCGATCACACCTCGAAGCAGGCAAGAGTCATACCTGGACCTGCCCTTACACATACAAATACACCTAAGATGCACCTGGTAGTTCCCATCATTGGGACCCTCCTCTCGGAGGTCCATGGCTTCACCTTTAGCAAAGGGGGGATTGCTCACTTGTTGTTCACCACGCGTGTAACATAGATCGGACCTTCCCCACACTCGAACGTGAGGGGTCGTCCTGGGTCTCGCCGGTGTTGTGGACTTTCGGGCGGGTGGTTTCGTACGATGACCCGGGTGCCAATGTGGTGTGCTCATTGCTTGTTGCGTGCAGGAAGAGAGAAGACAGTGTTCTGGTCTCCACGTGTTTGAGGCTATGCGGAGGGAAACATGGTCTTGTTGCCCCCCTCACCTACTGCTGTTTGCTGTGTGTGCATCAACCGCACAATACCGCTACGGTGCTTGAGTGTTGAGTCGAATCTTGTAGGGTGAGGTCCAGGTGGTGGGTTATGGAAGGCTATATATCCCACCGGGGTGGTAGATTCGTTGTTTCCCCCATCGGCCATGAGAGCACCTAAACCAAACCGTTTCTATTTCACGATGGGCCCCACGATAGCCGTGCAACGCAGCAACACACTTGTTCGTGCCCCGTGTGGCTTCGAATCTTGTAGGGCAAGATCCGGCTGTTGGGGAAACTATGGTTTATCTTCCTTTCCGGTGGGGAGCCTCGCCGAGGAATTGACAACCCCGCGTGTTTAGGCACAAAATGGGATTGCTTCTTTTCGGCGTGGGCTTATCGCGCCGCAGACCTCGAAACTAGGGTGTTGCAGCGCAAAATACCATAGGTGTGACGGCAGAAGATCAAGAGATAATGGTGGTGTGTGGTGCAACACACGGTTTTCGTGGTCTGCGCGTGACAAGGAGACAGAAGATGTGGAGATATGGTGGTCTGCGGTTGCCATTTCGACAGGCATCACCATCGCTGAACGAAAAGGGGTATGCCTTGAACATTAGCGGATATGTTTGTCAACAATACTGGGTGCCAGACAAGGGGGTTTACCCGGCGGTTTCGTGAACTTTTTCTGTGGATCATATGTTTGTCACCCAACTCCCCGAAATACCCTCCTGTACACCTCATCATTTCCCCCATCATTGCTCTTTTATGTGTTCTTCTCTTTCCATTCAGCTTGTTTTCCCTACCCTCGTTCCCTACGTGTCGTGTGCAACCCCTTCCGCCATCCTCCTCCCGTCTCCTCTCCCTCTTTCTGTCGCTCTCCCACCCGTGGCATTCTTGCCTCACCTCTTGCACGGGAAAACACCGCCGTGGAACATACCATGACATGCTGGCTTTCGCTTCGGACCACCGGAAAACGCCCAAATACAGCCGACATCTCTATGACATGCTCCGCCGCAACTGGGAATGGTGAGTGTAAATCGTGTTTTGGAGAGATGGGGATGCTACTTGAACTCGCGAAAGGCGACAAGAACGAAGCCACCTCTGCGCCGGGGAGTTGTGCTAACGAAAGGAGCCTGACCCCATAAGCTTGTAGATCGTGTCGCGAGTACAAAGTGCTACATAGTGGTAACTCACATGTTGGGTGGTTTCAAGTTGGGGGCAGGGTGTCCGCACTCGGTTGACAATGTGTGGCAGCGACAGGGGTGCTTCGCTGACGTTCTTTTTTTGTTTTCTTCGCCAAAGCGGCCTTCCCCATGTGCTCGATCGAGGTTCCGTGGATCCTTTGGTCGTACAGGTATAGGCTCTCACACTTCGAAACCGTTGGCTACATAGTTCGCAAGAGCGGTCACGGACGGCGCTGTCGGTTTTAGAGGGTTCTCTCCCCTTGACGAGTCTCACGCAACACTGCTGCGCTGTAGTGCTGCAAGTACATATGATGCTGGCCCTTGTCAACTTGGCGGCGGGAGGCGCTTCGACACGGAACCACGGCGAATTTGTTTTTTTGTGCCCGCGGTGCCGCCCAAACCGTCATGCAGGGAGAGGGCCAGGATGGGGGAAGACAGCGAGCACAGTCGCGGCAGGCGCAAGGGCACCACCCTCCTCAGGGCTCTGGTGGCCACGTTCAAGTGGCGACTGGCTCTATCAGGGGTGCTCATGATCGGGGATAGCATTTGCCGCGTCATTCAGGTGTGGGGCAAGCAGGGGCGGGATGGGGGGTCTAGCAGCGGTGCGTTCTGAAATCTTGTGGCGGTCGTCCTGCAGGAGGAGTAGTGGTGGGTAGGAACGGGGGGCATGAGAGGGGTGTTGCTGCGGGGTGGATGTCGTTGCGGCTATGTGCCAAACAGGAGATGGTGAATGGAACGGGGTGGGGATTCTAGTTGCTCCGGGCCTGTTGTACAATCGTCGGGTTTCCAACCGAGGAAGGCTAGGTGGGAAGGGGGGGGGGGGGACCGAGAAGTAGTGAGGCCGCTTATGAACGTGCCTAGAGCATCTGCCGTGTTTGTTAGAGTGTGTGTGTGCTTGCATGTTTGTGTTCCTTGAGTTTGGATAGCGACCGCGCGAACCGGCTGACACATGAAACAAAGGCAACCTTACAGCAGGACAAATAGCCCGCGCGAGGGCGTGTGTGTGTTTCTTAAGAATGACATCGATGGTGCAAACCGGGTGACCATTTAACACACGTCAGTCTTGCTAGTCAGAGATGCTTGCGTGTGTGTCTTTGTTGTTAGCATCGACCTCGCTAACCGGCTGACCAATGGACAGAAATCGCTTCTGATGACCATGATCGGTGACCCCGTGCGGGCGTCATGTGTGCGGGTGTCCTCGTTCCGAGGGTCCTTGTCCGGATATCTTTTTACCGTGTGGGTTGCATCCCACGGATGTCCCGAGGTTCTCTCTTGAGTGTTCTGGCTGAGAGACGAAAGCACCAACACCTCTGCCCTAAAACCCTCTGCGTAACACCTGTTTGCCCATTGACCACGTGTTTGTTTGGGTGGCTGTCGTGTTGGCGGTCCGTTGGCGCTGAAACCGGGTTTGACCAACCAGGCGTTGGCGCTGGGGTGGCTGATCGGATACTTCGACGACGAGACTTCGGCGAGTTGGGAGGGCTGGACCTACGCCTCCGTGGTCGTGCTGGGCGGGTTGCTCATCGGGTGGGTTGACGTTGCTTCTCTCATAATTTGCTGATGGTGTTGTTCCTGTGGTCGTTGTCGTTTCTGTTGCTTCTGTGGGAATGCGTTTGCCCCACGGTATGCCATTCTTTGAACCGTTTTTTTTCTTTTTCAGGTTTGTTCCTCTACTCCACGAAATATATACTTCCACCTCCAACCCTCCCCTGTTTTCGCCAACCACGGCTTGTGTGTGGGTCTTTCGTCTTTCCGTGGACCATGACGGCGTGTTGGGATCAACCACCGTTGTCCCCCGGCCGGCTTCTTCACATCTCAGCTTTTTTCTCCACCATTTCAACTTCGTGGGGTACATGCTGGGCATGCAGCTGAGGATCAGCACCACCACCATCCTCTACGACAAGATTCTACGACTTCGCCTCAGCTTGCTGGGACAGGTCCGTGTTGCTCTGCTGTGTCCTCGGTCAGCGAGAACTGTAACATAAGCGCGCTTTGTTTTTGGCGCTTGGTTATTTTTTCGATGCGAGTTCTCGGTAGCGTTGGTAGAGCTGGATGAGACAAGGATTTGTTGTCATGGCTGCCGCGCGTAAGACCATTACCACGTGCGTGGCGTGCTTGCATTTCTGCGGCACAGGAGTCCAATTTTATTGTTGAACACTTGCAACACACTCATAGGGTGTCGGCAAACGAAGGCAGCCGCAGAAATACGTGTTTACAGTCGAAAACAACGGCGACAACAATGGAAGCGCGAACAACAACAACAGCAACAACAACAACAACAACAACAACAACAACAACAACCACACCAACGTCAACGACGGCAACAACAACCCACCACGTGGACGATCGAAACCAACAGTAACAACAGCACACCCAATCAAACAACAACCACAACAACAACATCAGAATACACGCCTGGTTTGTGCGCCAGATTTCCACCGGGCACCTGGTGAACCTGACGACGACCGACGTAGAGGCGTTTCAGAAGGGTGGCACGTTCGTCAACTACCTCTGGGGGGCTCCCCTGCAGAGCTTGGTCATCTTGTACTTCGGATTGGACCAAGTCGGGGTTTCGTTTCTGGCGGGATTTGCGGCTCTCGCGCTCATAGTCCCCATGCAGGTGCGTTGTCCGACTTTACCTATGCACGTGTGAAGACTCCCTCCCACTCTGCCCCTTCGACGCCATCGTCCCGTCCGTCGTTGCAACGGGGGGGGTTAGACGCGAATCGCGTTGAAACCGCTCGAAAAACGTTACGGTATAGGAGGTTGGCGGCGACCCGGAGGCAGGGCGTCGTTGTGGGGTGGTGTGGTGTGGTGGTGAGTGTGCGCGATGCTGGCAACAAGCGAAGGAGCTCCAGACGGCAGGTTCGAGTGTGGGAGAGAGAGGCTGGTGCGGGGCGGCTGTCGTTGGAGGAGGGGACTTCGGGGGGGTTCCTGTTGTTTGGAAACTGACCGGAATCGCCTTTCGCAGGCGTGGCGCCAAGCGCGTGGCGTGTCATGGGCGGAGCCGTGGAGTTTTTTGTTCGATTGCCTGTCTCGAGAAAAAATGCAAGAATGGCTCTTCTTTCGGAATGTAAACCTACACATGTGTTGACCTCGGCCTGCTTGCTCGGACGTGAGTGTTTTTAGATTGTTCGGGTTTTTTCTGGGCGCGTCAGCCGGGGTCACACAGGAAGAAGGCCGTCAGTGTTACCTATTTTGTTCTCCCTTCCTCCTGTGGTGCTTGCCTTGACTCTTATCGCGAGAAGGGTTCAGCCGCCCCTTTCCCTCGTCACCATTGCACTCCAATTGTGTTGGTGGTACACGACAATATGACGCCCACCCTGTGCTGCGTGCAACACGAGGCGGAATGCCGAACGTCTGATGGCCACCACCCTGTTGTTGTATGGGGAAGTGGCGTTCTACTCTCACAAGTACGGCAGCACGACGGCGACGCCGAGCGCGCGGAACCGGTGCCCACCGACCTAACACACATCACGGCCATCCCAGTTGTTGTTGATGTTGATGCTGATGCTGCTGCTGCTGCTGCTACCGCTGTCGAGCGCCGTCTGATGTTGGACCTCTCGCCGTGTTTTCTCCCCCGGATGCGCGTCCAGGGGGCGTTTTCCCGCAGGTTCTCGCAGGTGCGGCAGCGCGTGACAGTGCTGACCGACGAAAGAGTGAACCTGACCAATCAGGCCGTCGCGGGCGCAAGGCTGATGAAGATCAACGCCTGGGAGCCCGCCTTGGAGAAGGAGATTCGCAGGCAATAGGCTGGGAACATGCAAATAGCAATGCCATAGCAGTGGGCTAGTGATTCTGATGTCGATGATCTTGTAGCAAGATTGGTAGGTTGGGGTTTCCTGCCACGAGGCGGGTAAATCATTGTTGCTGCTGTGCTCCACTTGTGTGTTTTCTCTCTTGGTCTCTTTCTGCCATTCTCTCAACAACCCTTGCTTCTGTCGATTGGTATTGGTGTTATTTTCGTGTTGGAGGAACGGTTGGTTCTTCATATCCAAGGGACATCGCACGTACACATAACCATCACCACCAAGCCAGCAGTTCGTGGTCCGCCACGAAGACCAGAGTGTACATACCCCCGCTTCGTCGTTGTCTTGGAAACCAAGTGTGCCCATGACGATTACGACCCCAAACAGCATCTTAAGGCACTCCCTCTTGAAGATTTCGCCGTCTGTGTGACTGTCTATCTCTCTCTCTCTCTCTCTCTCTTTCTCTCTCTCTCTCTCTCTCTCTCTCTCTCTCTCTCTCTCTCTCTCTCTCTCTCTCTCTCTCATTCTCTCTCTCCCCCTCTCTCTATCTATCTTCCTCTCTCTCTTGGCCTGACCCAGGGTGCGCGCGGAGGAGATCCGTGTGTTGCTCAAGGCCACCCTGCTTCGCGCGATCAACGAGGCCATGTTCTTCGTACAGCCCGCCGTCATATCGTGCCTCGTGTTTGCCACGTACCACTTGCTTGGAAACGTGCTCGCGCCGCGGCAGGTGATTGGATGGACGCGGCAACAGACAAACTGCCCCCACCCATGCTTTCATTTTTCTTTTGTTTTTTTTGTTGCCCTCTTGCTGTGATGAAGTCTGAAGCACAATGATGGCGTGTACGTGTACACAACCTGGGACGGCCCTCAAAGGAAAATCGGAATGGACCCCTGTGGATAGAGATATTTGGTTTTGTTTCTTCAATATGAATAAGACGGAGATTGCCGCATCTCGAGGGTCCTACCTCGTGGGGGCTTCCTTTTTCGGCGTACAATCAACATTACACACGCAATGATTTTTTACAATCCTGTTGATTGAATGCATTCGTGCACATCCACAATTCGCCTGGCACTTTTGCACGAACCAAGCAATCCGCCTAGCCACTTCCTAGCTCACGCACGATGAGATGATGCTCCACTGCTTCCACGGTGTGCCTCACCTACGTTCTGCACGCACGTCATGAGTACGCGCTTTTCGCAGTGGGTTTCCAGCTGCTGCAGAAGGGTGCTCCCTTGTCTATCTCCTAACGAATAGCTCGCAAGCCTACCAAAACAACACAATCTTCATTTTCGTTTTATGGATGGATGCAGTAGCTCATGTCTGCCATTCAGGTTCGATACTGGCTGGCTCTAATCTGCAGTGAATTCAGCTCAAGGATCACGCCGCTGCTCTTAGAGATCAATAAACATCTCCCCGCCGGGTGTGGTTTCGTGTCTCGCGTGTGGGGCGTGATCGTATTGTTGTGTGGGGTGTGAAACGGTGCGTCGTGAGTATGCGATATTTATGCACCACCTAGCTCGTGCCGGGAGATGGCGCCCCTTTATTCCCGTGTGCGCCCCAGTTTTGTTTTCATTCAATGGTCAAGCCTCTAGTCTGAGAGACCCCGCTTTGCACATACGCGCGTGCCGTTTCTTGCCTCTTGGGGATCGTGTCGTGGCAGGTATTCACCACCCTGGCGCTCCTCAACATCACCCAGTTCACGTTAGGAAAGTTCCTCTACCTGGCCGTGCAGACCTCCATCGAGAGCTGGGTGTCCATCAAGCGGATAGAGACCATCCTGCTCATGGAGGTGTGCGACCTGGCTATGGTTTCCCCCGCAACGGCGTAGCCGGTGGACAGGTTAACCCTTTCCGACCGGCACAACCAGACCTTGTCGTCCCACTTCTTGTAAACGTCAGTCGCTGCCCCTTTCGGTATACGATCTGGACGCATCAGCCGGGGTCATACGCACAGGAGGAAGGAAACCGAATTCGTGTATGTTTCTGGTGCGCATCCCTACATATGGCGTCGTCGGCAGCAAACGATGTGCATCCATTGTTTCGCCCCATGCGTTTGTTTTTTGTTCGACCACAATATTTACACGCTCTAGGTTCGCCCACCGCCCCCGCTGTCGCTACGACCACACTTGCGACTGCGGCCGGCGACGCCGCCGCTATCGACTGCTTGGTGATATTGTACAGGAGAATGAAGTCCTAACTGCCCCACTGCTAGAGTTCGACCTAGCCACCAAGCCGGATAAGGGCGCGCCACCCAAAAGCCCTGCTGCGGCGGCCGACGCCGCCTCTTCGACCCCAACGCAGTCAGGTTCTACCCCTTCCCCCCCCCCCTTGATGACCTCCCGCGGCGGGGCCCCTACCGTCGTCGAGGAAAAGACGGCCGAGGCGGGAGCGGCTTCTGCACCATCAGCAGCGGCAGCAGTCGTTGTCGCAGGGGAGGCAAGGGAGGGACCGTCGATGGCAGGGTGCGTTCGAGGTGCTCATGAACCAGTGGGAGGTGGGGTTAGCGATGGAGGGAATGGTGCAGACGAGTGGCCGGGCCTGGTTTCGTTGAAGGGGGCGAGCTTCCGATGGACCAGCGGCAGGGAAGAGGACAAGCACGCCAAGGTTTTCCGCGGCTTGATAGAGGGCAAGAAGAAGCGAAAGGTGTGCGATGCGCACCACGGGAGGGTGATTCGGAGCCGTTGCGGGAAGAGTCAACAAGAACCGTTCGTCGATGTGTTCTTGCTGGGTTCATGTGTAGGGCCATTCGTAGCTGTCCTCGAATGCGGTAAAATCATAAAGAATTTGACGTCTACGGGAGAAAATATTCGTAGACGTGCCGTGGTAGGCGTCTCCTGAGGTGTCGACGTAGGGTTATGGCGAGATGAAGGTGCGATTTTTTGCCTCTTGGAGGCGCGAAGGGTGCAGGCGATTGTTGGCGTTTACGCGGTGTATGGGGGCAACGGACGGGTGGCACAATGGCGTCGAATCAAGAGGTCGCGACGATGCACACCGCTGGTTGCAATGTTTCGTGCCATCAAATGTGGTTTGCAGTGAGAAGGACTGGTTGATCGTTCCGTCGACATGTGGAAATTCCGATTGAATCATAGAATACGTCTACCACCTGCCACTTGTCTCCCCTCGCCGGACTCACGCTTCGGTTTGATCCACGATTTGTTTCAGGCGGCTCAGGACAAACGGATCAGCCACGGCGCTGACGCTGCGCCTGTAGAGGAGGACAACGAAGCTGAAACCAACGCTGGAGGTGAACTTCCTTCATGTCTGCCACCGCTGTGTGGGGCATCCATGCCTCAACTCACGGAGTGATGCCAACAATGGTTCTATCGCACCGTCTCTCTGACGATCGGGGTACAGCGTTATGCCTTGTGACGTATTACACGCCGGGGCCCCTCCCTGATGTCGACTTAGCTTCAACCAGCCGTTTGGAAACCGCCGTGGCTTCTACAGTATAGTGTTGAGCCCGCATGTAGACGGGGAGGCAAGGGAAGGGCTGCTGTGTCGCATGCATTACCACAGGAGTGGCCTGGAAATGGCACCACGGTGAATGATAGGTTGCGTTTTAGTGGTGTTGTGTTTGGCAGTTCTGTGTTGTCGGCCCCATGATTCCTTACCGTGCGCGTACAATTGGACAAATCTATTGCTCGTACCACGGACCGAGGATAGTACCAGGCATGTAATCGACATACTCACAAGCTAACTCACGTTGTTTTTTACAATCCATGTACGACTTGTGATTTTCAGGACTGACCCTTGACGCCATCGACCTGCGGATCGAGCCGGGGCAGCTCGTGGGAGTGATCGGGCCAGTCGGCTCCTCCAAGAGCTCGTTGCTCATGGCGATGCTCAGGGAGATCACGCCGGAGAGGACGTCTGGCGGGGCAGGGACGGCGGCAGTCCATGGTGGTGCCGGCCACGGTCACGGCGAGGTCCGTGTTGCTGTACGTTCAGTTTTCGCACGACGGGAAGGGGGGGGGTGCAATAGTCGCGAGTGCTCTTATTTTTTTCTCGAACGTTCTATTGGTGGCTTTCGGAGGAACCGTCACCCAACCTTGTGTTGCCTCTATTTTATTCTCAATACGAATGACCGCATTCCTCCTCGACTGTGTCTCTCGAGCGTCGGCTCGCCGACTTCTCCTGTGTGGCTTGATGCTGAGGGTTTTGATCGCGCTCGTCCCAAGCCGGAACTACCCATGCTGGAATCGCGTTGGTTCGAGGTTGCAGACGTTCCTATGTGGGAGTTTCCTGCTGTTTGTTCTTGATTCCCTCTTTGGAGCTGAACCCCACTCCGTACTACGTTTCTGCGCGTGCCGTCGCTAGTGACCCTGCCCTTGTCCCTGCTGCTGCGGCTCTTGTTGTTGTTGCTGCTGCTGCTGCTGCTGCTGCTGCTGGTATTGCTCCCGAAATATCGGCCTTGTTGTTGCATGCAGCGAAATTGCCAGCAGCGTCTGTCTGTTTTGGGAAGCCTGGCATACGCCTCACAGGAACCTTGGATTCAGTCGGGCACTATACGGGAGAACATCTTGTTCGGGAGAGCCATGGACCAAAAGAGGTACGCAAGGTGCACATGTCATGCACTTCGAGGGAAAACGGCCGGAGCAGGGTGTTGGGCATTCTGAGGGCGCATGCTGTAATCCCCACATCAACATATGGCTTGAATGATGCGCTACCTGTGTGTATATTGGCCTATGCTACTATACCCTACCTCTCTGTTCGGCTGCCTGCTTCATTTGTGTGTCTGTCTTTGTGTCGATCTGTCTGTCGGTCAATCTGTCTGTCTGTCTGTCTGTTTGCCTGTCTGTCGGTCTCATCTGTCTGTCTGTCTTGTCTCGTTCTCTCTCGCAATGGGCAGGTACGACGCGGTGATACGGGACTGTGCCTTGGAAAGGGACCTCTCCCTCCTACCATCGGGCGACCAGACCGGTATTGGAGACAAGGGCGTCAACCTGTCCGGGGGCCAGAAGGCGAGAGTGGGGCTGGCCCGCATGGCCTACGCGCATGTGAGTTGCGCCGCTCCTCTAGGATGGGATTGGGGGCTACGCGGTGGGTGGTAGAATGAAGGTGGATATCGCGTACTTCTTGCTCATGCACCGGTCGCCTCGGTGGTCTGGTGGTATCCTCGAAAACAGCTAGTCGCAAAGGTCGTGAGTTCGAATCCCCATGGGGTGAAAAATTTACGAAATTTGCGCGTGAAAGCGAGATAACGCTGAAGAGCTCTAGAGAGTACCACACTTCGACGTTAGCACCGTTGAAGAGGGAAAGGGGCGGCTGGGCCCTTCTCTCGATAAAAAATAATACGTGAAATCAGCACGCACGGCAGGAGAAAGGTGGGGCACGAAAGTTAAACGAAAAAGAAGAAAGAAGCCATGGTGTTTACCTCCTCCTGTGTGGCCCTGGATGGTTGTAGTTGTACGAAAAATACACTGAACAGTGTTTTACTCTACGTACGAAAAGTTTAGTACACGTCTCACCACGAAAAAAGGAGGGGCTGTCGCCATGAGAATAGGACGAAAAGACACGCACAGCACTTGTTGACTTCGATGAGAGTTGGTTGTTCTCGTCTTTTGAAAGGGCAGATCTGGCATGAAATGAGGTGTTGCCTTCTGCGTGGCTGTCCCCCACTGCCCCTTTTTACCCACGCGCACACGCAACGTGGGGGCAACAACCCGCAAGGACCTCCCCGCCAGTCTGAGGATATGTTCTGTGTCTGCCCACGCCGTTTCTCCGGTGAATCAGATCACGATTGTTCCTGATGTCGATCAAATTCGTAGATTGGAAACCTATCACACCTACGTTACTGACGACAACCGCACCTTTCAGATCGTTGTGTCTCCGGACCGCCGTGCCCGTTTGCCGTACAACCTACCATATACTCCAAAACCACAACTGTTGAAGCCAAAGCCTCGGCATGGGAGGCATGACAGTCCCCGCCGATGATACGGCCGAGGTTGACGGCGAGGTGTGCTCATCGCAATACCTGTTAATTTTCTCTGAGTGTCTGTTGCTTGGAACACGCTGATCTTGTTTCCCTCCCTTCCTGCTGCTGCTTGTCTCTAAGGCGGACACTTACCTCATGGACGACCCGCTGTCGGCGGTGGACCCGGCCGTCGGGCGCGAGCTCTTCTCCAAGGTGGTGTGCGGCAGGCTCAAGGGGAGCACGAGGGTCCTCGTGACGCACCAGGCAAGCGCAGAGAACGACTCCGCCCCACCGTTATTGTAACCGTGTTGGGTTCCAGGTAGCATAACCGACGACGATCCAATCGAAACGCAAGGGGGGTATGTTTGAGGCTCTTTCGTGAAAGGATTGAGGGACACTTGCGTGGTTGATACAGCAAGACACGGCGGCCGTTTGATTTTCTATTGCTATCCTGTGTAGAACCTTATTCCCAATTAAGACCTATCCCAAAACACCACCGGTGGATACGAGGCCAGCGCACTTAGAAAGCCTGTGTGCAATGGATTGGGCGAGGGTGAGATGGTGTCGTATGTCGACATGAAGGCCACCACGTGGACAGCCAATTCCGCCAAGTGCAGCGCTTCCCGGTTGAAAATATCAACACACGTTGTTCGAGCTCTTGTTCTTGTTTCTTCCTATTTTTCGTCAAGATCTCCACATTCCTTGTGCGTCGTTGTTATCGTCGTTGTTGTCGTCGCCATCAGGTGCACTACTTTAGGGACCCCGAGGTGGACCAGATCATCGTCATGCACCACGGCAAGATCGTCGGAAAAGGGAGGTACGGCACGCGGCACCATTCGCATACACACACAGGCATCGACGGCGTAGGATACGTCGGCTTTCAGTGACCGCGGCAGATCGATCGAGCTCGACCGGCTTGATTTTTGTTTCGAGATGCGTTTGTCGTTCCATGTTGCGGCGATTCTGTCCGTGCTTCCGGGATGGATCACGTGGAGTCCTGCATGAGTACTTTGTCAAACCGCTTGTGTCTTGGACGCTGCTGTACGGTTGCGTCCCCAGGGTGATATCGGTCACCTCTATTCCTCATTGCCTACCTTGCGGCGGGTTGGCCATAATCGACGCGCCTAAAAATGCTATCTGGTGATGGAGTTCGGCTTCTTGAGTGATGAGCACCAGGTGCGGTAATCTGTGGAAGGGGTGGTTTTCTCTGTGGCTCTATTTCTTGATCTTAGACTAGTGATTCGGTTTGGGCGGTTTGGGATATGTTGACCCGTAGCAATATCACCGCCGGATTTTGTATGGTGTGTGGGCATTTCTCATGTGTGCTGTATCTTGTGTCGTGTATAGCAAGTTAGCACAAAGGGCGTGTGTGTGATCGCTCAACTGGACCCAGTTCCCTCGGTGAAATGAGCTGGAACAAATACTGCTGCAGCCGAAGAATACAGCTCCAAACCTATGCCATTTTATCTCTGATCTGACCGTTGTTTCGACTAGTCTTCGTCCACCCTCAACTGTTTTCGCGGTTTTCTCATTGTCTCCATTCTGACCATTTCTGCTACATACCGTTGTCGTGCCCGACCTCAGCTACGAAGCGCTCGAAGCCAGCGGGAGCTTCGCCGCGCTCGAGCGTCCGACCTCGCCGACGAAAGCCACCAGGGGTGAGGCCAATGTCGACCACGGTAGTAGTGCCGTTAACCACACCGCCGCAGGAGGAGTTTCCCGGCCCACCCGCGTCCGCAGCACTAGCAGCACCGGCAGCGCCTACCGTAAGACGCCGCCACAGGCGACGGCGCCGGCCCAATCCTCCTCCACCTCGTCGCGCTCTGTCTCCAGCGCTGCCGCTGGCGGCAGGGGCGGCGCACCATGTGAGGGGGGCGCCGCGGCGCGTGACGGATGTTCAACATCTTTTGAAACGGCCGCTAGGAAAGCCGGGGGCGGCGATAACGCCTCGATAGAACTCCACCGAGATCAGCAGCAGCAGGAGAAAAAGGACGGTTGGGGTGTCGGATGCAACCGCGAAGATGACTTTCGGGGCGACGCGAACGGGGACAGTAACGAGGGGGGGCTGGTGACGAAGGGTGATAGGGGTGCACCGCCGGAGCTCGTCGTCTCGGAAGACCAAGAGGTGCGCCAAGCCACGGCAGCAGGGCGGGGAGGTTGTCGGTTGTATAGGTGGTGATGGTGGTGGTAGCGTTGCCTGACCTCGTACAGTTACTCAGGAAATGAAACAGCGGCGCGTTACGGTGGTGGAGAAACCAAAAGTTCTCTGGATCCGCCCGAGCATGCCGATCACCTGAAAATTTCGGCAAGTCGACAACCGGTGGTCTCCGGTCGGAAAGAGCATGACGATGCCGGTGACATGCTTACACCATTCCGGTAGACGAAAGATTGGTATGTCTTTCGCCGTTTCTCCCGAATGGACCCCTACTCTCCCCTACGTTTCCATGCCCCCCTGTGCCCTGACTCCCCGCTCAGTTGGACTGAACTCGCGGGTGCTCGCTGCCCCCTTTTGCGTCCCGTGCAGTCTGGGAGGCTGAAGCGCAGCACCTACTGGGAGTACATCAGGGAGGCTGCCGGCGTCTGGCAGGTCGTGCTGATCTTCTTATCCATGGCGGGAGGACAGGTATCCGAGCCAGCTCTGCGAAACACCGGTGCTGGAGGCGGGTGGGGGCGTATTACTATATGATACGGAGTAGTAAGTCACGTAAGGGGGCATTGACAAACTAGGGTTACCCCGCGTGTTTAGGCGCAACATGGGGTCTGTTGTTCGGTGCGGGGCGCAACGCCCTGACACCGAGTGGGCGCCTTTTCACCACCTTCTAGCCCTTCAGCCGTATGCGCCAGGTCCTTAAGAAGGACGCCCAATTTTGTGTTGTCGTACACAGAAACAAGGTTGACCTGGAGGAGAGGAGCTTGTCAGAGGGCCACGTTTTGTTCGCGAAACCGCGATGTACGCCCTCCTGTCTGCTAAACGTTTATCTATGAATAGTACCCCATTTTGTTCGCAACATACACCATAACGTTCAAGGTTCACCCCTTTTGGTTCAGTTGTGACGCTCCTGCAGACTGCTAATATGGCCAACAACTGCACATCACCATATCTCTATATCTGATGTCTCCCTCTCGCGCCGCAGACAGCGAAATCTGCGTGTTACACCGCGGACCACCATATCTCAGGAACGTCTGTCGTCACAGCTATGGTCTGTGATACAAGACGCAGGTTTCGTGATCAGCGGCGCGACAGAGAGACAGAGGATATGGAGATATGGTGGTCAGCGGTGTAGCACGCGAGTTTCGTGGGCTGCGGCGCGAAAAGGAGACAGAAGATATGGAAAGATGGTAACCTTCGGTTGGTTGCCATTTTGGCAGTCCGCAGGAGCGTCACCACTGAACCAAACGGGGTAAACTTTGACCTTAAACATTAAAGGGTGTGTTTGTGAAAAAAATGGGGTACTATATAAACGTTTAGAAGACAGGGGGAAATGCCACGCGGTTTTGCGAACAATATGTGGTCCTCCAACAAGATCCACTCTTCCAGGTCCAAGTTAACCTTGTTTTTGTGGGTGAAAACAAAGACAAATTGGTCATCCTTCCTAAGGGCCTGGCGCATGCGGCTGAAGCGCTAGAAGGCGGTGTAAAGGGGGGCCCACTAGGCGTCAGCCGTTGCGCCCCATACCACAAGAAGGTATACGCTATTTTGTGGATTCCCCACAAAACAGAGTGGGAATGTCCGAAAAAGCGGTATTCGAACCGTCTCGTGGAGTAACGTCCGCCACCATGTCCTTTCAGTTTGGGGTTCTCTTCGCTGAGGAGTAACGGTGCTTGAACAATCGTCACACGGTATGGGATATCTTATGCGAAATACGGTAAGCATATGAATTTTGGGACCCTCGACGACTATGTATCGTCCGCCCATTGTTTTGTAAAGGCCATCCCGCCGTCAGCTTTCTGTTATTCGCCGCATCATCAAGATGATAAATGTCATTCATGTTTTGCGCGCTTTGCCCACTTCACGGAACCCCGCCACACGACGCTCCAGGTGCTGGTGATGGGGGTGACGGTGTGGCTGGCCAGGTGGTCGCGTCAGAGCGAGGAGGAGCAGGACCGGAGCCGGAACGTCATCGTTCTCGCACTGCTTTCCGCGGCAGCGGTCGTGGTCGCCCTATCAAGAGCCGTCCTAGCCTTCTTCAGCCTCGTCAAGGTGCGAAAAAGTGGACGAGCGTGGAGTGTTTGTTGCTGCTCGTGCACGTGGTCTTGTTCGCTCCCTATTTCAACTGCCGCCGTCAGGGTTCCCTATCTTGCTTTCGCATTGCGTCGAACGCCACGGGGTACATTCGGAGGTCGTGTTTTCACGCAACCGGTGTAGATTGCTCTCTTTTTCCGAACGCATGAGTGGCGTGGACCAAGGTCAAGGTCCTACACATCCATTCTACTATCATTATGTTCGACCGAGTCCTGCGCCACAATTGTTGCGGCAGGTTGTGCTAGCTTACACCGGTCGCTGGAAAACACACAATACGGTGGGTTGTGCGAGAAACTTGTATGGTTTGATCCCTGCCGCAAATGCACAGAAGACACGCCCGCAGACGCGACGCCGGAAGCCTACAGAGCCACAGCGACAGCTCTTCTTGTGTGTGTCTTCGTCCTTGGCCCCATCGATTCTGGGTGCCAGCCTAAACCTTGCGGTATGTGTCTGACGCACTCCCGGGGTTATACAGGAGGACAGAAAGCGCCGGACAATTTATACATGTCTTTGTTTTTCCCGAACAGCAGCACGTGTGGAAACCCTAAAATTCAGTGTTCTTGTTCTTACGATACCATTTGTCCTTTTTTTGCCTGTTTTCCGCGTGTTTGGTTGCGGCTTCTCTGTTTGGTGCTTCCCTCAGGCTTCGCACCGACTGCACAATCGAATGCTCAAGCGGGTCGTCCGCGCGCCGGTCCTGTTCTTCGACTCCAACCCCGTCGGCAGGTAATGTTGATACCGATCCTGTGTCTGGCCTCCTTACAACGAGTCACCGGCGGTTCACCAAGGATTTCAAAACGTTTGACGAGTACCGTAGTCCTTGGCGGGCGGGGTGCTGCTTACCGCACACCGATGCGCTACGTGGATACTTTACATTCGTGGATGGGCGCTAGATACGTCGCGTTCTATCAAACGTTCAACGTTATCATGGACGAACTCAGAAATCCCCGATGAATGACCTGCGAAATTCCTCGTTCTCAAGCGCCTCGGCTCACGTGATATCTGGAAACCCTGCTTCCCTCTCCCATTTTGAATGCACGGTGTTGTGTTGTGCTCTAGGATCCTGAACCGCTTCACGAAGGACATGCACTTCATGGACGACCTCCTACCAATGACCCTCTACGACTGCATCACGTGCAGCTTCATGGTGATGGGCAACACCCTCATCATCTTCTTCGTCAACCCCTGGGTGGTTCTCAGGTTTGTTTGTACTTTGAGAGGCGTTTATTCTAGGTGATTCCGATTTTTCCAGCACCGTTCTCGTCAACTCCTGGTTCTCAGGCTTGTCGTCGACAGGAGAATGATCTCACGAAACTGTCGGCGATGTTGTTCGGTCTCTTCTTCCAGCGATAAACACCGCTGGTGCTAGGTGTACACATGGGTACGTCATTATTTGTCGTAATGCGGACGACCGTGCTGTATTGCGGCTTCAGTGCCTTACCTTCTGTGACCGATGGTTGTCGTCATTTCCTCCCAACCGCTCGGATACCAAGCACTTTCTGCAATTCATTACCTCAAAAGCATCCCGATTACTGTTGCCCGTAAATATGAAGAACTCGATTTCACTTTCCGTGTGAACAAAAATATATTCACATGTGCGAACGTGCGTTTGTGAGAGCGTAGTGTTGACCGTTATTGCGCGAGTGAGGCCCAGAGGGCGCCTGGTGGGACAACAACTCGCTTGGAACTGTTCCCATTCGGGACAACAACTAGTTTTTGTCGGCTGCGCCGAGAGTCGTAAAGGTGGGGGGAGTTGCTGAATATTCGCCTCACAGAGCTGAGAATAGGAACTAGGCCCGTGTTGTATGGGTCACCGTTTTGCGCATGGGTTCTCTGCGAGCACACCTACTACACTGGTGCCGTGGAAATGCTTTCTACGAACCGAACCACGTCGTGACCTCAATTGTGTTGCTGTTTGGGGAGAAATTTTTCTTGCTTTCCGCAATTTGAGAATATGGGTACCACCTTTAACATATGCTGAGAACGATTCAATTGGAAACCTTTAGCACGTAATTGGCGGGGTCATTGCCCGTTGTCCTTCTGCTATGAAACGTTGTGGCCAGCGGGCGGAGTTTGTTTGACGTGCAATGTGACAAAAGTGATCCCGAGCAGTTGCTGCGAGGCGTGCGTCTGTTATTGCTTTTGGTCGGTTTGAAGAAGTTGGGCTCGAATTCGCAGAAAATTCGGGTTGCCTCTTCGTCAATATCTGAATGAAAACTCGGCCATTCCAGGAAGCTGGTAGTTGTCAGTGACCGAACCGGAAACAGGAAATTCTCGTATGATTTGTGATGGACGATTGGCAGCAAGCTCACTAAGTTTATGTGTGTGTGGGTTATACCTCCTTGGGCTTGATGTGCAGATGCATCACTTGATTTTGCTGCTTTTGTTTTTTTTCATTTTCATATTCTTTAGTCCAAGAAACCGCCGCTTGTTCGCCACGCAATTCCTTCCGTCGATGAGTTTGCGAGTCTATTCATATACGATAACCAAGGCTGTGGTGATGGTCGGCAAGGGGTATGGTTTCCTTGCTGTTCTCTCGTACCGGCTACAGCGAACGACCATTGTAGCCTCTGCCATGACTATCGACCCGCGCCTTTGTGGTCATCGCTCATGTCAACCACGTGAAACAACACATTTTAGTTTTCCATCCCGTTACCATCCCAAATTGTGTGCGATCACAGCTTGCTCCCAGCCATGTGGTACTTTGTGCATCTGATGGGCTTCTACTTGAAGACGAGCAGGGAAGCTAAGGTACGTGTACCTAAACTTAGCACCGAACACCGTCATCACAAGGCAATGGCGTGCCACATTGCAAGCTCATGCAGTGCTTACCTATTTTCGAGCAAGAGGCAGTATTGCTGGCGATTGCATCAACACAACCACACCGGCGCCTGCGCCGTCCGTCCTCTTGTGTGTCCAAGGAAGCGAAGCTGTCACGTTTGCCAAGGTAGCTAACCAAACCTGTCGGAGAGGAAAGTGATACTTTCGCGAGGCTTTAGCACAGATTTAGGCATGTTCATTGGCACACCTCTACGGGCGGTATGCGAGCACGATCTGAAGCAGCTTTCGCACGGACTGCTCTGTGGAGCTTCGCCCCCGCCCCCCCCCCCGTCATCGTTCCTGTCACCGCCGCAATTTTCATATATTGTTTATGTTTCCCGTGGTTGCCGTGTGTACGAAAAGCGGCTGGAGGCGGTAACCCGTAGCCCGGTGTATTCTCAGCTGTCCGAGACGCTCGACGGCCTTGTCACCATTCGAGCCTTCGGAAAGCAGCGTGAGTTCCACTCTCTTGCCCCTCGCAAACCAACATAGTAGACCTCTCGAAGCTGTCCCGTCTCCGAGAAGGGGGGCATCCTCTGTGTACCACCGTGGCGGGGTGCATGCCGTGCGACCTCTTGAACGATTATATTTATTCATGTGAATAACGTCGAGAGCGATGATGCGATCTGGGTGCTCACTTCGGGGGGTCACGAAGTGTGAAATATACAACATCCGAAACCGATTCATGTCGTGCGCGGACAAAACTTGGTGAACGACAAAGCCGCACGGGACACTGGAGGAAGTTGCGCCGCGTTCAAGTTTCGTCCGCGTTGCTCCGCCTAGTCCCCGTGAATCATTGTCCTTCCCTGGTTTGCGGTGCAATGCGCTTGATCTCGACTGCGGTGCCCCGACCTTGTTGGTCTATCGTCATCCCCCTTCGTTAGACCGGTTCCTTGGCCAGTTCACCGAACGGGTCAACTTGAACACGAGGGCCTACTTCGCGTGGGTGTACACCGCGAGGTGGCTGGGTTTTCGGATGGACATGGTGGTGATCATCGTTCTCACCGCCAGCTGCTTCTTCTCTGTCGCAGTGAACGAGTACAGCAGTTCCGTCGGTGAGTGATATGGTGTCAAGGGAAACAGGCGTAGAGTATGAATGTCTCTCACGTTTTTGTAAGTTTACCACCGGATCATAGTTTCTTCATCGCTGACCAATCAATTTTCCGCGTTATCGTTTCCCCTGGCAGTTAGTGTGCAGGTCGACAAGGTTTGTGCATCTTTGGCTGGATGAATGATTGCGTGTGCCCGCTTTTTTGTTCCCCCGCATAGTTTGTTGTGTGTGCATCGGCGACCGGATCCAATGCGTTGGTGGGTGTAGCCGCTTCTCAGCTCGGGGTAACTAATATCATTGCGGCTACGCCAACTTCGTTTTGTTTTTCCGGTCGTGATCGATGAGAACACATACATTCCACACGTGTGTTCGTGGCAAAGGGCTCCGTAACCCCATGAGCTTCTCCAGTTAGAAAACATTGGTTGTGGAACGGAGTATCAGTACTGTGATCTCGGTGTCGACCCTCCCGTATACCGTCCCAGACAAATATCAAATTTTCACTCCTCGTTGTTCATTAAATAGCACGTTGGCGTGCGGCCTGTGGATTCTGCGGCGACCTCGGTTTGGATCCCCAGCAGATCGCATTGTACATGGTTTTGGATTTATTCGCATATAGTTAGTTCACTCCACGCCTGTTTTGTATTTGGATTCCGGATTTTGGTTTGTGCGGCGACCTCGGCTTGGAACCCCAGGTGGTTCTCGTCCGCAATCATGTATTGTCCATCCCGTACAGGCTTCACACAGTTTTAACCCCGGCGGCAGGTTTCCGGATGACGTAATCGTTCATCGAAGGATATATGGGCAAAATCGATACCTCACTGAGAACCGTCACGGATACAATGCGTGAATCATGCCCAGGATATGGAACATATGAATGAAGCAGAAGCACCTTCGGGTCCGAACAGAGTGTATGAAATAAACCGCAAGCGATCATCGCATTCGAAGACGGAAATGGAGTGAAAACGCGTGGCAAAGGAACATTTTCTCTTCATGAGTGAGTATCTCGGTTTGGAGCCTCGGATGATTCTCCTGCCTGCTGCGTACAATCTCTCCTTGAATTTCAAAGAATGAGCGCAAATACGATGGCTGCCTATACGGCGACCTTGGTCCAAAACCCGAAGATCTCGGTGTGAACTCCCAGGTCTGCTTCCGTTCCATTGTACCCCCGACGAATTTTAAGGTTGGCAATTCTTTCCCTCTACGTCATGTGGAATGAAGCGCCATCGCCCGGGTCGTATGTTGGTACCGTCCATCCCGGACAGTTCGCACAGTCAACTCGGATATCCAATGAGATTCCGGCATTCATTTGAAATTTTGCGAAGTCGATATCTCATTGAAAAACCGTCGTGGGTTAAAAACGTTTGACACAGTGCCCGAAATGCAGGGTACACGTGCACCGAGGAGACGTACATGGGATCCACGCCGAGGCTACTGCTGGACCCCCACAGTGAACTTTCTTTCCACAATGAAACTTTGCGAGAAAATAGTAAACGGTGTCGGAGATTATCGCTGCAAACCAACGGAGAACCGTCCGTGGTCCAAACTGAGGCTGTCACACAACAGGGAAGCGGGTACAATAATGCACAACCGGTGTTGGCGCCACATAGTGTGAATACGGTCAGAGATACGACATACATACGAAGAGACGAGAACCATTCCCCAGTACATCTATGACCTTGGCAATGGGACGTTGGCTCGTGGGTTGTGCGTCGACCTCGGTCTGCTCCCCCACGTGGTTCTCCGGTTCGTTGGACAATCCCCGATAACTTTGACGTGTGTTTCCCTCCGCGCGGTTGTGGGAGAGTGTTTCCCGGTGCAATTTTCTCCGGTGGTATTTTTTGTCTTCAGTTGGTTGTTGAGATTTTTCGCCCCTTCCGTTACTGGCAGATGCAGGGCTACTGGGAGCAGCGTTGGTGTACGTTCTTCAGCTGGGCGGGCTATTCCAGTGGGCTGTCAGGCAAGCAGCGGAGGTGCGGTTGTCGGGCGCTTCGTTGGCGACGAAGCGACAATCATATTACTGTAGGTCCGAATGCATACCTCCTCCACCCTCTGTGGGATATGGCGTGATCCTGTGAAATTAGACCCTTCACCCTACCTCATAGAATTGAAATTGAATTGCGCACTCCATCCGGGTTTCGGCCAGGGTTTTAGTCGAGGTTGCGAGGGCCAACGGCCCGAAGAGATCTTCGATCTGCGTGTCAATATGTTTTGAGGTGACACAAGGAGTGAAACAGGCACAGCCTTATGCTACGTGGGCGTGGGCCATGAAACTGAGGCGTGGTGCGCAACCCCCCATGATGTTGGCAATACCAATACACCCCGAGTTATCGCCTTGTTTTCCCTTCGCATAGTGTTTGCCTGTCGCTCCGCAAAGCAACCAATCTCCCTGCGTTCCAGCCTCGATCCTACTGCAAGTTATACTCGCTGTTTTCTCGTCGGTATGGACAGGTGGAGAATCAAATGGTGTCGGTAGAGCGCGTGCTCAGCTACTGTAGAGTGCCGCAAGAGGCAAGTTTGGAGTCCGAGCCGGGGTACCAACCGTCGGATGGATGGCCGGCCAAGGGCAACATCGAGGTGAGCCGTCCGAGTGTGTTGGACATGCAGCACAGATTGGCCGTGCCCTGCGCGCTCGTTGTCGTCTCTCGCACAATCGGACAACGTTTTGTCTTTTCCTGTCATTTCTGCTTTGTCGTCCCTGGCATCTTCTCCTGCTCTGAAAGACGCCTCACTGTGCAGAGAAGCCTAACCTCCGGCCAAACCCCAATTCTTGAACTCCCCCTCCTTACTAGACAATCTTGCTAATATCGAAACCTTGTCCGAAAACACAGACAATGCTGATGCGTACCAGTTAACAGATGTTGGCCGTTTGTAGTATTGTATCGCACTTGATTGCGTGTAGTCCCTAGAATGTCGTGGTACAAATACCAGCATGGTACTTTCGGGTGGCATGATCTGGTCATCTACACTACTTACGAACGGGGCTGCCCGACCACTGTTGTGCTGCGCCATCCATTGAACAACTCCGTTTCATTCCACTACCTCCCCAGGTTCGCGACCTGTCTATGCGATACCGCGAGGATCTTCCCCCCGTGCTGAAGGGCCTAACCTTGTCCATCAAGGGAGGGTCGAGGGTAGGAGTGGTCGGCAGGACGGGTGCGGGAAAATCTAGCCTCATCGCCGCGTTGTTCCGGCTCGTGGAGTACGACAGGGACAGGTACTCCAAAGAAACATTGCGGATTCCAGCATGATAGGAGTCTACCCCCGTGCGCATGAGTGCTTGTCGAAGTGCACAAAGACGTGGTGCTGCACTTGTTTCTGGTCCATTTCGCCACGCAGTCTGAGCATCGTCGGTGTGCTGTACAAGAGGATGAGGCTGAGTGCGGTGGCAGTCGTACCTCCTTTAATCGCACTCGGAAACCTTCGCCTGATGTCTTCGCGTCTTGATTTCACTCGGCCGACGATTTGCGGCAGGGGAGGAATTGAAATTGATGGCGTGGACATCTCCAAGGTGGGCCTGCACGACCTGAGGCCCAAGATGTCTGTTGTCCCTCAGACGCCGTTTCTATTTTCCGGCTCGATGCGGCTAAACCTCGACCCCTTCGCAAAGTGAGTTTTGCACGGCCGATGTGCCGAACATCTCTAACCTGTTTGCACCTTGTTCCGTGTCCTTCTCCTCTCTCGAGGGAAGGCCTCAAGCGCCTCTTTCGATTTCGTCGAATCGCTTTGCGTATTTCGCGTATTTCGCGGTTGCACGGCCCCTATGCATCTCCACTTTTTCCCACAGAAAATGTTTGGTGATAAATGGGGCAAGGCGGCCCAACAAACCGAGACGTAGCCTGTGAATTTTACCGTCTGGGCATGCAAACCTCCCTTCGTGTGGGTTCTTAGGCAGTCAGACGCACAAATGTGGGCCTCGCTGGAAGCAGTGCAGATGAAGACGTACGTGCAATCGCTGGCGGGCGGGCTAGATGCTCCCGTCGCGGAGGGCGGCGGCAATCTGTCCGTGAGTTACTTTATGAGTTAATGTGCGAGATGCTGATCGACACCATTGGTAAAACAACACCGAAGTTGTTTGAGGCGTGTCATTGAAGTCTAGCCAAATTCGTTCTTGTGGCGTTGTCCATTCACTCCCCATACTTGGAATTTGGAGCACGGTTGTGGGAGCTGTCACGCCGGTTTCTGCTTTGACGCGGTGTTTGAGAAGTACCGGACACAAGGAAATACGACGAAACAACATCCTTTTGTCGTTGCATCTTTCTAGGTGACTCCAAGTTGAGAAGAACCTTGGTAAACTCGTTTGAACAATGTCAGGTTCGTGCTAAACACCTTTAGCGCTTGAGTCATCTCGCAAATCAAGGGTGATGACAACGCCAAGTGGATGGGTCTACAATCGCCCAAGGCCGATGCCGTACTGATCCCTGAATATAGGCGTGTGTTGTGTAGCCATGTTCTCTGAGGGAGGGGCTCGCGTACAAGGCTTGGGCATGCGCGGTGAAAAAGGCATTTCCATCCTTCCATTGCTTTCGCTTGTTGTCGGTCCAAGCGCTAGCTCCTGTCAAATGTGTTCAGTCGTGCAGCCCCACTCGGTGCTGTACATTATAACAACTGCCCTCCATCGTCTCAGTCTCGCCTGCTCTGCACGCTGTCTTTTTCACTCACTCATGCGGAACGCGCAGAAGAGTTTCTGTCTTGCGTCTAACGCAGCACGTGGCGACGTTCCTTGTCGGTTTGTGCTCGTGTGGTCTCCGTCGTGTGTGGCGATTTTGTTGTCGTCTCGCTTTCGGGTTTGGCAGGTAGGGCAGCGGCAACTTTTGTGCCTCGCCAGGGCGGTACTCCAGAGGTCTCAAATTCTTGTGATGGACGAGGCCACCGCTAACATCGACCAACACACCGACTCCCTCATCCAAGACGTCGTGCGGACGTCGTTCAAGGGCAAGACGGTCATCATGGTGGCTCACCGCCTCAACACCGTTATAGATTGCGATCAGGTAAACTATCTACAGTACCTCTTAACGAAGGCTTCGACCATCATGGTGAACGTATGACACCATTGCTTGAAAGCCTGACGAGACGATCGCAAGTGGGATTGTGTTTGAGAGCCTCTACCCGTCCGCTGTTGGCGATACGACGTGGGTCGAAAGCGTACATCCGTTACTTCCTGCTTGATACGAAAACTCCTGTTGTTGCTGCTCTCACCCTCGCTACGAATGATGCTTGCGAACTTGCGATAGGTCGTGGTGTTGTCGGAGGGCAGCGTCGTGGAAGCAGGGCACCCTCACGTGCTTCTCCGAGACCCCCCAGCGTCCTGTGGTAGCGTTGCTGCTGCCCGTGAAACCACAGCCTCGGCTGCCGCCGACGCAACGTTGTCTTCGATGGTTGACGAGACTGGCGTTTCCAGCGCCAAGCACCTGCGGCGCTTGGCGCAGGAAGCGTGGAACGCTTCGAACGGGAAAGGGGGCGGGGTGTAGCCGTTCTTTAAGAGATGATGGTGACGCCACTCCGAGGACTACGGGCTGTAACGGAACGGCACATGTTATCACTAGCGCTGCAAACGACATGTGGGGGATATGGCGTACGCATTGCGTTGGATTCTGGCAACTACGTTGAAGCTTCAAAGAGACCGACACGCAACCGCCCGGCGATGTCCACCGTGCCTCTGGGGTCTTGCATGCGCCAATGGGTGCTCGTATGTGGAAGTTTTATCAGTGTTGAAGTGGGAACAACTATGGAGGAGGTAGAGATCGTTGTGGATGACCTGTGGTACAAATATCTTCCGCTCTTTTTTCACCACAAGATGCCCATAACAATCCTCAACCCAAAGCCCGCTAGCCTAGGCTATACCCTGGCTTGGTCATAGACCCCCACGTCGGATTTTGCCGATAGGTGGAGGTTGTCTGCCAACGTTTAAGACGTCTGCCGTATGGTGTGCAACGAGGATGGTGAGAACCCAATAGAGTTATTATGTGCAAGTGGGGGGTCGAGGAGGGCTTTCAGTTCAGCGGATTAGTATCTGGGAGTAGAGAGCGAGAAGCAGTTGGCAGACACACTGACAAAGCATCTGGATCGTGTTCAGTTCGCCAAGCTGAGAACGATGGTTCAAGAACATGGAGGATCTCCGAATTTTGTTGTAGGAGGTATGCATATGATGAGGAGGGAACATTGAAAGATATGACGGTTGTTTCAGACGTACGCCGACAAATCAGAGGGGGTCGGCGGAACGGTGACTTGAGACATCACTGACGAAGACGACCAAGAACGACAACAATGGCCAAGACAGCCAAGGCTGAGACGACCTGAAAAAAGAACAGTGAAGATTAAAAGGTAACCCGGACGAGAATGACTATCAAAACAAAGACCTAACTGGGACGAGAGCAACAGCCTGGACGAGAGCACCAACTACTACTATGTATAGACGTGAAAATGTCGGAGACTGGATCTGGATTTTCTCCAGCGATGAAGAATGACCTATTGCAGATTGGTCAAAGCCTGCTCTGAAAACTTGTTGAAGCACTACTTAAGAACAAAGTTCATGATCATATTTGATGAGAATGAGAAGGAGGCAACTGAACTACTGTAGTTGGGAAAAATGTGCGTATGAGAGGAAACAAACTTTAAGGCATTTGTCTACAATACATGTAGTCAGTTATCTGCCAACACGGAGCATCGAAATTGTGGTGTTCGTTCATCACATCAAGGTGAACACTTCAAGATCATTTCATGAAATGAGCCGTTGCACCCACATCTTTGTAAAGTGTTTCACCTCGATGTGGTGAATACCACATTTCCGATGCTCCGTGTTGGCAGGCAACTGACTAATGCCCCGATGTTTGTTTCCTCTGATGCACACATTTTATCCAACTTTTTCAGTTGCCTCCTTCTTCGCATCCTCATCAAACGTCATCTGAACTCTCTTCCTAGGTAGTCATTCAAATCAACGAAAAAAATAACTTCCAAGCAGGCTTTGACCCCTCTGCAAAGGTTGTTCTTCATCGCTGAAGAAAATCCAGATCCGGTCTCCTACATTTCCACGCCCATAGTAGTTGGTGCTCTCGTCTAGGTTGTTGTTTTCCTCCTGGTAGTTCTTTGTCTTGACAGTTGTTCTCGTTCAGGTAGTTATTTTCTAGGTGTATTTCAACCCGACCGACACCGTGTTGTGTGCACCTTCTCCTGCCTCCCTCACGTTCAGCTTAAGGGCCCGATACTTCCAGCGCTAGATGTGTAGCTACCCCGACCCGACCAGGAGGTATGCATACTGAACGGGGTTCGAACCTGAACTTTCTAACATCATTTCCAACGGGATGACTGTTCCCCTCTCAGATACTTTCCATCCTAATGTGGACAGTCTCGTCATCCACCAGGCGCCTCCTGGCAGTCGTAGGTTTAGGTTGAGGAGCTCCCCGAACGTTTCAAAGGCTCCAACTGATACTCTGCCGACCCTTGTCCCTCCTGCCCCGTGCAGCCGCGTGATCGCGAAACCTTCCCGGTTTTGGTCAGTCTTTGCCGCCGCGAATCGATTACGACATATTCTGCGTTTGTTCTTTCCTCGATGCTGACTTGGATATCACCGCGAGGAAAGTATCACGTAGTTCGGGTCAAAGACAATACCGGGTGCGCGAGCTCGTTCGTAAATGCACACATTTCTGACGTTGGCACAACAAGATTTGTGAGAGCGTCAGATCTACATGGCGTCTCCTCCATCCCCCGCACCCGTTTCCCCAAGATACCCGTGAGGTAAGATCGACCATGTGACGGCAATCCTCTATGTTTTCCTCTCCTGAAATCCCCGAATTCTATCAATTCTTCTCCCTGCGGTCGCTTTCCTTCAGCGAGAACTCGGCAGCTCTCACCGCATGCAACTTGTGAAAGAACTTGATGGCGGCGAGGTACCCTTTACCGATGGAGCTTTCGTTGTCAAATGAGAAATGTCGGCATACTTGGGCAGGCCACGAAGTCGAGCAAACGACGGCACCCCTGACTCGTCTCCCAAGTTCAACCATGGCCCCCTCCCTTTCATTTCTGTATTAACTCCAACCCCTTGTTCCACTTTTGTACCCCCGAGAGACGCACGCACTTAGATTCCTCCAGAGTGGCAATTCCCGTGCCCATTCCCGCTGTTCCTTCTCCTGCTCCTGGAAAACGAAACCGAAAGGTAGAGTTCGGGGGCAAGGAGTTGAAACACATGCTGGCCAGTGCTGTTCCTAGTGTGATGTCATTTTGCTCTCAAACAAAGTTGTCATGATGCCGAGCAGTGTTCTTCGCAGTACTTGTTGCAAGGCGTTCTCCTCTTTCCCCAAATGATTGCTTGCACCAGTTGTCGGTGTTCGTCAACTGCCACACTCTGCCGGTCAGTTGTGATCGAGGCCAGGCGTGAAGTACTGTTCTGAATTCCTCGAATGTGTTCGGTTCTAATGCCCAGCCTCCAATGATTTCAAGACAACCCGCATTCTCATCCTCAGTCGGGCTCTTTCAGCTCTTGCTCCGCCGCACCGTAATGACCAAGGGGCTGTCGTGGAAGTTGTCTCCACGAATCAGAATCGGACCGCCCTTGGTTTCTGGGCGATGCCAACCAGTTCGTGCTTGATCCAGGCGGTTAGCACCTTTCTCACAAAATTCCAGGGCACTGATTGTCACGTTGCAGGGCTTTCGTGATGAGGACGTCTGTTCGAAGTCAGCTGAAAACGAGGCGGGCAGATCGTATCTCAAGAACACTGGAGGTTCCCGAGAAAACCCGCCTATCGCGTCAACTCTTGCATCTGAGAGGGAAAAGTTCTTGTTGGTGGACGTTTATTGCAGAGGGTGCTCAGTCACAAGTTCTCAGTCAATAGGCCACCGCCAAAGATGTAGGTCGTTCGTGGAAGCCTCTGCCTAACTCTACCCGATGGCTTTGGCTTTTGTTGTGCGACGCATGCAAGCCGGTGACTTCAAGGAGCCTCCAGACGAAGTACCTCCCTGCTGGTATTACGTACGTCAGTATTCATAACTAGGAGTGTTCTGCTGGGAAGGCCACTACTCCATGACGACCGGGTGAACCTGTCTATCCGAAGGTAATCCTACAATCAATGGCACCGAGATCCCCGGTCGTGAACGCATAGAAGAAATTATGGGCTTGGTGTGGATCTGCTCTCACGTGGTGGCCATGAGCAGGCGCAACTTGGGATACTTTAATCTCGGGCTTAACAGTTCGGTAGGACCTCAGCACACAAACGCGAGGGCACCTTGTTTGATGTACTGTACGTATCTGCGTCTAACTACCCTTTTTTCTGTCGGAAAGATGGCAGAATAGATCTTTGATGGCCCTAACCTTGTGGGCAGTAAGAGGCAAGACTCTCAGCTTAGGAATGTCGTGCGCGGCCGCTGTTTGTACGAGTCACCTTTCTCTGTGTGACTCTTCTCCAGTGTTTTTTCATGTTAGCGGGAGATGTTCTTCTTGCGCTGCTACAGTATGGTTACCGTACTGCAGAGCACTTTGAAACTCTGCGTGGGAGGGAGGGCTATCACCGGTACCCCCCCCTGAAACGACTGTCATCAGCTCGTCAATAATTGGAAAATGTTAAACGTAGTTCGCCCAAACACCATCCGATGCCGATTGTGTGTAAGGGAAATATCACTAAAGTTCCAACCCAAGGATCGTGCTACATCCCTACCATCTCGGCTAGACTGTGCGCGTTCTCTCTCTGGTTGCTCTACATCATAATTGCGGTTATTCGGTCTTTCTTTGCGCCAACGAGCTATTCATTCTGAACGCATTTGATCGCGCAACAGCCACTGCTCAACCCGCCACTGAGAAGCCGTTGTGCCGACCCGTCACTCTCGCGCGGTTTTATTCGCTGGTGCTACCTCTGGCTTCTACTACTGTCATTGTGCTCGAACGAAAGAAACCCTGCATGCACTGAACTTTTGTCTGACCCCTGGGCGTCCAGCGGCACGGGTAGTTACCCGAGTCCAGATGGAACCGTTCGGTGAATGTCCTGTTGCGACCATTTCTCGTAAATCCGTCTCTGAATGTGTTTTTGGTCCTGAGCTCCCAACCACGCTCGCGCCTGCCCATGTTGTATTGGAACTGCTTGGCTAGTGTTGGGTTGCCGCGAAGAATCAGCCTGCATGCATGGAACTCCTGTCTGGCCCTCGGCTTCCATACCAACGGGTATGTGCCCGAACGCCGATTGTCCGGCTGGTGTCCTGCTGCGGCGATATATTTTGGCTTCAAGACTGAACATCGTTTCTTCTCCAGAGTCTCAGACACTTCGGTACCTACCCGCGATTGGGATTGCCCTACATTCAATCAGCCCCAACAAAAAAACGCACTGCTTACGCTGAACTTTTGTCTGGGCCTGGGCTTCCAACCGAACGGGTTTATGCCCAATTTATGATGTAACTGCCCGGCTAAGTATATACGGCGATGTTTTCTGGCTTATACGCTGAGCATCGTGTCTTGTCTGGGGTGTCGACCACGTGGATGCCTGTCCTTGTTGTATTGGGACTGCCCTACTGCCGATCAGATTCAACGAAAAGTCGCCCAGTGTGCCCTCAACTTTTTCATGGCCCGGGGCGCCCAACGGCACGGCTATGTACCGAGTTCAGATCGAACTGCCCGGTCAGGTTCCGGCTACGACGATATGTCGTGAACCTAGCTCTGACGGTTGTTACGGCCCTGGGTTTCCAACCACACTGGCGTCTGCCCGTGTTGTATTGGAACAGCCACGCTGCTACATAGTCTCCTGTTGCAAGAAGTCGCGTTTTGTGCACTGAAATGCTCGGCTTTGGAGGTCGTGCTAGTTGTGATTCTTTAGAACCAGATGTTGTGCCGTTGTGTGGCAAACTATCATGCAGCGTCATGTGGTCAAACCAAGTTTGGCGCAATTGTTGTTTAACTTCTCTCACCGTGGACTAGGGCCGGCATAACTGGCGCAGGCGTTGGTGCACCGTAAGGTTCCACCGACCTCCTTCGTCCCCGAACAGGGTACCAGCTCCATCTGGCTCCCACCCCACCCCTGACATGGGGAAAAGCCCGAACTTCCAGAAGCAAGCCCCTCCGGCAAGCACCCCGCCCCTCGCTTGCGGCTCTTTCTCCCCCCCCCTTCCCTGCCGCCTCCAACCATCTTGCCAAAATAGGCCACACTGGCCTGCCTAGGGCCGCATCCGGCGACCGCCTGGCTCTGTTGCTGCTGTAGCTGTGGCTGGGGTTGCTGGAGTGGGGGCTGCTGCTGGGGCTGCCGTTGAGGTTGTTTGGACTGTGTTTGCTGCAGCTGCTGAGGCTGGGGCTGAAGGGATGTGGCGGCTGACGGGGCAGGGTCGGGCTCATAGGTGCTTCCGTCAACGTGCCAGAATGGGCACCCTGCGCGGTGGCAGGGATCACCGAGCCACGTGGCCCTGCATGCCCATGAGGGCAGGTACCCGACCCCACTCTTTTTGGTCTTCCTCTTCCGCGCCGGAGCTCTGGAGGGGGCCGCTGCGGCCGTCTTCTTGTCACCGGCGGAGGATGCGGCGTTTTCCCAGGTTCTGGCCTGTTCTCTTAGGCTCCACGGGTGGTTAGGTTCCGTCAAATTTTTGAGGCGCGTAAACTTCGGTGCTGACACGCTATCCGCCGTGCCGGGAGGTGGCGCGCCGTCCGGGTGGGTCCCTTGGAGCTCGTCCGCTTGCATGGCTAGCGCATGGAGCCAGGCGTCCATACCGTGGTTGATGGCCTCCACGAGGAGGTTCCGTACGTCCACAGGGAATGGGGCCAGCAGCGTGTAGTGGCAATGAAGGTAGACGTCGACCCGTTTCACTACTAGCTCGAGTTCCCTCCGTAGGCTCTTCACGCGCGCGGTGCAAATTTCCGGAGCTGCTTTCATGCCGTACTCGATCGACGTCATGAGCACCTCCGTCAAAGTGGCAAGGTGTACCTGCGCGGGTATGGCCGTTGGTACTGCGCCAGGAGGCAAGGGCGGACCGAAATGCTCGACCTTGCAATCCCACAGTTCGCAGATTTGCCGCGCTGACTGGATGGTGATGTGCGCCTTGTTCTTGGTGAGCATCTGAAGACGACCAATGTCCATCGCACGGCCGACGTTGAAGCTGCCGCGCAGAAGAAAATATTTGGGCCCTGCCGATGAGTTCCATAGCTCGGCCATTCTTTTTTCCGTCATTTTTGTACCGACGCTCTTAGGGTTCGCTGGAGCGACAGGGAGCGAGGGCTGAGGATGTGCCAGCACTACACCGGCGGGTTGGTGAGTAACCAGCTGATGCGGCGGTTGCTGCTGCTGCTGCTGCCGCCGCTGTAGAGCTAGGGTGTGCTCCCGTATTCCCGCGAGCTGTTGCAGTTGCTGCTGTTGCCCCGCTAGTAGTTGCTGAAGGAGATCTATGACATTGCTATCTGCATTACTAGATGCACCTGCGGCCGTCGCGTCGATGGCAGCGTTGGCGTGGGCGGCAGCCGCGGCAGCCACGGCCGCGTTCCTCATTACGACCGTCGAATCGGCCATGACGCTGAGAAAGAAATTCGATCCGCTCTGAAGCCCACGTCTTCTTGTCTCCTCCTTTGTTTCGTCTCTCTCGATCTGGTATAAGCTGTGGGGTCTACTTGGAACCAACGCGGTGCTCCTCCTCCACTGGTCACCACCTGCAGTAGACAACATAGGTACTGCTGCTGTAGTATCTGCCCGCATGAAGTTCCACCGCACGATTGGATGCTCTGGGCGGGGACGTGGATCCTACATCCCCGCTGTTTTAGCGAATTCCATCACGCCTCCATCAGCAACTCATCGCGTGTTGGTTGCCTGCAGCAGGGATGGGTGTTGATCTTGTCGATTGTCAAATGGTCGGTTGGACGTTCATTGGTGTCAGTGAGTTGTCGTCCGCTGAAGGGCAGTGACCTGTGTTCGCAACGCCCTCATCCTCCTCTCCTGTACTCGGATTCAAGAGAAACACGTGAATAACAAGCCGCTGCCACAGCGGGCAGCGCATGGCTGCACGGGCTCGTTGGAGTGGCCGATATCACTAGAGTGGAGATGGAGTGGCCGCCCATGAGCGAGATAACAACAAGGTCGCACTCTAACGTCCCAACAAACTGACGTCCTGATCCTAGATTGACCAACTCAAGGGCAACCAGTGCATTACTGCAGCTAGCTGCTGATGGTCTTGTACACAAGGCCAGGGCGCCGACGGGGGGAGAGATACTGCAGGAGAATGACACTAAGGATGGGGCGTCGCTACATGACTGTAGGCCCAGATGATAACGTGGCCACAAGCCAAGGAAACACACACCCCGCCTGGCCTGTGGGCCGGCGCATACTTCCCTGCTGGAGTACCCGACCTGGGGGCCGAATTCACTGGAGGATTTTCGTTCTCAAGATGAGCCAGCTCGTGCTTCATTGGGTTACAGTTAGGTAAGTGGAGGCGGATGGGGGGGGCGATGGCCATTTACAAAACCTTCGGCCTGCTGCATCGCCCCAGATCGAACCGGGATTAGAAGGTTATTTAGCGTTCCCGAGCGGAACCGACCGTTCATTCTAAAAGCAGTGTGCCATGCTGAATCCAGAACGTGGAGTTATCGTTTGATGTCTCTCCGAGAGGCCATCGAGAATATCTTGGGGAGGGTCCATCTCCTCAACACGCGTTCCCCAAAACTAATCGTATTGCACAATTCCGATAGCCATGCTTAAGGCAAGACCAGTTCAAAATATTCCCGGGCTCGCATAAAGGAAGGAGATTCGCAGCTGGGTAGGTCGCGTCGGGGATCATGACCGCATATTGGCCTGCACGTAGCGACGCTCATAGCATCAGTTCAATGACAATGATGTGGGCCCTCCTCCATTGTTATGTCCCCGCTTTGACATTCTTAAAGGCTTCACACGAACACCCACTGGCGCACGCGCACCACAGAGGCACCGTGGACATCGCCAGGCGGTTGTGAGTCAGTCTCTTTGAAGCTTCAACGGGTTCCCACATCGTTGCCAGAATCCAACGCATGCCTGCGCCACGTGTCCCACGCGTCGTTTCTAGTGCAACAGAAACATGCTCCGGCACAGCCGGCACTCCTCGAAGTGGCAAGAGAGTCATTACCATGGTCTCTTGTTGAACGGCTACACCCCACCCCTCTTCCCTTCCGACGCCTTCCACGCTTCCTGCGCCAAGCGCCGCAGGTGCTTGGCGCTGGAAACGCCAGTCTCGTCAACCATCGAAGACAACGTTGCATCGGCGGCAGCCGAGGCTGTGGTTTCACGGGCAGCAGCAGCGGTACCAGAGGACGCTGGGGGATCTCGGAGAAGCACGTGAGGGTGCCCCGCTTCCACGACGCTGCCCTCCGACAACACCACGACCTATCGCAAGTTCGCAAGCATCATTCGTAGCGAGGGTGAGAGCAGCAACAACAGGAGTTTTCGTATCAAGCAGGAAGTAACGGATGTACGCTTTCGACCCACGTCGTATCGCCAACGGCGGACGGGTAGAGGCTCTCAAACACAATCCCACTTGCGATCGTCTCGTCAGGCTTTCAAGCAATGGTGTCATACGTTCACCATGATGGTCGAAGCCTTCGTTAAGAGGTACTGTAGATAGTTTACCTGATCGCAATCTATAACGGTGTTGAGGCGGTGAGCCACCATGATGACCGTCTTGCCCTTGAACGACGTCCGCACGACGTCTTGGATGAGGGAGTCGGTGTGTTGGTCGATGTTAGCGGTGGCCTCGTCCATCACAAGAATTTGAGACCTCTGGAGTACCGCCCTGGCGAGGCACAAAAGTTGCCGCTGCCCTACCTGCCAAACCCGAAAGCGAGACGACAACAAAATCGCCACACACGACGGAGACCACACGAGCACAAACCGACAAGGAACGTCGCCACGTACTGCGTTAGACGCAAGACAGAAACTCTTCTGCGCGTTCCGCGTGAGTGAGTGAAAAAGACAGCGTGCAGAGCAGGCGAGACTGAGACAATGGAGGGCATTTGTTACAATGTACAGCACCGAGGGGGGCTGCACGACTGAACACATTCGACAGGAGCTAGCGCTTGGACCGACAACAAGCGAAAGCAATGGAAGGATGGAAATGCCTTTTTCACCGCGCATGCCCAAGCCTTGTACGCGAGCCCCTCCCTCAGAGAACATGGCTACACAACACACGCCTATGTTCAGGGATCAGTACGGCATCGGTCTTGGGCGATTGTAGACCCATCCACTTGGCGTTGTCATCACCCTTGATTTGCGAGATGACTCAAGCGCCAAACGTGTTTAGCACGAACCTGACATTGTTCAAACGAGTTTACCAAGGTTCTTCCCAACTTTGCGTCACCTAGAAAGATGCAACGACAAAAGGATGTTGTTTCGTCGTATTTCCTTGTGTCCGGTACTTTCCGAATACCGCGTCAAAGCAGAAACCGGCGTGACAGCTCCCACAACCGTGCTCCAAATCCCAAGTATGGGGAGTGAATGGACAACGCCACAAGAACGAATTTGGCTAGACTCCAATCACACGCCTCAAACAACTTCGGTGTTGTTTAACCAATGGTGTCGATCAGCATCTCGCACATTAACTCATAAAGTAACTCACGGACAGATTGCCGCCGCCCTCCGCGACGGGAGCATCTAGCCCGCCCGCCAGCGATTGCACGTACGTCTTCATCTGCACTGCTTCCAGCGAGGCCCACATTTGTGCGTCTGACTGCCTGAGAGCCCACACGACAGAGATTTGTACGCACAAACGGTGAAAAAAAAACAGGCTACGTCTCGGTTTGTTGGGCCGCCTTGCCCCATTTACCACCAACATTGAGAAAGATAAAATGAAACACCGGGAGGCTACAACCGTGAAAAACGCAAAAGACATTCCGTAAAGCGAGAGAGGCGCTGGGAGAGCTACCGCGAAAGAGAGGAAGGAAACGGAGCGAGTTACAAAGGCAGATTGGAAATGTTTCGAGAAACTCACTTTGCGAAGGGGTCGAGGTTTAGCCGCATCGAGCCGGAAAATAGAAACGGCGTCTGGGGCACCACCGACATCCTGGGCCTCAGGTCGTGCAGGCCCACCTTGGAGATGTCCACGCCATCAATCTCAATACTTCCCCTGCCGAATACCGTCCGTGGAGTGAAAAACAAGATGCGAAAAAGACATCAGGCACAGGTTTCCAAGCGCGATCAAAGGAACTACAAGTGCCAACTTTTCTCGTCCTCTCGTACGTAGCGGGACCGTGCTCAGACAACAGGCGAAACGGAATAGAAACAGACGCACCTGTCCCTGTCGTATTCCACGAGCCGGAAAAGTGCGGCGATGAGGCTAGACTTGCCCGCACCCGTCCTGCCGACGACTCCTACCCTCGACCCTCCCTTGATGGACAAGGTCAGCCCCTTCAGCACCGGGGGAAGGTCCTCGCGGTATCGCATAGACATGTCGCGAACCTGGGGAGTTAGTGGAACGAAACGGAGTGGTTCCGGGGAAAGATGCAGAACCACAGCAGTGATTGGCCAAGGCTAAGTTTCGCTTACGAATGACCAGTACGTGGTTCCACAATAGCAACTGTGTTGGACGCCGGGGAGTAATAAAAATGGCATCTACCGGTGGTTCGGATCCTCCGCACACTGAGGCGTGTTTAAGAGCAGGAGAACATGTCGAGGAGGAGAAAACAGAACAGACGGGGAAAATCTGAAGAGTACTCCGATTGTCAGAGAGTCGACAACGAACATGCGGGGCACGATCGATTTGCGAAGCAGGTCAGACACGCTCGGATGGCCCACCTCGATATCGCCCTTGGCTGGCCACCCATCCGCCGGTTTGCACCCCGGCTCCGACTCCAAACTAGCCTCCTGCGGCACTTTGCAGTACCCCAGCACGCGCTCTGCCGACACCATTTGGTTCTCCACCTGTCCATACCGACGCGAAACAGTGAGTTTGACTCGTGTTAGAGTCAAGGCTATCGCGCACGGAAATAGGCTTCATCGAGGAGAGACAAACACGCCGTGCACGGTGGGGGAAACAAGGCGACGACAGGGGATTCTTCTGGTCTTGCCAACCGCCTTGCTACTTGCGTTGCGCCCTCCACTTTCATGGACCGTGCATATTTTGTACAAGGCAATGACGTGGGGGTCTATTGGTATTGCCACATCGTGTGGCCACTTGCGTTACACGCCGCAATTCATGGTGCGTCCACGTAGCATGAGGAAGTGCCGCTTTCACTCCTAGCGTCTCCTCGAAATGTATAAATACAGTTGGACCGTAGGTCTGTTTGGGCCGTTGGCCCTCGCACCCTCGACCAAAATCCGGATAGAGCACGCACTTCAATTTTCGGCCTACGATGTAGATAGTCATTTCGCCAAGCACGTTTCGCCGTCAGGAGTTGAGCTAGCCGTCGGTCGCGCAAAGGGTACGCTGGCCGCTGGCCGTCTAGTTTCATAGCGCCAACCCATATCCCGAAAGAGGGGGGAAAGAGGTGCGAGATACGCACGCAAACGAATTGTTTTTTCGCTTCGACATTATACGACGAAACAACCGACAACCTAACCTCCGCCGATTGCCTGACGGACCACTGGAAAAGCCCGCCCAGCTGAAGCACGTACACCAACGCTGCTCCCAGCAGCCCCGCATCTGCGAACAAAAGAAGACCCGAAAATTCGCAACAGCCAGCCGTGACGAAAATGGGTTTTCGGTACGGATGGTGCCAAGGGGGCGTGAACACATATTTCGCTGCGTTGAAAAGGCTCTACAACTGCTTGCCCTAGGGCTTTACACTGGCCGTACAACATTTAATCTGCAGCAACGACTTTTATTGTGTTCCCGAGGTCCCGTGGTGGATGTCGATGAAACGACCAAAAAAAAAAGGAGACACGAGGTTGGCACGAGTCGATCAACTTGAACCGTCGGCGACGTTGTTGATACCGTCAGTGTCACAAATGTCGTGACACACACACAGAAGAGAGAGAGAGAGAGACAGACAGACAGACAGACAGACAGACAGACAGACAGACAGACAGATGCAGCGAGAGGAGAGAGGTCGTGCGGACCAAGAGGACGTCTCTTCTTGATTGATGGAAGCACTGGACTGTGCATGTGAGTCCCTTTTGTGCCCGATTTCCAAACCACGAGGAATGGAGTCCAACCAGAATAATAACTGCCACCTATTACACGACTGCGCACGCCCCGCCTATCGCACGGATTCTTATCCTCGTCGACAGAGTTGCTGCACGAGCAGCGTGGCCACCGCCCCGGGAAACCCAGGCGGCCAATACGATGTGAGGTCAGCAGCACTCGACGAGACAGCCCCCACCTCAGCTTCACCAAGCAACCCACGTAGGTAACGCCAGTTACTGGGTGCTAGACGAAATATTCTGGGGGTCGCATACAGCAAGAACCACGCCATCCGCCCCCCTCTGCAGATGAGACATAGTCGACTTTGCGGGGGTGGACAAACAGCTTGAGAGCATATCCGTCGCTCTATGAAAGTACACCGCCGGTTTGCACCCTCCTGACGAACCCCAGAAAAAAGCGTTAACCACACACTCGTGGACCACACTTTTTAATTTCAGAACAATATCAATCAATCGAGAATCAAGCATGCACCCCATCCGTCCCGAGCACTGCCCACGATTGCAAGTATACACAGGGATGGACTATCCCGTTGTGCGACAGCCACCGCCCTTGCAGCGACACTACGCACGGTCAAATAGATTCAAAGTTTGCATCCTGCACTATTTTCAAATGCAGTCTGCAATTCACCAACAAAAACCCAATTAGGTTTCCGAATGAGACACTCGCTCGAGGGTTGTGGGGTGACGTCAGTTTGGACACCCAGGCTCTCCTCGGTGTAGCATGTACCACCCAAACCAGACACTTAGTGTAGCACCTTTTCAACTTACCTCGATACTCCACTGATATATCGACTTGCCGACGTCTCATTCGAAAACAGCCAAAATCTCGTTGAAAAACTGTCGCGATTTGAAAACAGTATGAAACTTGTGCACGCAGGCGACCTGGGGGTTCAGAGAGTTCACTGCACAAGCCTTGAGCCGATATTCCATTCCACAGCCGACTTTGAGGGTGAACGAATTGTCATTGTCTGGGATACGTAGACCGTAGAATGAAACGAAAGAGAAGCACCTGGGGTCTGCACCGAAATCAATCGGGTCCAGACCAAGGTCGCCCACCTATTTAGCCGCCAGCGAAGGACCCATTCACTCTATATACCCGAGGCGAAGCGATTTGAAAACAGTATGAAACTTGTGCACGCAGGCGACCTGGGGGTTCAGAGAGTTCACTGCACAAGCCTTGAGCCGATATTCCATTCCACAGCCGACTTTGAGGGTGAACGAATTGTCATTGTCTGGGATACGTAGACCGTAGAATGAAACGAAAGAGAAGCACCTGGGGTCTGCACCGAAATCAATCGGGTCCAGACCAAGGTCGCCCACCTATTTAGCCGCCAGCGAAGGACCCATTCACTCTATATACCCGAGGCGAAGTAATAAGGCGAAAAGTGTAAGGTTGTGGGCAGCACCAAGGAGAACCGCCCGGGGTTCCACCCCTTGTCACATATATTCACACCATTGTTCGAATGAGATGTTCGCGCGTGTGGGTTGTGCGGCGGCCTCCACGTGGACCCCCAAGCTGTTATCGTTCGGTTGAAAAAAACATCTATGCCGGATATTTTTCAAATGTACTTTTTCCTTTCATGTCCCGATGGTATTAGATGTCGGCCTATGGGTTGTGCGACTATCACGGTCTGGACCCCAATGTTGTCCTGTGTCCATGCAGACATTCTCTCCGGCACAACTTCACATGTTTTCAACCGCAAAAGGTCGCAAACGAAAAATCGACATTACCGATGGCCCGATGGCCGATACGTTATTCGAGAACTGGTGGCTTGGGAAATATATATATGCATACAAGGTCCCCCTTCGGGACGTTGGTGTCAGGCCCCCGGGGGTGACGCAAATAGGAAAGGAAGTAGTAAAGTCATGGATTAAATTGCAAAGTTCGGTAGTGCTCGCCCCCGTACAAAACATGGCATGTATCATGGGACGGAGGAGGTGGAAGGGGAACGATGCGTTGGTGGCGGCGCTGGAGGCTTGGCGGCTTTGGCGAGGCATGCATGTACGGTGTTTATTGACGGAGGGAGAGAAAGAGAGTGGAAGCTGCTCTGGCGGTATGAGCTGTGATGTGTGATGAGAGGGGGGGTGTAGAAGGAGTAGATGCGAGGAGAGCCATATGAGAGCGAATGCGGGCAGCCGAATATTTGGATGCCACGCCAGATTTTTGCTTTTGGAACAGATTATTTTTTCTTCGTGTTGATCGGACTTTCGCCTGTACATGAATAGACACATTGTTCTGCACATGACCAGCCCGAGAAGGAGTACTGATGCAGATGCCTACACCGCGCCGTAATGTATAAATAAGCGTTGTTGCTGTGGCGTGCCCATCCGTGCGGGGAGTGTGCAGCTGGTGCAGTGATGGCCCGCCAGTGATGGCCCGCACCCTTCAGGAGAAAATCGGGGATTTGACCTATGAAGAAAAGATCCAAACAAAATCAGTAATCGGCACGTTTCTACCTGTCAGGTTTTTCGTTTTGAGCTTGTGTTGAATCGGACTTGTTCCTGTACGTGTACAGACACTAGTTCTAAACATGACCAGCCCCGAGAAGGAGTGCTGGTGATTATGCATACACCGCGCAGTATATGTGAATAAAAGACATGTGTTGCTGCTGTTGTGAATCCATCTGTGGGGAGCGTGCAGCTGGTGCAGTGATGGTCCGCACCCATTCGGAGAAAAAATCGGAGACTTGACCTATGAAGAAAAGATCCGAAATATTCTGTGACTGGCATGATGTGTGCTGATCAACCATGGAATATGAATTAGGTCTGTGAACTGTATCTTCCACACAATACAATTGCAACCCGGAGGTGAGAGTTCCAGGCAGAGTCGCGGTCCCGAAGCTGTGGGTGAAGAACCACATTACATAGAAACGTACGCATAGACACACACAGTGTTAAGGCTGTTATGCATGATGCTTGCTAGCTGGTGCAGTGATGGCCCGCACCCATTCGGAGAAAATCGGAGATTTGACCTGTGAAGAAAAGATACGAAAAAATCTGTGACTGGCATGACGTGTTCTAATCAACCGTGGAATATGAATTAGGTCCGTGAACATGTATCTTCCACACAATACAATTGCAACCCGGAGGTGAGAGTTCAAAGCAGAGTCGCGGCCCCGAAGCTGTGGGTGGAGAACCACGTTACATAGAAACGTACGCATGGACACACACAGTGTTAAGGCTGCTATGGTGCTACACCGATTAGGTATATAGAATAGAGGGGACGGGAATTACATGGTTTTCCGCACAGAAGCCACCCCACAACACAAACCGACATCCCAAGTCTAAACACATGTGAAGTGAAATGCATGCAAATGCCCGGGAGATACGGTAAAATGAAAAAAGAGAATAAACTGCCGGGGATCCAGACCGAGGTCGCCGCACAACCTAAGGGCCGTAGGCCGAATCCCATTCAACAAACAACGAGGAGTGGGAAAATGCGAGAATTGTCCGGGATGGGCCACATAGTATGTGTTTGACCACCAGGGGATCGAGACAGAGATCGCAGTACGGATACCCCATTCCAGAACCAATGTCAACCAGTCAGGCTCCTGCGGTGTCGAGAGTCCTTCGTCACGGGTAGGTGTTGCTGTGTTTATGCATTCTCATCGATCGCGAAGGGAATAACCGAAATAGTCGATATAGCCGGCATGACAGTATTCACCCTTAGCTGAGAAGCGTTTTCCCGCAATGACGTAGTGAATCCAGACGCCGATGAATCAACCATACCGACCTGAAACTGACTGCGAGTAGAAATAACAAAGCGAGCACATCGAATCCAGGGACGGATGAACCAAAACGTCGCCCCGTAACCTATAACTGCCAGGAAGAAAAATAACAAGGGAAAGATGGATATAGATACCGACGACCAGCCGCATCCACCCATCCTGCTCGCTAAAAACCGCCACACACATTGACAGTCAATGACTTCGCCGAACACCGAAATACTCACCGACGGAATCACTGTACTCGTTCACCGCGACAGAGAAGAAGCAGCTAGCAGTGAGAACGATGATCACCACCATGTCCATCCGGAAACCTAGCCACCGCGCGGTGTACACCCACGCAAAGTAGGCCCTCGTGTTCATGTTTACCCGTTCTGTGAACTGGCTCAGGAACCGGTCTAATATTGGGGGAGGACGATCGACGGACAAGGCGAAGGTACCGCAGAAGAGATCAAGCGCAATGCCCCGAAAACCGGGGGGTGGCCCCTTTAGCAGAGGAACCACCCGTTGCGGAAGGGGAGGTGGTAACCGGCGCGACCAATCATTGAACACGGCGCGCCACCCTACCTACAGTGCCCCGCGCAGATTGGCATTGTCGCACACCAAGCCTCTTCGCGCAATCTATGAATCGGTAAAATTTACACTCATCATCACCCAACACAAGGCATGCATCATCGCTCTCGAAATCTGATACCCGTGCCATTCATCGGCCAACAGGTCATACGTCGAACACACCTCCATCGTGGTACGCAGGGGATTCGTTCCTACTGGAAAAGGGTACAGCGAGAGGTCTACTAGCGTTGGTATACGGGGGGTGAGAGCGGTGGTGACCCACCCTGCTTGCCGAAGGCTCGGATGGTGACAAGGCCGTCCAGCGTCTCGGACAGCTGGGAGTACACCGGGCTACGGGTCACCGCCTCCAGCCGCTTTTCGTGCACACGATACCCACGGGAAAAAATAGGCAAAATGAAAAATGTGGTGGCGACAGGAGGAGTGAAGGCGTAGCACCGTAGAGCAAGCACTTCATGCGTGAACTAGTTCATATAATCATACCGCCCATGGAGGCGCACCGATGAACATGCCTGGAAGCTATGCACTAGTCTCGCGAAATTATCACCTTTCCCCTACGATACGTTCGGTTGGTAAACATGGCAACGTGACACGTTCACGCTCGTTCACGCGGAAGCTGACGGACGATACAAGGATCCCCGTGGAGTGAACCGCACTAGCCAGCAACGCTGCAGTTTGAGAATGAGGTACGCACTGATCACGAACGTGTAGTTGACAATGTAGCACGCCATCGTTGACATCATTCCGCGCTACGTATGTACCTTGGCTTCCCTGCTCGTCTTCATGTAGAAACTCATCAGATACAGGAAGTACCACATGGCCGGGACCATGCTGCGATGGACGAGAATTTTTAGGACGAGAGGGGGGTGGACAACAAAAAACGGAGTTGTCGCACACGGTTGACGTGAAGATAAGAGGAAAAACGCAGGAGGACCGTGATGGACTTGGCCACGATGGTCTGTCGTGACATGAGAGCAGAGCGAGGAAGCCATACCCGCGACTGTCCTATCACCACGGCCTTTTTCTTCATGTTTGAATGAAACTTAAACTTGTCGACGATGGAAACTGTTGGGTGAAAAGCGTCGATGTCTTGGATCAATGATACAAGCAGAAACAACCAAGGCCAAGCGGCGCATTTCGACATTGATTCCAAGAACAGTTCGACGACACAAATACTGTCAGTGAGTTTGCTGCCGACCGTGCAATCGCTGCAACCGACGAGAGAATGTCGGTATATTTTGCTCACCGATACCTCATACGTCACTCACCCACAGCTCTCAAATAATTCCTGAACGAGCTACATTTCATTCAGGCCTGGCGGAAAGTAACACCAGACACTATCCTAGCCCAGTTCAAACCGGTCGAAAGCATTACAGGGCGTCCGACGGGCGGCGCCCGCTCGGGACCACGTTCATTGCGGTCGTACGTACGCGAAACCCCAACCAGCCAGTCACACCCTTGCCATTTCCAATAGGACAATGATCCCACAATCACATTTAGGCTGTCGTTTTTCACTCGACCCGTTCTCAGGCATGTGAATGTCGGTAGTCTCTACCCCTCATCCGGAATCGCCGAAAGCAAACTTATGTTTCCCTCAAACTACAAATCACGTGAGGCGTCGCGACAAGCTTCTTCTCGCAGCAATTCCCTCGCATCAGAGCTCCAGGTGTCTTTGCTCGCAACGGACCCACGCGCGAAATGGCGAAATCTCAAATAACATGAAACGGAATTGAACGGTGCTCGGCTCTGCGAGCTGTTCATCGGGCAGTGGTCTCCACCTTGATGACGCTGTGCGAACCTGACAATCCCGTACGGGTTTCCCGCTGGGCACAGTTACCAGCGCGCTGCTCTACTGTAAATCACCTTCTGTACTCGCTCGCGACAAAGGTATCTCAAAAAGCGACTCTTCGCAAGGGGGAATCCCCAGTTCTTCACATGACGACTAAAACCCACTTTCTACGAGCGACAATAATCGGGATGAGGTTTCCAGTAGTGAACTTGGATGCTCGGTATCGAGCGATTGCCAGGAAATGATGACAATTCATTGATCACAGAAGAGAGCACTAAAGCCGCAAAACAACACGGTCGTCCGCATTGCGACATTGCCTGCCTACAGTAGCGTATCTTTGTGTGCACGCCTAGCACCAGCGGTATTCTTCGCTGGAAGAAGAGACCCAATAATATCGCCGACAAGATCACGAGCAAAACCGCCTGTCGAAAGACAAGCGACACTGGCAACCACCCGGGTGTCGACAAAGAAGATAATGGGAAAGACACCGAATCATGTAGCCACCAGTTCCACGAGAAAATAATCTTCTCGATGGACAAACGAACCTGAGAACCACCCAGGGGTTGACGAAGAAGATGATGAGCGTGCCGCCCGTCACCATGAAGCTGCAGATGATGAAGTCGTACAGGGTCATTGGCAGGAGGTCGTCCATGAAGTGCATGTCCTTCGTGAAGCGGTTCAGGATCCTAGAGCACAACGCGGAACCGTCCATTCAAAACGGGAGGAGGGAGGCAGGGTTCCCAGCTACCAAGTTAGCCAAGGCGATTGACAACGGCGTACCTTGGAGGTCATTCCTCGGGGATTTCTGAGGTTGTCCACAATGACGTTGAAAGTAAAGAGCAACGCAACGTATCTAGCGCCCATCCATCCACCCATCCAGGCAGCCGCAATTTCGTGCGACACTAACGCAGAAACCCGTCCGCCAAGGACTCTAAGGTGCATCTGGGACGACTTCGAATCCTTTGTGAACCAACAGCCGGTGAATCGTTCTTATGCATAGGAAGATCGACACACGAATCAGGAAGAACCATGAAAGGGGTCCTGGTTCGGCTTGTGAACAGTACCTGCCGACGGGATTGGAGTCGAAGAACAGGACCGGGGCGCGGACGACCCGCTTGAGCATTCGATCGTGCAGCCGGTGCGAAGCCTGAGGGAAGAAGAAAAGCACAGAGGAGCCGCAACGAAACAAGAGGAAAACGCACGCCCACAAAATGACAAACCAGGAACGTTCTTCATGTTCGAGAAGGCGGAGCATAGGTTCGGGAAAAGAGAGCGACCTTCACCGGTTGTGTGCAAACACGACCTCCGAACGGACCCCGCGACGGCCGACGCACTGCAAAAGCAAGACAGGGAAACCCTGACGGGGGGTAGGGGTCGGAGCTAGACCATACTCTCTTGCGCACGAGCAGCAACAAACACTCCACGCCCGCACACTTTATTTCGCACCTTGACAAGACTGAAGAAGGTTAGGACGGCCCTGAAAAGGGAGACCACGACGGCTGCTGCGGTGAGAAGCGCGAGAACGATGACGTTCCGGCTCCGGTCCTGCTCCTCCTCGCTCTGGCGCGACCACCTGGCCAGCCAAACCGTCACCCCCATCACCAGCACCTGGTGCGTCGCGCGTGGCGGGTTTCCGTAAACAGGCACGGTGCGCCGGACAACGATGGTTTTTTCCGTCTTGATCATGAGGCAAAATATTGGACAGCTGAACAGTGGGATGCCCTCAAAGAAAAACATTCGTCGGACAATATCGCCATCCAGGGTCCCAGAAACGAAGTGCTTGCCACAGGTTGAATAAGATATCCCACACCGTGTACCGATTGTCAAAGCTCTGCTACTCCGCAGCGAAGAGAACGCCAAACTGGAAGGATAAAATTTCGGAGAGTTCTCGACGAGACGGTTCCAAAGTTTCGATTCGGCACCGCCCCCCTGTTGTTGCTGCAGAACAAGCGAGCTATACGCTTCGGTCCGGGAAGTGTGGCAACTCATGCGACCTACCATCACACGGTACTACGCCCCCAACCGCCTTGGCGTGTAGTAATGCCTGGTTCCGCTACCTGTCCTCCCGCCATGGAGAAGAAAATCAGCACGACCTGCCAGACGCCGGCAGCCTCCCTGATGTACTCCCCGTAGGTGCTGCGCTTCAGCCCCCCAGACTGTGCCCGAAGCAAAACGGGGCAGCGAGCACCCACAGAATCGAGTTATAAGGAGCGGGGAGAGAGGAAATGGGGAGGGCGTGGAAAGGAGAAAATGAGAGCTACAGAACGGGCAGGTGACACGCCCATCCTTCGTCTGCCGGCACTGACGTATGCGCGTCAAGGGCGTCGTCATGCTCTTGACCACACGGGACCACCGCTTGTCGATCTCACGCCATCTTACGTGACCGGCATGCTCGGGCGGATCCAGAGCATTTGCTTCATGTTCCGTCTCCGTATCCTGTAATGCGCCGCTGTTTCCTTTCATGAGTAATCGTGCAAGGTCAGCCAACACCACTATAACCACCACCCCCACCCCCCCCGATGTTTGCCATCGGGGTTGGGTTTTCGTCGCTTGGCAGCGATGTTGTAAAACAAGCCGATCACTTCGTGAGCTCGGCAACCAGGTTACCGCATTTTTTTTTTTGCCTCTGTTTGTTTTTTTTGGGCGGTAACCATGATGGTGGTCGAGTTGATTATGCTGTGCGGGGTCGAGAACCTTCACTCCGCGCAAAGGGGATAATCGCACCACGTTGTGTTAAATTGGTCAAGCACCCTCGAGGCAGTTACACAGTGCTTATAACCGTCTCTGGAAGTGAAAGCACCAGAAAATAAATTAAGTCATACGCAGCTGTCATCCGTAAGCAAGAAAGTAAGCACAAGATGATGAACACCCTTAGCAGGATGCAGCGAACCCTTCATGCGACTCCCCGAATACCTCACCACGCTTCGCGCTTGATGAGAGCCTGGTCCGGTGAGAACCCGGCGTGCTCCGCCCCGGCTTCGTAGGGATGCGAGGTCAATGGTCTAACGACTAACGGCATGCACGACTTTGAGTGCACCCCCCCACACCCCCACCACCTCTACAACAGACAACAACCCCCCCCCCCTGCTGTCGTGGCTTTGCGCACCTCCTGGTCTTCCGAGACGACGAGTTCCGGCGGCGCCTCCTTATCACCCTCCGCCACCGTCTCACCCTCGGTCACCGTCTTCTCTATTTCTGAATGACCGCCCGCTTCTGCTGCTACCGCGCTACTCGCCACCCTCGATCGCGGCTGCTGTTGCTGCTGCTGCTGGAATGACACCGCCTCCTCCGAGCGGTACATGGAACTCCGGCTGCGCGCTCTGTCCACCACAACCCCACCGACCCACTTCTCGGCCTCCGCCGCCACCAGACCCCCCTCGTTGCTGTCCCCGTCCGCGTCGCCCCAACAGTCATCTTCGCCGTCGTGTCCGACACCCCCACCGTCCTTCTCCTCCTCCTCCTCCTGCTTCTGCTGATCTCGGTGGAGTTCAACCGAGGTGTTGTCGCCGCCCTCGACGTTTATAGCCGTCATTTCCAAAGACGTTGAAGATCCGTCAGCCGCCGGGGCGCACCCCTCAGATGGCGCGCCGCCCCTGCCGTCAAGCGCAGCGCTGGAGGCAGAGCGAGACGAGGAGGAGGAGGATTGGGCCGCCGCCGCCGCCACCGCCGCCTGCGGCGGCCTCTTGTGGTAGGCGCTGCCGGCACTGCTAGTGCTGCGGGCGCGGGAGGGCCGGGAAACTCCTCCTGCAGCGGTGATGCTAACGGCACTACAACCGTGGTCGACCTCGGCCTCTCCCCCGGTGGCTTTCGTGGGCGGGGCCGGACGCTCGAGCGCGGCGAAGCTTCCGCTGGCTTCGAGCTCTTGGTAGCTGAGGGTGGGCAAAACAATGTAGAAGAAAACGACAGAGCGGAAAGAAAGCGCGCAAGTGCCTGCGTGGGTCCAACAATAGTAGCATGAAATGGCAGCGCAGAGAGAAGCGGCCTGTTCTCGAAGCCCGCCTTCGTCGGCTGCAGTAGCAGCAGCAGCCCTTCAACGGTCGTCCGGTGGACAAAATGGATCGAGATGAACGGTTACACAAACATGCCACACCCGGTGGCAATGCTGTTTTACGCGTCAACATGAGCCCAAAATCTTACCATTTTCAGATCAATAGGGCGACAGACGATAGCACATCCCCCACAGATTACCGCACCCGGCGTTCATTACTCAATAAGCCAAACTTCATCACCAATTTGCAGTTTGGGTGTGCCGACTACGGTCAACCCATCGCAAGGTAGACAATGAGGCATAGAGGTTACCGTCTATCATCCTGGGGACGCAACCGTAGAGTAGCGCCCAAGACGCAAGTGGTTTGACAAAGAATTCATGCAGAATTACCGCGGGATGCTTCGCTGAAGTACGACGGAACCCGCCGCAATACGGAAAGACAATGGGGCAAAAAAACATTGAAGAAAAATGCATCCCGAAATAAGAAACGCACGGGTCGCGGCCGACAGATCTGCCGCGCCCACTCAAAGGCTGTGTTGTCTAAGCCGTTGGCGCCTGTGCTCAAGTGTGTCGTCATTGTTGGCACCGCCCGACGACTGACTAATGAAACTATGTTGGATTGAGACCCGTGAGGGGGGAGGGTTGTGAGTGTGTGCGTTTGTGTGGGTTTTTGATATTGCTCTTAATTAACGTGTTGAAGTATTTTGTGTGCGCATGGCGAATGGTGCCGCGGGTCGCACCTCCCTTTTCCGATGATCTTTCCGTGGTGCATGACGATGATCTGGTCCACCTCGGGGTCACTCAAGTAGTGCACCTGCTCACGACGACGACGTACAAGAACGTAATTACGCCACGCGTCTAAAGTTCGTCAAGCGGGAAAAGAAGTGCAGCGATCGTGTGACCAAAACAACAACAAGAACAAGGTGTTTGTGTGTGTACTCGGTAGGATACGAATCTCCGAGATCTCCGGGGGGGGTTCGCAGATATTGGCGGGTTTTTGCCAGCGCGCGTCAAGGAGATCCAGCTACAAGAAACAAAACAGGAGATACATCGTGCCGCATTTATTGAGGCGTAATTTGGCGGAGGACGAAACAGACGATGAGGGAGAAGGACGAGACGGAGAAGGGATATGAGCATATCTAAGCGAGAATAATGATGCGCCGGCAGGAGCAATGGCTGCCGGGAGAAAGACGGCCGGGAAAGCTGGCGGAGCTGGGCTCGGCACACAGCGGGTGAGCGGTTACAGCAGCAGTCGGACAGCGCCCAAATTCCCGAAAGATTCGGCGAAGGCCGTGAGCTGGCTGGGGAGAATGCGGAATTCCCTGGCTAGCGAGGGTTTGGAGCAGACCCTTGGACACACCCATCGCACCGACCATGTTCCTGTCATCAGCTGTTCTGAACGCAAAAATATTAACCGGGTTCATGGTGCGGCGCTTGATATGGCACACAAGCGGGCATGGGGATTTCTGCTAGAAGCGACCTACGGCACTGTTATTGAAGAACCGTTAGCTGCTTGCGACTGTGTCCCTGAGGCGTGGAGGGTGATCCGTGAATGACTTTTGCCTACTTTTGGCGCTGAGAAGACATCGCGTGTGAGACAACTTGAGACCGTTGAAATGTATCCCGGCGAGGACCCGAATCTCTTCTTCGCCAGGGTAGACGGGTTCGTCGACATCATGAGAGCTGTCGGCATTGTAAAGTCTGAGCGGAAAATTGTGCATATCATGGTCCCCCAGCTTGCGCACGAATACGATGTCGAACGCGGAGTCCATCCTAGCCGACCCCACCATTCCACGAGCGAAGGTGGAAAATATTCTTCGCACGGCATACGCGAACAAGGTCATGATGAAGGAATTGGGCAAAGCGCAGGCGATCTGTGGTTTGGGGTACGGTCGTGGCGGCGACGGTCAGAGGGGGCAACAACGGCGGTGGCGGCAGCTGCGGTAGCTGCGGCAGCGGCAGCAGCGGCAGCGGCAGCAGCGGTAGTGGGTTCATCCGCAACCACCACCTGCACACCACCCACCTCCTAACTTCCCGACGTGGGGATCTGGGGGGCTCCATGACTGTGGATGCAACGCCGTTTTCCCGCAAGAGGAGTCAGCTCCGCCGATGGGTGCCGTTCTATCAACCCCGCAAATTTCCCTCAATCCCGTTCACGAAAGGGCCCCCAACACGTCCCCCGTTTCATGTCGATCAAATCGTCGTCGGTGATGCTACGTACTCCTTCGCGGACCTATATCAGAAAAGGAACTAATGGGGCGGAGTCGTTCTCTGTGCTTGCCTGGTGCGTCACGAGGACCCTTGTGCTCCCCTTGAGCCTGCCGCACACCACCTTGGAGAAGAGCTCGCGCCCGACGGCCGGGTCCACCGCCGACAGGGGGTCGTCCATAAGGTAAGTGTCCGCCTAAAGAGACAAGCAGCAGCAGGAAAGGGGAAGGAGCAAGACCGGCGTGTTTCAAGCAAAACACACACTCAAGAGAAGAGTAACAGGCAGCGCGATGGACACACCTCTATCAGAGCAGCATACAAAGGATTGCGATTAGCGAAGCACGCCCACAATCGTTCGTCCATGAGGTAAGTGACCGCCCTAACAACCGGGGGGAAGAGGGGGAAGAGAGACCGGCGTGATGCAAGCGGCAGACAGGCATTCAGAGAAAAGGAAGAACACCTCGCTGTCATCCTGGCCCGTGTGCTAGTCACGGCACACATGGCCCTTCGGCGGGGAATGCGATGTCTCCCTTGCCGAAGACAGATGTAGTTTGTGATCTACAGGTTGCACGGCAAACGGGCGTGGAGGTCCGGACGACACAAACAGGCCTGCAAGGTGCGTTTGTCTTCAATAATGTAAGCGTGATAGGTTGTCGACCTACCACGTAGTTCATCGACGTCAGGAACAATCGTGAGTCATACATATTCGCCGGATAAACGGCGTGGAGGAACACCGAACAAACCCCTAACAACTCGCGGGACCTCCTTGCGGGGTTCTACCATACGATGCTTTTTTTTTTTTGTCTTCACTTCAAATCAGCGCTCACAGCACTAGTGCCGTTTACTCCAACCGTGGTCACACAGAAGAGCCCCTCTCTACCCTCCCCTCCTGCGGTACTTTGCCTTCGATTTTTTATTTTTATGCGAGAAGAGTTCAGCACTCTCTTCCCTCTGTGTACACACGAACTAGCGCTATCCTCTAGGCTAGGAGCGGAAGCGAGAGAAAAACTCACTTTGCAAGAAAAGCTCGCTTACGCCGGGATTCGAACCCCTGACCTGACCTCCAGAAGGTTTCGAGGATACCAACTAGACCACCGGGGCGACCGGCTACATTGTGCATGTGCGTGAAAAGAGGACGGGTAGGCAGTCAGTCAGAAGCAATATCTCATATCACGCCAGATCCACCCGGGCCGTCGACACGGAATAACGAGCTCTCGTCGTAGACAACAGCAGCACGGGATACATGCAGGGGATACCCTCCTTCCACCCACCCCCAATTCCCCACCCCGTACGCTTGCATCTCATCCTGGAGGAGCGGCGCAACTCACATGCGCGTAGGCCATGCGGGCCAGCCCCACTCTCGCCTTCTGGCCCCCGGACAGATTGACGCCCCTGTCTCCGATACCGGTCTGGTCGCCCGATGGTAGGAGGGAGAGGTCCCTTTCCAAGGCACAGTCTCGTATCACCGCGTCGTACCTGCCCGTCGCGAGAAAGAATGAGACAAGACACATAGACAGATGAGACCGACAGACCGACAGAAAATACCGACGGACAGATGGGACAGACAGACAAACAGAGAGGCCAGAGAGAAATAGTAAGACAGACACACACACAGGCAGAGAGGAAGAGAGGCAGAGAGATAGAGAGAAAGACAGAACGATACAAACAGGTAACGTTCAAAGCCATATTGTTGATATGGGGATCACAACATGTGCCTTCAGAGGTCCAACACCCTGCTCCAGCCTCCTATCTCTCTTCCAACGCCATCTGCACCTTTCCCTACCTCTTTTGGTCCATGGCTCTCCCGAACAAGATGTTCTCCCGTAGCGTCCCCGACTGAATCCAAGGTTCTTGTGAGGCGTAAGCTAGGCTTCCCAAAACAGACACACCCAGCTCACTAGTTCGCTGCGTGCAACAAGGACAACATGCAGGAGCAGTAGCAGCAACAACAGCAGCAGCAGCAGCAGCAGGGTCAAAAGCACGCGAAAAAACGCAATACGGAGGAAGGCTCAGCTCGAAGGGGGGGAACAAGAACAAACTGCAGAGGGTGCTCAAGTCAGGACGGCTGCAACCTCGAGCCAACGCGAGTCCAGCACCGTCCCCCGGCTTGGGACAAACACGATAAAAAATTTCAGCCTCAGGGAAGGCACACAGGAGACATCGGCGAGTTGACGCTCGAGACACCATCGAGGAGAAATGCGATCATATGTGCTGACAACAAAACAGAGGCAACATGCCTGGGTCCTTCTCAAAGCCACCAGCACGTTTGGGGCAAAAAAAGCAGCAGTCCAAATTACTGCACCCCCCCCCACGTCCCCCCCCCCCCCGGTGTTTGCCATCGGGGTTGGGTTTTCGTCGCTTGGCAACGACGTTGTAAAACAAGCCCCCCCCCTCGGTGTTTGCCATCGGGATTAGGTTTTCGTCGCTTGGCAACGACGTTGTAAAACAAGCCAATTCACTTCGTGAACTCGGCAACCAGGCTACCGGGTTCTTTTTTTTCCTCTGGTTTTTTTTTTGCGGTAACCATAATGGTGGTCGAGTAGATCATGTTGTGCGGGGTGGAGAACCCTCGCTCCGCGCAAGCGGGATGATCGCACCACGTTGCGTTAAAATGGTCAAGCATCCTCGAGGCAGTTACACAGTGCTTATAACTGTCTCTGGAAGTGAAAGCACCAGAAAATAAACTAAGTCATACGCAGCTGTCATCCGTACGCAAGGAAGTAAGCACAAGATGCCGAACACCCTTAGCAGGATGCAGCTCACCCTTCATGCAACTCGCCGAATACCTCACGGCGCTTCGCGCTTGGTGATGTGAGGGCCTGGTCCGGTGAGAACCCGGCGTGCTCCGTCCCGGCTTTGTAGGGATGCGAGGTCAATGGTCTAACGACTACGGCATGCACGACTATGAGTACACCCCCCACGTCTCCTGATCCCTCCCGTCGTCTGTAAACTGAATGTACGGCAACACGAACCTCGCCGTGGCCATGGCTGGCACCTCCCTCGGCTGCCGAAGCCCCTCCCACTCCAGCCGCACTCTCCGGCGCGATCTCCCTGAGCACGGCCATGAGCAGCGAGCTCTTGGAGGACCCGACTGGCCCGACCACTCCCACCAGCTGCCCCGGCTCGATCCGCAGGTCGATGGCGTCAAGGGTCAATCCTGAAACACACCACGTAGTACAAGGATTGTACGTAAGTAACATCGTGGGTTCGCTGGTGAGTAGGCCGATGACATGCCTAGTACGATCCTCAGTCCGTCGTACGAACGGTAGAGTTGTCCAGCTGTACGCGCACGGGGCGGAAACATGGTCCCGACACCACATAATTCCAAAACCCCACACGACCAAAACGCAACCTATCATACACCGTGGCACCCTTTTCAGGCCACTCCTGTGCTAACGCCTCCACGCAGCAGCCCTTCTCCTCCTCCCCCATCCCCCTGCGGGCCCCATGCTCTAGTGTGGAGGCCGCGGAAGTTTCAGGACGGTTGGGTGACGCTGAGGTCGACATCAGGGGGCGGCCCCAATGTGTGATCCGCCACAAAACAACGCGGTACCCCGTCCGTCAGAGATGCGGTGAGATAGAACCTTTCCTGACATCGCCTCGTATCTTGAGGTATGGATGTCTCCTACAGAGGTACCAGCCGTGAAGGACTCTCACCTCCGGCGTTGTCTTCAGCTTCGTTGTCCTCTTCTACCTGCGCAGCCTCAGCTCCATCGCCGATCCCGTTATCCTTAGCCGCCTGAAATAAATTCGCGGATCATACCCAAGCGTGAGCCGGCGTGTGAAAAACGAGTGCCAGGTGGTAGACAAGATGCCATGATTCGATCTCTGTTTCCACGCGTCGATGGAGAGGTTAACTGATAGTTCGCTTTGCGAACTGCTCCTACGCTTGTTGTACTAGTCGTCGCAAAGGGCGGCGCGTTTTGCCGCGACGTCTCGGTTCGATGGCATTGTGCCACCCCATTCGTTGCACACGCCAACAACCGCCCCCACACCCTTCGTGGTCCACCGAGCTAAAAAGCGCCCACCTGTGCCTCCCTCTCCCACTAATCCCCGTCAGATCTCTGGAGCAACCTACGACGGTACGCCTACCCACAAACCACAAGAAATACTGGATGAACGGAAATACACACGTGGACCCACCAGAACACATCGACGACACGGTTCTCGTTGACTCTTCCCGCAACTCCCCCCCTTCCCCCGCCACGCGCATCGCCCACCTTTCGCTTCTTCTCGTCGCCCTCCATCAACCCGCGGAAGATTTTGGCGTGCTGATCCTCTTCCCCCCCGCTAGCCCATCGGAAGCTCGCCCCCTTCAACGAAACCAGGCCCGGCCTCGCGTCCCCCGTGCCGGTACCACCACCCCCGTCACCGCCGCTACCGCTCTCCTGTTCGTGAACACCCCGAACGCACCCAGGCATCGAGGATTCCCCTCCCGCCTCGCCCCGTGCGACGGCGTCTGCTGCCGCTGCTCCTGGTGCGGAACCCGCTCCCGCCGCGCTCATCTCTGCCTCGGCCACGGTAGGGGCCCCGCCGCGGGAGGCCATCAAGGGAGGGGGGGAAGGGGTAGACCCTGACCCTGTTGGTGTCGACGCCGCGGCGGCGGCGGAAGCGGGGGGGTTTGGCGGCATCCCCTTGTCCGGCTTGATGGCGAGGTCGAACTCTCGCAGCGGTGCAGTTAGAGTTTCGTTCTCCTGTGGGCCATCATCAAGCAGCCGGCGGCGCCGGCATCGCCGGCAGCAGTGATGGCGACAGCGGGGGAGGTGGGCCGACCAATAGCACATTAGTTGCTCAGTCCGGATAACCAAAAACGGAGGCTCTACGTCATCTGTTTGCACCTCAAAATTCTACGAAAAGAATTCTGCTATGGTGTTTCTTTCTTCTTCCTCTGTGAGTGTGACCCAGGCTGATGTCGTGCACAAAACACACACCGAAAGGAGCAAAAAGAGACTGACGTCCAGAACTCATGGGACGAAAACACGACACACGACATACACAACTGCACACACCTCCATGAGCAGGATGGTCTCCATCCGCTTGATGGAGACCCAGCTCTCGCTGGTGGTCTGCACGGCAAGGTAGAGGAATTTTCCCATTGTGAACTGGGTGATGTTGAGGAGCGCCAGCGTGGTGAACACCTGCCACGCCGCGATCCCCCAAGAAGAGCACAGGCAACGGCGCGTGAGCATGTACAAGGCAGGGTTTCTCGGAGCAGAGGCGTGACACTCGAGTGGAAAACCTGTGCGGCACTTTCTCCCAACGCAAGCGGGGTAATGCATAGGGCTAGCATTGCTTGTACGCGGAAGAGGAGCTGTGTACGTGCACGAAGGTCTCCAAAACGAGGACCCGGGCACAAGCACTGCGTGCATACGAGATTGGTTGTACGCCGAACAAGCGAGCTCGCACGTGGTGGGGCCGTGGAGGTGCGTCAATCTCCTTCTTTGCTCTTTCAGAAACAAAACAAATCCATCTCTATCCACCGGAAAGATTCAATTTCCGATTATTTTCCTTCGAGAGCCGTCCCAGGTTGGGTACAAGCCACCACCCCAGGTTGAACGGACGCCACCACTGCTTTCTTCAGACTTAATCAAAACAAGAGGGCAACAAAAATAAAAGAAATATGAAAGCAACGGGGGGGGCGGTTTGGTTGCCGCGCCCATCCAATCACCTGCCGTGCCGTGAGGACGTTTCCGAGCAGGTGGTATGTGGCGAACACGAGGCATGACAAGACGGCGGGCTGTACGAAGAACATGGCCTCGTTGATCGCGCGAAGCAGGGTTGCCTTGAGCAATACGCGAATCTCCTCCGCGCGCACCCTGGGGCGCCAAGAGGCCAACAGAGAGAGAAAGAGAGAGATAGAGTTTGGTGTGGGCCGATGTTGACACTTGACAGATATCGCAACAAGCAAACCAGCAGCACCACCAAAAACACACTCCGCACTGCTAATGCTACTGCAGATGCTGCTACTCCTACTTTAGTATACTTCTACTTTTGTGCGTTCTCAATCCCATTGCCTGCGAATCTCCTTCTCCAAGGCGGGCTCCCAGGCGTTGATCTTCATCAGCCTCGCGCCCGTGACGGCCTGATTGGTCAGCTTCACCCTCTCGTCGGTCAGGACTGTCACGCGCTGCCGCACCTGCGAGAACCTGCGGGAAAACGCCGCCTGGAGGCGCATCAGGGGGAGAAAAAGAGGGCGAGAGGTCCACTTCAGAGGATGCGGAACAGCGGTAGCGGCAGCAGCAGCGATACGGACAACAACAACAACAACAAGCAGCCGCACTTGTGAACGTAGAGCGCCAATTTGCCGGGGGAAAACACTGCGACCATCAAAATTTCCGCCTCCCGTTGCACGCAGCACGGGGTACCTTCGGGTGTTGGGGAGGGCCCTGAGACCGGAGGGTGTGTTTCAGGTTTCGTGTGCCACGCAACACAATTCGACGTTCATTGCTGTCGATGAGTGAAGGGATCGATTTTACTCGACGAGGCCCACACACGTATAGTCTAGGTCTACTTTTCGGAAGGGGATCCATCGTTGCTTGGCGCCTCGGGACCAACAGGCCAGCAAAAAATCCAACGACACGCTAGACTTGAGACGCCACGCCTACGAAACAAGCGATTCCGGTCACAGTCTCTGCAGAGATAAAACGGGCGCATGTAGACACCTCCTCCAAACGATAACCGCACCGCACCATCCTCTCTCGTAGGCCCGTACGTTGACACCCCCCAAAGCGAGTCGACTGACCGCAGCCCCCCATCCTCGTTGCAAGCATCGCGCACAGCCACCACCACACCATTTGCACACCTCACCACGGCACAAAGATACCCGTGCGCCGCTGCCACCGGGTTGCCGCCACCCTCCTACACCGTCACATTTTTTCGAGCAAGTTTCAACGCGTTTCTCGCGGCTACTGTACACCACCGCCAACCGCTGTAGCAACGACCGCCAGGCGTCGAAGGAGCAGGAGTGGGAGGGACTCTCCACGCGGGCGTATGCCAAGTTCGGGGTACACACCTGCATGGGGACTATGAGCGCGAGGGCCGCGAATCCCGCCAGAAAGGACACCCCGACCAGGTCCAAGCCGAAGTACAAGATGACCAGGCTCTCCAGGGGAGCCTCCCAGAGGTAGTTGACGAACAGACCTCCGTACTGAAACCTCTCCACGTCGCTCGTCGTCAGGTTCACCAGGTGTCCGGTGGAAATCTGGCGCGCGAACCAGGCGTGTTGGTTCGAACGTTGTTGTTGTTGTGGTCGTCGTTTGTTGTGGTTGTTGCTGTTGTTGGTGTCGATCATCAATGTGTTTGACTTGACGTTGATAAGTTCCATGTTGCCGCTATGTTGTTGGTTTCAAACACCACCAGTTATGGCTGTGGCTGCCCTTGTTGGAGATACTCAAAGCAACAAAGTTGGCCTCACGTGCCGCAGCAACGCAAGCATGTCACGCACAAGGTTATACATGCACCCCAGCCATGACAATAACATCTTTTGTCTCTGGCAGCTTGCACGAACTCAACAAAGCGTCCACACTAAAGCATGCGCCACACTTACAAATTCCCGCTGTGTCGCGAGCAACACCCACCTGTCCCAGCGAGCTGAGGCGAAGTCGTAGAATCTTGTCGTAGAGGACGGTGGTGGTGCTGATCCTCAGCTGCATGCCCAGCGTCCACCCCACGAAAAAGAAATGGTGATGAAAAAAGCTGCAACAACGTGAAACAGACGGCCGGGAAAGTAGTGATGGTTGATCCCAGCACGCCGCCGTTGTCCACGGAGAGTCGAGAGGCCCACAAGCAAATGGTGGTCGGCCAAAAAGAGGACGGGGCAGGAAGGGTTACTTGAACCTGTCAAGCAGACGAACGAACTTGACAAGAAAAAAAAAGCAGTTTCATATAATCCAAGCAAGGATGTCGCTTGGCACACCAAGCCGCGACTGCATACCCGCAGGATTAACAAAACCAACAACGATAACAACAACAACAACAACCACCACCACCACCACCACCGGCGCCCGGAGCGAAACGACAGAATAAGCAGCATCAGCTCGCCTGAACAACACCCCGCCCAGCACGACGGCGGAGGCGTAGGTCCAGCCCTCCCAACTCTCCGATCTGTCGTCGTCGAAGTATCCGATCAGCCACCCCAGCGATAACGCCTGCTTGGTTACACCCGGGTAGCCGGTCCCGAGTGTCAGCGACAAGGCGCGGGGTTACTAGGAATGTTTCAGGGTAGGGGTATTGGGTGGTGCCTTCGCCCGGCGGCCAGAACACTAAGAGAGAACCACCTCGGGGCATCCGTGGTATGTAACCTACGCGGTGAAAGACCCCCCCCTCCGCCCCCCACCCAGGACCCCAGCCCTAAACAAGATGCAGAGCCGTCCTGTTCCCTAAACGATGTCCTATTGGGAACATAGCCGCGACGGCATCCAAGCCTGCAACAATGCCCTGCCCATCCCTTCGCGCCACTACTCTACAACGGACACAAGATTGCGCCGCCAACCTCTCTCCCCCCACCCCCCACCCCGTCTCCGCCCCTGCTTGCCCCACCTGAAGGATATGGATGGCGCTATCCCCGATCATGAGCAACGCTGTTAGCGCCAGTCCCCGCTTGAACGTGGCAACCAGAGCCCTGAGGAGAGTGGTGCCCTTGCGCCTGCCGCGGCTGTGCTCGCTGTCTCCCCCCATCCTGGACCTCTCCCTACACATGTTCCATGTGACGGTTGGGGGCGGCACAGCGGGCACCAATCAAAACTTCCGGCGGGGTCCCGCAGGACCCCCCCGCCACCACCAAGCTGAAAAGGGACCACCATCATATGTACCTGGAGCACTATAGCGCAGTCGTGCTGCTTAAGATTCATCAGGGTAAAGAACGCTACAAACTAACAGCGCGGTCCGTGAATTATCTTGCAAGTATTCTGCGGCAGATTTCGAGGTGTGGGAGCCCCCACCTGCTCCTAAAGCACCCGCGGAACCCTTGATCGAGCACACGTGAGAGAGAAACGGAGAAGGTAGGCGACGATGGCAAGGAACACGAACAAAGGAACGTGCCAAGCATGAGAGGGTTGGCCCAGCATCCCGTTCGCCAAACCCAAAAACGTCACCGAAGCACCCCTGTCTCCGCCAACCGAGTGCGGACACCCTTCCTCCGCCCCCCCGCCTAAGGTTATGGCCGCGTCCAAAAATAGAGGGTTTTCGGGCCGGCCTCCTCCCGTTTGCACTCCGCTCCGTCACACAGATGTTTTCATTCTCGTCATCTTTCTCGAGTTTAAGCAGCATCCCAATCTCTCCAATAGCACGATTTCGACACTCACAATTCCCAGTTCCGTCGAAGCTTGTCATAGAGGCGCCGGCTGTGTTTGGGCGTCGTCCGGTTGTCCCAAGCGAAAAGCCGAAAATTGTGGCACGGGGTGTGTACCGTGAGAGAGGTGAATCGACAATTACGGGGGTGGGGGGGGCGGGGGCGGGAGGACGACGGGTGGGGCGCATACGGGGGGGTGTAGTAGGCAAAAATAGCGGAATGGGATGAGAAACAGGGCACAACAGAGAGGTGAGGGGAGGTGTGCAGAAGGGTGTGAGGAGTTTGGATGACAAAGATACGATCCAACAGAAGAACACGGGCGGGAGATAGCTGTGGTCAGTCGTGTTCCGAGAAGTTGGCAAGTAGAAAACACCGCGCGGTCTTTGTAACCGATCGGGTTCTCTCGTTTCCTTCTAGGAGGGTATGCGCATGCCGTAGGTTGCACAAAGGTACCACTCCCTGGGCCGATTTTAAGGCCCAACTACTCACGACGAAGAATTGCCACAACAAAAATTGTACAGCAGTACTTCGTTTTGGGAAAGGTTGGTTCCAACACCGCCAGTCTCGGCACCGCCGTCACTGGGTTTGCTGCAGAGACAATCGGGCTCCTACAATCGGTCGAGGGGGGGGTGGTGTCTTATGCAATCTACGGTATCTCCGCGGAGAATGTGCTTTCGCGACTCTTGGCGGACGGGACTTAACAATACGATCCGCTTTTCGGCCGTGCTGCTGCTGCTGCCGCAGAACCAGCGGAACATCATATCTGGTTCCGTGAGCGTCGTGATCCCTTCTCTACACCATCGTAACCGAGAGTGGCACGGGAATATATCATAATCTACAGCAGTGGTCATACCTCGCGATCTCGCGATGCATACAAACGCGCATGATTAGAAAAAACAAACAGCATCGGAATGTTGCACGGGAAGTTGGCGGTCCGATTTCTCCGCGCTCCGCGGTCATTTTCCCGTCGGGAGGAATCCTTCTTCATAGAAGTAATTTGTAACACTTGGCCAAGCCACGCTATCTCTGGTGTACACGACTAACACGTGGCATCCTCCCCCAAGCGGTAAGGTTTTCCGCGACTGCACGATGACTTTCGGTCGGTCTACAGTGACAAGAACGCGACCCCAAAGAGGACGGGGGACGTAGGCAAAGCGTCCCCGGTTACCTGAACAAATCCAAGATCTGATACGCGCTGCCGTTCCCTCGCAAGCATTGGTGTACAACAAACGCTGTTGCAGCCGCAACATGTCGGGGATATCCGCCGGTGGGTTGTAGTCGCCATGCCGACGGTACAGCGCATGCCGACGGTACAGCGCATGCCGACAATGGGCAGAGCAGAGAGCACGAATAGGTGTGTACGTACAGCACCGCCAACTCACCGTTGGAGAGAAGACTCTCGGGTAGGGCAACTGACGGATCAACTGCCTCTATTTACAGAAATTTGGGCTCTACGCATACATGCAAAAATAGTCTCCCGCTTCGCACCTCTCGTGCTTGTGGTAGATTCCCTCAAGGTGCTCTTCCTTGAGAGTGACAGTGGAGCCGAGCTTGAGGAAAGGCCCGGCCCAGGCGAACGTCAAGTAGGAGCCCCAGCCCAAGATGCCTCCTCTTTGCAAGGCTTCCGCCATGCGGTTGCCGGGTTGATGGGCCACGTCGCCGCCCTCTTCAACATGCTCGTGTTGCTGTTGTTCCCCAGATGAAGCAATCGGGCCATGACCACTACCTACGCTTGCTTGGCCTTGGCTGGCCTCGTCGGCTTGGCGCACGGAAGCCATTTACTGGACAGCCCACGTCAACCTATACGCACAACACGTACGTCGGCGGGACGCTACTCTACGCAAGAGTTGCGTGTTGCGCTTCCTCTTGTTGTGTGGTGGACACCTGGAATCAAGCAAACCGATGCACCGGCAATGTCTTCAAACTGCGCGTGGCCTCCGAACAGAGAGATCAAGAGGTGCGTGTCTGCGTCACTGCGCTCGCCAATCGAGTGTGGCCTGGCCTGGACTTGCGATCACACACACGTCCGCCGGCTGCTGCTGCGTACCGTCTTTAGACAGGGGTTTCGTGTTTCCGAGCGGAGATCCCGTAGAATCAATGCAGATCTCGCAGTAGATTTCGTAGATCGTGGATACGACGGATAGTTGACAGTACCGCCGTGCCCTTTCACACTTGACTGAATGCGTCCCTGGCGACTTACAGCAGTAGCACCGCCACCCTCAACCCCTCTCAGACACGATGCTGCACGGTGCATTCTGGTGCAATCGTACTGAAGGGAACATGAAAAAAAGACAATCTGAAGATAAAGATACAATTGTACAACACAACCAGGCCAAAAATAGTGTTTGAAAGTGGCATGTTTCGACAATCTGCCCCGCACCCTGACGATGTGGACAAATACTGCCTCTCCAGCTTTACGACAGTCCCCTCTCCTTCCCCCCTTGCCGGTGCTAATCCCTCCTCGTCAAGACAAAGGAAATTGTTACATTTACTCAGTTCTCCCAAAAAGCTGGTCGCGACGCCTCTGCAGTAGTGTACTCTGGTGCCGTTTTTGCCGACATATGGTGCCCGCGGCGGTCCATAGTCTTATGCACAGCGTTGTCCAACCATTGCAAATGCACTCATAGAAAACAACCACAACAATATACGCAAGAGGGAGAGCCCCACGACTCAAGAGAACATAAGAACAATTGGTTTGCTGAGCTACCGGCGTTTCGGATCCAGCCGTTGTGCGATCTGATGTAGGACTTGAGGAGGACGGGTTACACAGCTAAGAGACGTTGCTGCTCTCTGCTGCATACACGTGGTTGTTCCACGACATCATCCAAACCATCACAGGTGTGTACACAATTGCACAATGACATTTGATTCGTGGCCTCCAGCTGAAGTTGCACAAGCCCCTCTATCGATATGCGCATGTACGTGTCATACTACCCGTCTACAACTGCACAAGCTCGCGTGTTGAAGTGCGCTAGTGTTGTGCGCCAGTGTTGTGCGCCACCAACTTGCTACACCTCCCACATCAACCAAGAACCGACAAGGAAACAAGGAGAACAATGTTTTACCGTACACCACATCCGCACAAGATCCTGGAGATCCGGCGTACTCGCATAGCTGCTGGAATGATGTATGTATACCTTGAACAACCCCGCTCGTCTTGCACGCACCGTTCACATACTTCTCGATGCCCAACGCGACACAAACAAGAGCGCGCATGCAGCAATACATGTCCAATCTATATCCATCTGGGCCACGACCATCAGGTGAAATGAAATTGCACATACACAACCAATGCGTGCTCTTGTGGACACTCAACAATGGGCATCACAACTAGAATACCGACCGCTGAACATCTTCCCAACATACTCCTCTACACCTCCCCAGAATAACGTTCAGTCATATACCCAAGACGGCCACCTAACTGCTGTCTTGCCGAGCCTGTTACCCACAGGGGAGATATCGCTGTATGCTGCTCGGGGAACCGTAGAATATAAGTTGGTCACCGTACAACATAAATTCATTGCTACTCTACCACGGGCCCTGTGCTGTGGAAGTGCAAAAGAAAAAGAAGAAAACAAATCGTGATATGTACTCGAGAGGTAGACTAGAGACCACCCCAAAACATCAAGTCTTTCGGTGATTCGATGACCAGGGCCATTTAATCACGGTTTGCAGCGATGCCAATAACCACTACAACTCGAAACCAAACAATACCGCCACTCTACAAAGATACACGCCAAACTGGCTTTCGAGAGACCAAAACAAAGCGATAAACATTAGAAACAGCACGGCAGGCAGTGACGAAGGACTCAACTCACGCTCATCCCAAAATCTAAACGAAACAGGGACAGAACGATGTGGGCGACAACAAGAAGCGCTTCAAAGCTCCTCCTCCCCTTCCTTCGGAGGGTAGAAATCCCTCGAGTTCCACGTGACCTTGGAAACTTCAGGCCGCGAAAGCAGAAAGTCCAGGATCTGGCAGGGAGACCAACGGCAAGAATACCGCGGACAACATAGAGAAGAGGTTTTATCGTCATGGAGAGCAACCCGGCGCCACGCTCGTCGAGCGGCCCAATCAACAGCCAGCCCTTGTCGCGCAATATTTATCACCGGCCGTGGGAGAGGGTGTGTGTGGAGAGGGGGGGGGGGTACACAAACTGGAAAATATTGTATTGCAGGAGTGTCGGCACAAGAGAAGCGGTGAGTCCAGCGCTTGGAACATCGATGCGATCCTGCCATCGTGTTGTTTAGCATCGACCGCTCTAGTCGGCTGACCAATGAAAAGCGTCGGTATACAGCGGTAGGCAACACGAATACATTCTTCTTGTAGTCAACGGGCTCTCCCGGTGTATGTGTGTGTGTGTTGCGTTCCTTGAACTAGCATCGATTGCGCCAACCGGCTACATGAAAAGACGCCTCAGTCGAAAGGCGGGATACCCACGCGAACACTCTTTCTAGTGAATACAAAGGGTTCGCCCGGCAAGCGGGTCGCAGGGGTTGGACTACGGTGTCCTGCTTCTGAGAAGACTTAATACCGCCAACCAGCAATGATGCGGCATGTGTGTGTGTGTGTGTGTGGATACCGAGGTATTTGCTCCTCATCCTTTCTGCGCCTCGGAGAGAAGTCGTTCACAATTGACGAAATCTCAACCTGCTCCATTTCTCAACCGGCGCCGACAAATATCGGCCGACGACCATTCAGAAAAAACAAAATGCGCACGCGCACAATTGAACACCAGAAAAAAACGTCGTCCGTACCTGCTGGCCTTCCCACCCCCTTTGCGACGACACGAGAACAGACCCGGCGTCGAGCGCATACACCGACACTTCCAGACTGCCGAGTTGCGCCAACTGGCGACCAAGGGGAGAGAGAGGAAACAAGTATCAGACAGCGGTCATTTCATATGAGCAGCACGGGGTCGGAGGGAAGGAGGGAGAACGTCTCACCCGTGTTTTTTTTTTAAATAGGATCGGCAGTGTGATGAAAACACACGAAGTGAGACAGAGTAAGTGTGTGCGTGTTATGCACTTGTCGTCGACCGCACTAACTGGCTGACCAATGACGTCAGATGTGCAGTAGCATCGACGGCGCAATATTTCTCAGAGCGTGTGTACGTGTGTGTGTTTTTCCTCTGTGGCGATCATCGGCGATGCGTCTCAGTTGGTAATAAGCAACCTTCGGGCGACAAAGCTTTACACTTCCTGGAAGATGGGCGACTATAACGCCTCGGACTCGAGGTCAACTGTATCCGTTCACTCTTTAGGTAGAGCCTGTGCGCTTGTACAGAGTAGATAATTCCCGCCCAAAGCTTGTGAGTGCTGTTGCCATTGTCAGCGTATGGATGGAGCGGGGGGGGTAGGGATATCGTTGCCCGGTCCTCCGTTGTGCGATTGAAAACGGTACCAGTATACGTTGCACAGTCTCCATAAGGGTGCCTGTGCTAGAGCAGATACCGCTACCCGGGCAGATTCGAATGTGCTACCCAGAATCTACCCACACCAAGGCAGGCATGAAAAAAGGGTTGCCCAAGTACCCCAAGCCTTGGCGGAGAAGGGACGTTGTACGTACCCAGGCTGCCCAACTCCGTCGGGGGTGAGGATTCGCCGATCGTAACGCGCCCAGACGTTTGACTTTTGGGTCCATCTCACCCAAAAACGGCCCTCTCTTGGATAGCAGCTCCTCCTACCAGACTGTCAAAAAGCTGGCCAAGGTGACGACCGTAGCCGGGCGTAAACGTGCACGCAGGCATTGGTGTTTGGGCCAATCTCACCAAAACACACCACCACCTCTTGCATCGCAGCTCCTCCTTCCAGACTCTCAAGAAGGAGCTCCAAGAGAGCAAGGTATTCCTACTACAGAGTGAAGTCATTCCCACCTGCTGGAGGCGACCGCCGACCTTTTCCGTCTCTTCCTTCGAGATCGACCCGCCGTTGTCGCCGCTGCCGCCGGTCTCCCCCAGTCCGCCCGAACGGACCTGGGCAAACAGCATCGTCGGGCCGGTCGCGTCCTTCTGCCCCGCCGCCATCGCTCCAACTTGCGCGGCGGTCATGCTGCCCAACGAGCTGCCGGTTCGTTTGAAACGGCGTCGTTTTTGTGTGTTTCCCGACGGCGAGTGACGTGGTTGTCATCGCGATGGAGGAAGGAAGTGCCGTGGGGAGTGCCGGGTCGTCCCGTTTTGGGTCGTGAGAGAAGTGTTCGTATGGGGCGGCAGCAGGCAGGGAAAAATGGTAGGAGGAAAAGCAGAAAAATAGCAGGAGGGACAAGAAAGCGGATGAGGCCAACGGACGGCGGGAGCAAGCCTTGGGGTAGGCATAAGCCCGCGGGATCCGTACCATAAACACAGAAGTTCGTACCTACTCAGAATTCAATCGCTGGGAAATTTCCTTCTCTTTTTAGTGCCAGTAAATAGTCCGGTATACTCGTGCATGGGTGATTTCGAAGCTACCTGTCTGAACGGGTCACCCGACGTTCTGCTTGTTGAATGGGCGCCACCGCATTCCACGCAGTGGACGAAACAACAACAGTCTAACGGGGAGGGATCAAGCCGAGAAAATCTTCCACCCAAAGAGGCGCGTGCCGCATTGCTTGAGAGTCGGGAATGGGGAAGGGTGGCTCGAGAACAGAGATGCTGACGGCGCAAGCACATACACGAAAACACGCACATGCTCAAAGCTAGCTGAAGGTATGGTTTGCACATGGACGGCAGTTGCGGCCTGCGAATTAGAGTCGTCGATTTGAGGTCGAGGCTCAATTTCTTACTTCTTCACCACCACCGTCGAGCATAGATATTTCACGGGTCCGAGGTGCATTTCTTGTTTCTTATGTTTCGTGAACATTTGAGGGGTTTCCTCTTAACCATGAACACGATGCTTCGCAGACGGCCGGCCGCAACTGTACACACACCTGGGATCGAATTTGCCGGCATTTGCCTGCGCTTGCTTTCGCCGTCGCTCCAGATTCTCGAACTTCGCCTGCTCCTCCGTCTTGAGCTCCTCATCCTCGTCGCCGTCCTCCCACTGCTTCTCCAGCTCGTTAAGATCCATCTGGTGGGCGCATCACGTAGTACACGACGGCAAAGTATGCAGTGAATGTTTGGTGGAGTCTTGCCAGCGGGGGGAAATATCACGCGCTGGTGGTTTTGGTTGGACGTCGGGGGCCTCCTGGTTGGTCTTTCTTAAATCAGAGCTAGTTCATATTGGCTCAGTTCTTTGTAGCTGTAGGCGTTGCCGGAATTCCTCAAGTATGCTATCTGGTCCTGCGAGTACTCTCCTCGCAAACAGTGGTCAATAGATGTTTGGATCCGGAAGACACAAAGCGAACCTATATCCTACGAGTGCATATCTGCTATATCCTAGGAGTGCATATCTGCTATATCCTACGAGTGCATACCTATATCCTACGAGTGCATATCTGCTATACCTACGAGTGCATATCTGCTTGCGTCGACGAGACAAACAACTGGTGGATACTTCAATGTGGTTAGAGTCCGTGTTTGTGTTTTCTAGTTCTCGGATTGAAATTGAAGGCGTGACCCGGAGAACAAGAGCTCATCTTCCGAGACCCCGCAACGTGCTCACTCTTTCCGACTAGCGAAGACACGGGCGTGCGGCGCGTAAGGGGAGGGACTCTACTCCATGTAGGCGAAGTCGAACGTCAAAACGAGGGGTACTGTTGTAGGCCAGGATCTTCCTGTGATTGTACTTTTAGTTTTCTACTGCTAGACACTGTAGACTACTTGTGTGGGTTATACCTGCAGTCTACATATGTAGACTACGGCCGTATTTGGCCAGAGGACGTGCCGAGTGGATCAAGAGATGCTTGACCAAATTGGATCCCGTCTCGGTACCTGGATCCTGTGATACTGTTGTAAATGTATCTCGTAATTATTCGTAGGGGTGAGTCTTTAGCCGAGACGTTGACGTGTGTGCGTGTCAACGCCTACATTGTCTCCTGTGCACCGGAATGTGTAAATAAGACGTCTGATCTATACAAATATGACCCAGGTCCCGCGAGGTTCATGACAGCAAGCAAGATCACTTACAGTCTCAGCTGGAAAAATCTTCAGATATTCTCCACGAACAAAACCTAGAGATCCAAAATACAACGAGAGCACCATCAACAACCAGCGACGTCGGAGGTACATCCGTCGTCCTGTGTGGGCAATGGGCAGCTCCTTCGCAGTGCACCTGGATGAACACACAGCACACACACACGTGTATCTTGGGGTAGTCTAGATATCAAGTTGACCCACCTTGCTCCAGTCCTTCGCAGAACGTTTTCCCATGCAAGCAGGCAAGCCTGAGAAAAGGAGCATGGTCCCTAGTGAAAGCAAGACGGCCTTCGCCTTCATGGTCTATTTTCCCTCGTGCACGCCCTGGTCGAGAAAGTTCAATGCGCGACACCACAAGTGGGTTGTTACACCGCGGCGGTGCTGCGGTTGGCGGTTGAACGGCAACTCTCCTGAAACACGGAGCCCCTCCTGATACCCCCCCCCCCACTCTCCGCCCAACCACGTGGTGGACACATCACGGACACACAACCGTCACCTGACCTGCGTTACTATCCTTGCTTGTGGCTCACGTCCACACCCGCTGGAACGGTGCATGGGCATCGCCCTTTGAGCCGTCCCTCGTGTCTGCCCGTTTGGTGGAAGTCGAGTTGCTGCAGCGCTCGAAAGGGAGTTTGGGAAAATCTTCTGAAAAACGTCAACCTTGAGGAGCGGGTTCTCCGCACCTGTGTCCTTGCGTGCCAGGTAGTAGTGCAAGAGGAGCAAAGGGAGGGACGGTGATTGCTGCGGCAAAACACCCCATTCCGACGTCATAGGTCAACATGGAGGTGGACCTTGCCTCCTTCCTGGCGCCGGCGGGAGATCTGCTGGGAGAGGTCAGCCAACGCGTCCTGGAGTTCCTGTCGGTGAGAGACCTGATCGAATACGTGGCATCATCTTCTCCGACATCCCCGGAATGCGGCGGGGACAGAGACGCTGATACGGCCGAGCGCGTCACCAAGGACGAAGCAGACTACCCGGAGAACCCTAGGCGACGGCGGCAGCACTCCGTAAGTGGGCGGGACTTCGAAAGACAGCCTTTACGGGGGGGAAGCAGCGGACCTGCGACGATGGGTCGCAACTTGTCGCCCGAAGAGGAAGTTCCCCATCGCCTCCACAGCAACAACGGCAGCATGCATTTTATTAGCACGACCGGGGCGGGAGACGAGGCCGGCGGGGGCTCACGCCCGCCGTCCCCGTACCTGAGCGCCAAGACCGACCCTCGCCGTCGAGACAACAAGCAACAGGAGTGGGAAGGCGACGTCGACACCGAGTGCTCCAACTACGACAACAGCAGCAGCCGTTTCGTCGGCGATTGCAGCACAGCAACACCAGCGGGAGGATTGGCCAGCACGCTTGGGGGAGAGTGTTCTCCCCGAACCGGCGGTAGTAGTGGGTGTGGCGTCCATGTGGTAGTCGTGGGAGGCCGACGCCGCGACGCTAAGGGCGGGCTCCTTGGCCCAGCGAGCCGCAGCAGCAGCAGCAGCAGCAGCAGTCCGCAGAAGGAATCGCGCCGTCGCTCGCCGAGCATTTTTGGGGTGCTGGTGGGGCTCGGGCTGCACCCGTGGGCGACCCTGCAGGGGGGCGTGGCGGCGCTACAGGGAGGCGTGGCGCACTTGCTCGGGGGCGTCCCGCTGCTTGCCTTGCTGCGGTGGGCGGCGGGGGGCGCCTCGGCGGTTCTAGGAGTGTCCTTCCGGGTGGCGCTGCTGCCGTACGATGTCACCAAGGGGGCGGTTGCTTACGTGGTGGGGTCGCTGGAGGCCATGCTGAACATCGCCACGGAGGTGAGCTTTGGGGATGGGAGGTTGCTGCTGCTCCTGCTTTGGCGTGTTCGGTGATGTCGTTTTGCCGCTGTTCCCCAGCCTGCGTGCTGCTCCCTTTTACGCAGCTTAACTGTAGGTCAGCAGGAGGGTGTTCAACGGAAGGACGTCACTCTTGTACGATGCGATAGGTTTGCAATAGGCGCCTCGATAGGGTACTCCCATGGACTGCGCATATATATGCTCTCTCCACGTATTCTCTGCCTCTCCCCGTCGCCGTTTAACTCGATCTACTCTCTTGTGGAGCAAGAAAATCAACACAACCAGCAGCCGACAGACACATACACCCCTCCCAAACTTTCGTGCCGAGCAGATTTGGTCTGAGCTGCGCCATCTTAGCTTGGCGGAGCTCGCCGTCGTGATATCGTGCGTGGTCACCGGAAACCCTCTGCCGGACTTCCTTCTAGACCCTGACTACGACAGCGTTGACAGCGGCGGCTCAAGCTACGGTGGAGGAGGCGGCAGGCTCGGCAATTCCCGCCGCATCTTCTCGCGGTCGTCTCGAGGAAGTCCTGGCTTGGAGTCCGGCGGGGGGGGTGGCTTCCTCTCCGACTACCTACGCGGTGGGTTGTGGGGAGTGCGCTGCATCGCGAACATGGCAGTAGGGCCTTGAGAGAAGAAGACAGACGAAGGCGGTTCTGTAGAAGGGATAGGCGGGGGGTTATACGAGGCAGGCACAGGGGGGCTTTCGACCAAAGCTGAGCTTGTTTTTGGCGTTTCCATAGCTGTCCTCGTTTCTATTTTGGGGTGTGGGAGCAACAGCAACACCGCTTTGTGAGCCGGCCCGCTCCTGGCGTAGTCTGGAAACGGTTCACGATGCATGCATAACCACGGGGAGGGGGGGTGTAGGAGGGGGGGGGTGATAAGCCTAACGATCCACAATCCTCCACCGGCACTACCCTGTAATGGTTCACCGAATATACTTTTTACGTCGCCTGCACGACCGAAACGCTTTTGCGTTGAACAGGGCCCAGCTCCGCGGGATATCCCGACGACGAGTTTTACCGCTCCGGGGGCGCAGGCGGCACCCGCGTCGCCTGGCAGCAGGCTCATGCGATGCGGCGGCGCCTCGACCGCGTCAACCGGACAGCGTCACTGGTGTCGTACGAGGAGAGGGCCGAGAGCGCGGTGCCCAGGGCGAAGGCGCAGCGGGTCCGTCGGCGCATGCACTACGCCATGTCTCTACAGTGCTTCCAGGTATGTACGGGGGCGCCGTGCGGTGGGGAAAGGGGGGTGGGTGGGGGTGTTACGTGGTGGTAGAGGGGTCGATGGTCTACCTACCCGACTACGGTCTACGGTATGCGATTACACGAGTACGCCTTCCCCCCCCCCGCCCCGGCGTGCTCTGTTCCGAATTTGGAGGGATACGAGGTCAATGGTTTAACGACTACGGCATGCACGGCTATGATTCCTCTAGTGCGAAAAAAGACCACAATGCCATAATCGGGCCATGATGAAGTTGGCACATGATGTTTCAGATACGCCCCCCCCCCCCTCCTAATATTCCCCCTCGCGTCACCCCGTTGCAGGCCACTGTGACAAAGGACGGGCAGCACTCGGCCGGCGCCGGCAGCGACGCTATCGGGGAGGACGGCGACGACGATGATGACGGGCGCGTGAGCGTGGAGGGGGGTTCGAGCGCGTTCATGTGCACGCCGCAGTCCTTCCCACCGACGCCGGTGTCACGCGCGCACGTCATGGCGCGGACGTCGCAGTTCTCGGACGACGTGCTTTTCCTTGCCCGCGACCACCTCCGCCTCGGGGAGAACCTTAAGCCCGGCGTGGATGAGACGGTGAGGCATGCGCGCGGGGGGGGGGGTACTCAAAGCCGGGACGGAGCACGCCGGGTTTTTCACCGGACTAGGCTGGCATGTCACCACAAGCACGTAGTGGGGGGAGGAGGAGGGATCGGCGTTTGTTTGTTTGATGGATTCGAATCGCTCTTGTTTTGATTCGATGTGGATCTGTGGTATTATTTGTGTAGTGGTGTGGTCATACTCAAAAAGTCTTTTTCTTCTGTTGTGAAACGGCTCCCTTTGCTCTTTTTGATTTGGTTGATGTTGCGCGTTGGCGAGAAAGCCAAAGCCGACCGAACGCCCAGCCTGCCCATGTTTCGGGGATTGGTTGATTGACGAGGCACGCACAGCGGGCTCGTCAAGCCACCAACTCCCGCGCTTTGCCTTTGACTGCAATCACAACCATGTGGTGCTGGGAACGCCTCCTGGAATCGCGGCGATCCGATCTGTATTTGGAACACCCCACACCTAACCCTAGCGCCAAACTACCCTTACCTCAAGAGAGAAGTGAGGTAGACCCGCCCCTTTGCTGTGTGTGTTTCGATATGCTTGTGTGTGTTTCTGTTAGTAGCATCGACCGCGCTAACCGGCCGACCAATGAAAAGACGCCAGTCTAAGTGCGGTTGAGAACACAAGACACGTGTGCGCGTGCGCGTGTGCGTTTTCTTCATTGATTGTCATCGACCGCGCTAATCCGCTGACGAATGAAATGACGTCGGTCTTGAAGCGGGATAACACACGCGCGAACACTTTCTAGTCACTTTCTTTTTGCGACCGGCCTTCTCTCGCGGACCCGCCTCTTCGACAGACGCGGGCGACGGCGGACTTCCTGCGGAGGCAGCAGCGGCTGGCCGTCCTCGACGGCCACGACGCCTGCGAGGGCATCGTGCTCACGTGCGGGCACCACCGCGCCACCAAGGTCGGGCCCTCGCTGTACAGCTCGGCGCGCGCCATGGTCCCGGTCCTCCGCAACCGGTGAGCGGGGCGGTCGAACCGGCGGCAAACGCAAGGTTACCACTTCACAATGGCGCGTTTTTTCTCGTCTGTGTGTTGATGACGTAGCGCGGGTTTTGCGCGGTGTCCTAACGCCACCCGCCCCCGGCAAGAGGCACTGCTAGTGTAAGCTAGGGACGCCCGGGGTTCTGGAGATGTTTTTTCGAGACCGAAGAACCTTGCGTGTGTCATGTGCCCGCTTTTGGGGGGTCACGTGTGTGGGGCGTGGCCTATCGGCACGGTTCGGGTCACGTCGTTTAGTGTTGGAATTGTTGGCGGCCCGAAGTCGAGGCTTTGTGGTAACAATTGGACCAGCTGGGCGCCACCGCTATTTGTCTATATGGTTTGATGTGTGTCGACTGGATTGTACCGGTTGGACTCAGCTGGAAACCATGTTATATGTCGGTGCAAAGTAGTACTCTAGTACGAACCTCATCCTCCCCCCGTCCGTGTTTTTTCTCGCCGGGGCTGTTCGTTCGTGTCCCAGGCACGTCTACTTCCAGGTGAGTTGCGTCAGGGAGGGCCCTCTCGCCCCCAGCATCGGGGTCGGCCTGTCCACTCCGGAGATGCCCCTTTCCACCCTGGTCGGGGCCTTCAGCAACTCGGTCGGATTCTGCTCCACTGGACAGGTATGAAGCTCGTTTTTTTTTGTTTGTTGCTGCGGGGCATCCGTGGCGATTTTCTTAGCCCTCTCATTTTATGTTGCCGTGCGCACCCGTTCGACCGACTCGCCGGGTATCGGATTCAACCTATTTATGTATGTTCAGGTGTCCCACCCCGAACCCGCTGACGCTTTCTCCGCTCCCCGACCCCGCATCCTGCTCCCGGTCGCGAATCAGATCCTCATGTCGTCCCGCTGGTACGGCGAGCCCGGAGAGTTCGCCATGCGCAAGGCGGGCATGATGACGACGGTGGGCGTACTTGTCTACCTGGACGGGTCCCGCCCCTTCCGCTCGTGGGACGGCGACATGGTGAGGGCACTCGTGTCCTTCAGCGTCGACGGCCGGCTCGTGCGAGTCGCCACCGGTCCCGCCGGCCCGGCCCAGGCCCCGCTCCCGGCCGGCGGCGGCGGCGGCGGGGGCGTTCCGCCGGCGGCGATGCTGCTGCGGCGACAGCAGCAGCAGCAGCAGCAGCCGCCGCCTTTGGTGTACGGTCCGCAGCCGCCGCCGCAGCAGCAGCCGGGGCTGATGTCTCCAGTCGTGGCGCTGCCGCCACCCCAGCTGCAGCAGGCTAGCGCGACGTTCGCAGCTTCCGCCGCCGCGGGTCCCGGAGAAGGAGGAGGGGGAGTACATGTACAGCAAGACCACGGCGAGGAGGCGTGTTTGTCGCCGCCGCCTCCACCGCCTGATTGCCCTCCCGTAGAAGAGGTTGCGCCGTGGGAAGTGGCCGCTGCTGGTGCAGCGGCCGCAACAGCAGCTACAAGCAGTGCGCGCTTGATCAAAAACGGAGGAGGAGGAGGAGGAGGAGGAGGAGCGGGCGCGTCCAGCGGAGCGGCTGCGCCAGCTTTGGGGATTGGTCGAGGGGGGGGTACCATGTTACCGCCTGATGTTCCCGAGACCTCTGCTGCGCTTGGACTTGCCCTCCCCAAGGACAGGGACTTGTTTCCCACGGTTACCATCCACAGTCCCAACACAGAGGTGGGTTTTTTACGGAGGGTTTCAGATCGGTTTTTTTGTTTTTTTGGTGCAAGAATTTCTTGAGCGCATCTGCGTGAGGCTTGGTTTGTAGTCGTGTTTGGTGTATGTTCGTGCGTGGTACACGTACTTCAACGTAGCACAATCCTGGAAGGCACGCCAGCTGGTTGATTCTACACAACACGACACGTGTCATTCCCCTCACGATGCCGTCTGCCCCCCATGGGCCTGTGGCCGTTTAAGGCAACCCCGAAAACGCGTGAGACGTGACGCGATCCGCTGTTGCGTTGATGTTAGGATCTCCAACGCCGCCGCCGCCGAAACTCTTTCTCGAAAAATTTCTTGAGCAGCGAACATCACGATAGAAGAAATCCATCCACGCCAGGCAGTTGACGCGACAAGCCAACCTGCCTAATTGGTTCTCCCCGCGTGCACCCCCCCTCTGTCTCGTTGCCAGATATTGTGCCGCTTTTGCGCGGAAGACTTGCTCGGCGTCACGAGAGAAAACATGGGTGCGCCGCCTGGGGCGCCGGTATACGCTCTCGACGGTAGCCTCATCAACCTTCCACACTAGATTGTTTGTTTCGCGCACATGTTGTTGACGAAGCCTGGGAATCCAACAGTGAGGGAGGCGTCTGGTATACTTAAAGCGGGCGGATTGCCCTCTTGAGCGAGAAGTCGTGTCTGCTCAAGAGTTGCACCGCTTTTGTCGTTTAAAAGGGGGTTGTTTGACACGCATGCCCGTACAAGGATACGGGACGTACCCTATACCATGCGGACAGCGGGACTGTAAATATGTAGTGCTGTTCCCTCAAAAGGCCCCGTGCCAGCCCCTTTGTCGTGGTGAAAGCTTTTATTGTACAGTGTACTGCTGTTGCGGGCGTAGCCTGTCAGACTCGGGCTCCGAAGTGTCTTAACATCACAGTGTGGAGTGGTTGGTGAGGTGTGGCCTTCGGCTATCCGGTGAAGTGCCACTTCGGCGTTGTCGAGTTTCTAGCAGCAGGTAGATATCTCGGGTTGGGGGGGGTGATGCGCGAACGTGTGCTGGTATTTTAGTTCGCGCGTGGCTAACGTGTGCCTTTGATGTACGGGTGTTGTTTTCCACCAGCGCTTTAGCCTCAACAGCGCACCCTTCTCATCAGTTACGAGCTTTGGTGTGTTGCTTTGTGTGCACATATGGCAAGAAGCTAATATTGCTGGCTTGTCGATGCAAAGAAACAAACGATACCTCTCTGCTGCCCACCCGAACGAGCGAGCAAGCTGGCGCGAGGGCAAGAAGCAAGCACGCTTATTTTGGCCGCCGTGCTTCACGCATCTGCGAAGAAAACACTACGCTCTTGTTCCCCCTTTGCTAGTTCCCCCTTTTCCGCAGCTCCTTTTCCGCGAAGAAGACGCGTTAAGGGAAGAGCACGTACCGACAAGTTAACGGGTGCTACTGCTGTGGCCCGACAGTTTTTGGAGAAATACACCGGGTGCGTTTTTCCGCACGCGGCCACGTTAGGAACACACGTCAAGAACACATATGGCACACGGTTTCACCTAACAATTGCGCGACCACGACCAAAAAGGCACACGATAATCACAGCAGTGCGGGGGCGATCGGGTACCTTCGAGCGGACGCCGAGCGCATATCGAGACAAAGTCTTGCCCCACCGCGTTCGTATTGGAAAATATGCTGAAAGCAAACCTCCCTGCTTTGCGTGGACGGACTGCTCTGCGTTTGTCACGGAGGACACAAACGTGTCCAAAATTCCGATTCTCAAAGCGGTGGTGGAAGCAGGTACCACTGCAAGGCCATGAATGTTAAGGCATGCAAACCAACCTACTCGTACCGTTCCCCCACAGCTCTTTGCTTCAGGCAAGAAAGAGAGGTCGTACGTGGTGCCCTCTGCTACATTCACGCTCGTGCTGAGGTGTCTTCCTGAGCAAGTGATCGCGCGTCGTAACCACCGCGAGATGCTTCGCTTACAGCAGAGCAGCACCTGAGTGCGGATTCGCCGCCTGCCCACCGAGCCGAACGCCCGCCCGCCGCTCGTCGACACGATGGACGACGCCCTGCGACCCTTTGGGGCAGAACGACACACAACATGGTCGGTGTCATCCCGGTGTTTACTCTGTTTTCAAATCTCACGACTAGCAAAGAAGGGCGACACACCAACGCCGTGGCCGTGTCTTGAACGCGACCCTTGGTCGAAAGTGATTGACATTTCTAGCACGGAGCTGCGGGGCTTGTCCAGTTGCACCGCGCCAAGCTCCGGCGGTCCTCTAACGCAGAACGCCCTCGATGGTGACACGCACTTGTCGTGGTTTTGAAGGTTGTGGGGGATCCTCTCCGCTCCTCAACGTAGTCTAAAAAGCGGTTGCACAACGCGTAAAGCAAATATTAACATTCCCTTTTTCCGTAACCACGGGATCATTGCTTCGGGCTGTTGGCGTAATCTCCGCGGCCACGCAAAGCGCTGCCACCGCCGCCGCCGCCGAGTGTCATCGCGCCGAGTTGAACCGCGTCATGACCTTAGCCATGTCCTCCTCCTCTACCCAGTGCTCCACCGCGTCGCACGCGTCGGCGATAACGTTGTCGAGCTCCTTCTTTTCTGTTCTCGTGAACTCTCCAAGAACGTGGTCCGACAAGGCCTCCGAAAACTTGGACGCTGTCGGCAGAAAGTAAAGGTTGAGCCGCGAAAAGTGGGGCGGGGCCGTGTGCAAACAAGCGAAGCGAAAGCAGACACCCACCGGATCGCTCCTTACCTCAGCAGCAGTCGTGACTTACTGCAGTGGTCAAACCATCCCTCTTTCGAGCACAGGTTGAACGAGCCAGAGGGTTAGAGTTTTTCGGCCATGGTCACGATGCGCACAATAAGCACGCAAAAAAAACATGCACAGCGGTAACAAGACACCGGAGAGATACCCGTGCGCGCGTTTTCACGAGCCACCCACTAGCACCTTCGACACAAACGCGATCTCAGCTCCTCGTAGATACCGCGGGTGACTCGAGATACCACACACCCTGGCCTGGCACGATTTCAAAGCTCGATCACTCCACAGTAGAAAGAGAGGTCGTGCCGAAAATGTCGTCGTTGGAACCATCACGTCGACATCTTTCTGAAAACGCATCAATTGAGTTTTGCATCCTCTTCGTCGTGGAGCAGTCGAGCTTTGGAAATCGTGTGGTATCTTGTGTCACCTGCGGCATGCGCATGGTAGACATGCGTACCCACACACCTCCTACGCCGATCCTAAGTCGGGTGTACTCCGGAGTCTTGAGGTGTGCCTGCAAGCTCTTGAGCCCGTTGTGCCCCCCCGCACCCCCCTTTCCCTTGAGCCGGAGCTGGCCAAAGTCTAGCGCTACCTCGTCCACCAGGACTATGGCCGCGTTCATGGGGAGCTTGAAGAAGTCCATCACCTGGGCGACGGCCATGAGGAGGAAGGGGGGGCGGGGCGTACTCTTATCTTTTGCATGCCTTAGCGTTTAGACCATTGATCACGCGCCCTTGAGAGAGAGAGGAGCATTGTCCACACAGGACGGATCATCTTTGGCCAATCGTTCCTTCCTACTTGCCAGCGGTTGCTCAAAAATGATTTCCCTATGAAGCCCACCTATCCTATCGACATCACCAACAGATTTTTCAACTCACTTCCTATGCCCCAGTACAGCTACCGTTTTCGGTGGGGGGGGGGGGGGGGCAGCACGAGGGCGTAAAGGCGACTCGTCTCATAAGCAACCATTGGGAATATTTCGTGCAAGGTGCGACGGCAACGACAACCATGCCACGCTGGCACCGCAAAAGTGTACACGCCAAATGCAGAAAGTCGTACATCGTACATACATACGTCTTCTTCGAAAAGAAAAGGTGTACGCGAAGAGGTTGGTGCAAGGCACGTTCGGACAGCAATTGACCTGTTTCTGCGGAGAAAAGAAGAGCAACTGTCTGTCTGAACAATGAAGAGGCCCTCGCGTTCTTCCAACAAAGCAACACGTTAAACAAACCCAAACACGTTTCAGGAGTACCCGGTGATCGTTGAGGTAGGACGGCGGAACAACTTCCAACAAAAGCGTCGTAAACCATGACACATAGTATCGTGCGTCTTCTTGCGCTCCCGTCCCCTTTCACCTTTCGGGCAGACATCCCGCTGTTGTTCATGTACGTGATGGGTCGCAGGATCCCCACGGACTTGTCGTTCACTCTCACCGAGCAATACTCGCCCTGAACGCGTCCGAGAAAGCATGCAGTCGAGCCCGGCGCCAAAAGGATACGGCGGGTCACCTCAAAGAAGAGGGGTGGTTTGGACGACAGTTCCTCGGGCAAGATGCAAGCAACGGGATGGGTGCCAACACGATGCCAGAGAGTACCGCTGGCCCTCCGGTCAATCTGGCAGTACAGCATTTGAGGTTCTGCTGGTCTAAGTCGGCGCAGAGGACGACGTCCGAGAAATAGCCAAGGAAGGAAACTCGATATCCAGGGTCGTCCAGCAATGGCAGTGCTATATATGTAGATACCAGTATTCGATTTTGGCTTGGTCTTGGAGAACTATTACATCGCGCCTTTGTAGGGCAGGGTGTCTAGCAATGCGGGTGTCCGGCTCAAGCATTCTGCGGCTCGATTGCAAAATGAACCCATCAGCAGGTGCCACACACACGATACGTTCGTCCTTGTCGTTTGTGGCGCGGCAAAGCGGTACAATACGGCCGCACCCTTTAGTGTGGTCAGCCAGGCTCGCGTGACCCCATCACAGACGATGGACCATCCAGCCCAGCGAGAGGGCGTGCAAACCTACGCTTGCTTGTGACTCCCTTGGCAAAAAAGTTGGAGTACCATTTACCGTGAGCACAACACTGCTGTATTTCAGCAAACTCTATCGGGATCGCTCTACAGTAGCAGGCAAAGTGACGGCAGGCACCCGAATGGGTGTGGGATTGGGTCGCCTGTCATACACCCAGCAGTGCGCATGTTAGTCTCGTCTCCGCCGGAAAGGCAAAGGATATTCGGAAAACAACGCGAGACCATTCACCTGAAACGCGGTCTTGATCTTGAGCGTGCCCCCATGCCGCCTCGCCAGCTCCTCGGCCACCAGGAACCCGGCATTGTGCCTGGTCATCTTGTACTTGTCGCCCGGGTTACCGAGACCCACCACCAGCAGGTTGTCCCCCCGCGGGGGCGCCTTCGGCTGCGGCCGTCGCTGCTGTTTTGGCCGCCGGTGCTGCTGCTCCTGCTGCTGCTGCTGCTGCTGCTGTCCGGCAGGCTTGTTTCCGAACCCTCGGCCCTCGCCGGTAGCTCCCGCTTGAGGTGGGTTCTGGTCAGCCTTGGGCGCAGGAGCGGTTGTGTCCCCGGTGGCAGGCGAAGCGGCCAGACTGGAAGACGCGGCGGAATCGAAGAGGTGGGGGACTCGGGGTCTCATCGAGGAGAGCAGCGGGTTGCTGCTGCCGCCGGAAGAGCGCGGGGCCTTGCTGCACACTCGTCGTGATGAAGTGGTGGTGGTTGCGACCTGCTGCTTTCCCATAATGATGGCGTTCGCCAGTCTTGCCGTTGTTGACGTGCGTGCCGTCGATGCTATGCTGGTCAGCAGGAACGCTTGCGCAGACGGTGGGGGGCGCACAAGGCAGGCCGACGACATCAACGACAAGAGCGAGTTGCGCCAGAACCGCCGCGCATGCATCAGCATGATCCCTCTACTGCTGCTTTCCCGACTGCTGCTGCTGTGAGCCGCCGACACGACTGCTATGCAAGCAGTATGGCAGTATGGTTGCGTGCCAGCAGGTACAAGTTACTGGGGGCTCGTAAACAGGGCTTTTGGACGGGTGACACCCACGAACGCGCGGAGCCCCTTTATCTAAAAATGCTGGGTCGTGCTGAACTCGGCCTGCACTTTGCACGAACCACCAGCACCGAGCGTAGCAAGATATCCGAGACAGCAGGTGAGAGCATCCTTGCATATTCGTGTAGCCGAGCCTGGCAATCTGTACGTTTTCTGCGCTCGGTCTTTGCTGCTCAACAAATGGAATTGAGACACAACACACCGAGGAAGAGTTGGCTTTCAGCAGTACGCAGCAGCACGCCAGATCCATCCTCTTGCAACCAACCGCTGATATGTATGTATCCAGGCTCTCTCTTCTGCCCTTCTCGATACGACCTTGCGGTTGTTCCCGGTCAAAAGTAGAGCCCGACGCGCTGGTAGCGTGCTACTCCGGCAGATGTTTCGACGTTGGGGTGGCGCCTCTCGTTTGTCCCCTTTTGTTTATGTCGTCATCTTCCTTCCCAACAGCTCTCTCATATCATATGCGTCCATAGGACCTGTGTGTCGGCATTCCATCCATCCTAGACATAGATGCAACGGGCCAACGGTCATGTCGCGTTTTGTCTCTAGGAGTGCTTGCTGCTTGCTGTGTTGTACGTACATATAGCGGCTATTTCTACCCGACTAAGAGCTGTCTCTGAGGAGCAACGTTCGCGGTGATACCCAACGAGGGTGTCGAAGACATAAAAAAATGTCTACATGTAGTGTACGCATACTGCTTGTAACGGGGCTTGAGCTGTAGACAGTTACTTTCAAATTTCCCCAGTCTACAAGTACAGCCGTTGTTTGTTTGTCCGCGTTATGTTCGCAACTCGTGTTCGCGGAACCATAAATCTGAAACCAAGACACCTTACCTTTGGATGTCAGTGCCGACAAACATGCGTCTTGCCGTGGAGAGGTAAACTGCTGCAGGTATCCATCCGCCCGAAGGAACAAACACTGGGGAGGACAACGGGGAGAACCCGATCCTGTTGTACAACAGAAGTAATTCCTTCCCACCGCTGCTGCAGCCCGCCCTGGACAAAACAACCTGTTCCCGGTAGCAAAGAACGTCAGCACGAAGCAATTTTGTTGTGGCTGCTGCGCATCACCACCCACCCACCCCATCTTTCGTTTCATCCAATGGCTGTGCCATGGCTCTCATGGTTGCTGGCACAACAGCAGTCTATACCTAAACATCATGCCTGCATTGATGAGTATTTGTTCGTAGAACCAAGCAGGTAGATAAACCGCTGCTGTGCGCTTTCTGGTCCCTGCCTCCCGGTTCCAGCGCGGAGCGACCAGCTTAGCCCAAGCGCTCGAACGAGATGAATTCGGAGCTTCGTTTCGTGTTTGAAAGAACAAGAAAGAAGAATGCGTGCCAATCATTCAGTCTCTTACGAATACGCCGCTGCATGATTCTTCCAGCGAGCACATCATGCGGAATGCTATGTATGCAAGTGGTCATGCATGCGTATTGTGATCAATCATCGCCAGACACAATGGGCCAAAGACGCCACAGATGTTGCTGGATACTCTAGTATGGAATATGTACATAGTACATTACGCTCGAGAAATCCTTGGCAAGCAGCGAGTTATAAGTGGGGTGTGCAAGCGTAATGGACAGGGAAAGAGTCGGTGCCGCCGGGAGTAGACTATGTGGGGGTGTGGGTGTGAACAAGTTTTTTCGTTTTTTGTCTGCTAGTAGACGTAAGTCATTTTTTTTTTTCCCCCGACAAGGTGTCCATCCCCTCCTTGACCTACCCTCTACGATAGCTTGGCTTGGGAGTCCCGGTGGTAGCTCAATCGAGCATGTTGCATGGCATTTGCAGCGTCGACGCGCGCCTTGGCGCACTGCTGCTACGCGCGTAGCTTCAGGGCTGATCCATTTTTGTCGTAAGCGAAGGGCCGACTGTCGAAACTAACGAACTTTGTTCTTCCGCATCGAACAGCGAATTACCAACCCTATGCATACATATGCGTACTATAATACGAAAACGTTATATTCTAGTGTGTAGACAGCTTGTAGCGTTTTTCACTCTCTATTTTTCCCCGTTTTACGTGCGAGAGCACTGGCTGTTTGTGTGGGATATTTCCAGGGTACACCTCGGTACTAGTTTTTTAGGCGGATCCAGGCGGGGCGGTACGTCAATGTGGCGGTACTTTTTTGGCGGTTGGCGGTATTTCGTTTTCCGGCGGTACCGCCTTTGGCGGTTCCCGGTACTGCCAATAATGGCGGTACTTTTTTGGCGGTACGTCAATATGGCGTTTTTTTTTAGGCGGTTCCCGGTACTGCCAAATACGGCGGTATTTTTCTGACGGTACTGAAATATGGCGGTACCGCCTTCGGCGGTTCCCGGTACTGCCAAATATGGCGGTTTTTTGGTGGCGGTACTGAAATATGGCAAATTGACTGGCCGCGGCCCGCATCTACCATGGTCCGAGACTCGCTTGAGGATTGCAGCTCTAGTTCCCTCGTAGCCACCGATTCCACATCCACAGAATCGCTCCCGTCCACAGAATCACCGGCAGCACGCGCCACCGACAAAGCAGCAGACCCATCTCCTACACAACTAGTAGCACCGGGATTCCCCTCTAACGCGCTCATTGCTCTGCTGGGCGCTGGGGCAACTGCTGCGTGTGTGATGTGTGTGTTCGAACCAGCGCTTTAAATAGGTGTTGCGGAGTTGCGGAAGCGCAACAATTGGATGGATATTGCGGCTTGCCGTTACGAAAAATTTTAGCCCGCAACACGTTCGTTCGCCGTAGGCGAAATATTTTTTTGGGGGGGGTCCATTTTTTTGGGGCCCTTTTTCTCGCCATTATTAAATAACAACACTATTTTTGACGTAATTTCCTTTCAAAACCAAGTAAATATCAAAAAAAAATCGCCTCCGGCAACACGCCTGCGGCGTATTGTTGCGCGGCTCCGCAACAGCCGCTTCGCCTCTATTTAAAGCGCTGGTTCGAACAGCTGACGATCGGCGACAGATGAAAGAGGTTCCGCCGAAAGGAACAAGGCAGTATGACGAAGAGAACAAGAACAAAGAATAAATGTGAACAAAGACGCACGCCAGTTGGACTCGAACCTCTGTTCTGCGCGAGACATGGCGTTGGAGTTAGTGCCCTATGCTACTTTAGAGGGCAAAACTGTAGTATGGCGGTACGATTTTGGCGGTACTGCTGTACGGCGGTATTTTTTCGGCGGTACTGCAATATGGCGGTTCTCTTTTGGCGGTTTCCGGTACTTCGTGTTTTGGCGGTACCATTTTGGCGGTACTGCAGTACGGCGGTACTTTTTCGGCGGTACTGCAATATGGCGGTTCTTTTTAGGCGGTTCCCGGTACTTCGTTTTTTGGCGGCACTTTTTCGGCGGTACTGCAATGTGGCGGTACTTTTTAGGCGGTCGGCGGTTTTTCGTTTTTCGGCGGTACCGCCTTCGGCGGTTCCCGGTACCACCGAATGTGGCGGTAATTCCCGCCAGTACCGGGACCGCCTACCACGGCGGGAAAAAAACGGCGGGAATTTTACCGAGGTGTACCCTGGATATTTCGATACATTTCGACTATTGCCTCGATTGTTTTATTTTGTCTGAGACGGACTCTTTCCAGGGAGTCGTTTTTCCGTTTTTGAGCGGCCTGCTGTAGGATTAAGGATTTGTCTGGTGTGTATTTGTGCACATTTTTGTTCGTACCGTACGCCTTTTCCTGCTGCCTTTTCCTCTGGCGATACATAACAAGAACAGCTGACTTGTTCGATTCTGTCACGTGCAGGCATACGAATGTATACCGCATAACTCATGGTTGATGATACCAGGTAGTTCATCATGGATGACTGTTTCCCTCGCCGTGTGCATCCGGCACCACTATTCTATGTGGCGAGGCGGAAAGCTCTGTCGTGCTCATCATTTCGGTGAACGGACCTTGGCTCAGTGTAGTGCAATCCGCGGGAGGGACACCTACCGAGTTTTCTATTTGTGGTATGTTGTCTTCGCAGTTATGATCGTTCCTGTCTCTTCTGATCATTTAGCTCACACAAGCTTGGTGTTTGAGCGGACCTGCCCATACTTATGCCTTATGCCCGGTGTGTGCTCTCTGAAAATAACATGCCGCTGTCGAACAGCAAAAGTTAGGAAATAACTATTCTTAAAAGTTGAAAAAGACCGTACACCCCGTTCGAGACAAATGTCCGCAGAGTTTTGTGCAGCATGGCTTTTGCAATGACCCGTGCTGTGTCAACCGTTTCCCACACTGCCGTGTCATCGTCAACGTCTGACCATATCTCTTTGAGACAGGCACATCCCTGCGCACGACGCGAGGACCGGAGGACGGTGGAGGCCAGTACGGGGGAGGGGGGGAGGGGTCACCATCGCTAGAAGACCGCGGGCCCCCCGTCGGCGTCGTTCGTTGAGGCTCGTACACGAGAGCGAGAGAGAGATAGATAGCCTTTCCTGCGTTAGACGCAACACAGGTTTTTCCTTCGTTAGGGGCAACACAGGCCGAATTCGGACCACGAGCCACAGCGCACACGTTCTGCCCCCCTTACGAAGGACGAAGGCATATACTATCTGTCACCCATTTTTTCCCGCACTACCACGGACTCCGGCCCGGGGGGGGGGCAGGGGGGGATATGGTTGTTCACGGGAAACCCGCGAGACGGAGGCGCAGAGTGTGGCAGGCGGCGATGCTTACGGCGTCAGTGTGGGCTGGCCTTGCGCCTGAACCGGCGGCGACGGCGACGGCGGCTGGGCTAGGAGGGGGGCGTGGAAAGGGGTACCACAAGGGAAGAGCGATCGATGCGTTCGCCAGGGGACGGGAGATAATGAGAGGCTCGGAGGGAGCCGGACGAGCACCGGCAGGAGTAGGGGCGGGACGCGAAGCAGCAGCGCCGCCAGAGGCCAGAGTTGTTGGTGGTGCTGGGGATGGAGGCGAGGGCCGGATGTTGAGAAGGAGGCGGCAGGCCTCGGAGAGGGGGGATGTCGGCCGAGCCGACCTCTCGGGGCAAGCGGAACGGGGAGAGCCGTCTCTGTGGGAGCGGCAAGAGCGAGGAGGACATGCCGCCGGCACCCGCCTCCCCCCATCGGAGGGATCGACGGCTCTTGCCGACGATGCAGCAAGGCGCCGGGGTGACAGCAGGGTTGAGGGTCGGCATCCCGCGCCACCAACGAACCTTGGGTTGTTGCGAACCGGAGGGGCGGCGGCAACGTTCGAGGTAAGCGGGGCTCCGCCGTATGCCGGGCCGTGGTGGCAGACCGGGGGGGGTCTACGATTTGGGCTCCGTAAGGTCTCGAAGGGAGGTGGTAGTAGTAGCAGCACGGCCGATGGAGAGGGCCAGGAGAGGCTGCCTTTCGCGAGAGATTAATGTTCATGAGGAACTAGAACAGTGAGGGGGTACGCAGACCCTATCCCTAACCCTAATCCTAACCCCCCCCCCCCCCCCCCACGTGCATGCTTTTATCCAACATGTGTGCCTTATCGGAATTCCCTGCGAAGGTTACTGAGGGGCCGGGCCGGGAGGGGTTGACCCGCCGGAGAACCCAGAGCCGAAAAGATGAGGGTTCGGGCGATGCTGAAGAGTGGCCGGAAGAGGAAGAGGAAGACGGCGACGAGAACGACGACAGCTTCGGGTCATCCGGGCTGCTGGCGCTCCTGGGCTGTTTCGGCCTGTTTTTTTGCGTCATGGAAGGTGTGCTTTGGGGGGGGGGGGGTACGACGTTGCTCCCTGCAGGCACGCCACTGGGGGGGTGTGCGGGGTGATTTGGTGGGGTGAGTCGATGCGTACCTCTGCTATTTATTTGTCCTCCCATGCATCATGTGTAGTAGGGTGGGTGTTGTCGTGGTGTCTGTTTGAGTGGGCGTGATTAGTTGTGTGGGGCGGCAGCGGAAATACATCAATGTCTGATCGCCTGGCTTCGAACGTCTTCGCATGGGCTAGAGCTGTGCGAGGGTTGCCCAAGCGTCAACATACAACGCACCTTTCTCGCTTCTCTAGGGACAAGCTGGTGGGTCCGCTGGTACGAAAGGGGCCCAAGGATGAACACGCAACTGTTCTCGTTCCTGTCAGAGGACTTGGTGGATCCTTGTACCCTATCACAAAAGCGGCCCAAGCGTATTCATGATATCTCAGGCGAGCTGGTGGATCAATTTACGTTGTTGCCGAACCATCCAGCCGCTACATCGTGAGGTCATCGCCAACTGACTTCCCCTCCTCGATCTTGGATGCGTGCACCGCTCCGCGCCTCGTTTCCTCCTCCTGTGTTATTCATTTGATGACGTCATTCGTTGGTCCAGTGGCGAAGTGCTACTTCCTCTTCGAGTGTCGGCGCCGGCAGCGGTGGCGCCAACGGAGGGGAGCGACAGGGGATACCCGCCAGGTAAGGGGAAAAAAACGAAAAAGAGGCAAACGGGCACTGACTTGAGCACGAGACCATAATGCCGATGGTGTCGTGAGAGACGCGTAGCAAGGGCGCGCAAACGGCATCTTCCCGTTTGAGTTTAGGCCTCCTACTCCAATTTGTTGGGGGCTAGGCTAGAGATGTCGGCCTAGGTGATTCCGGCCATTACCTCTCCTTTCCGGCAACTTTGGCCGCCCTAACCCACATAGTTGAGGTAGTGTTGTTCGTTGTCCTATGGTGAGAAAAAAAAAAATGGCACAGCAGTATGCATCAAACTGCCGCTTTGTTCTGTCCAACGTGATACCGTCTTCGGCATCTTCGCAAACGGCTTGCATTCATGTCTGATCTCCCACCCTCTCCCCCCTCCGCTGCTACTGCCCCGCCTCCTCCCTTGACATGTCGTCCAATGGCGAAACCACTTCAACTCCTCCGCCGTGGTCCAGATGCCCATCGCCTCTAGCCGAGTGGTCGCCCCGGAGCCCCCAGACGACGGAATGAAGGATGAGTGGGTGGAGGTGGTCGTGGACGGCGTCTGGATGAGGTGAGAGTCACGCTGTTGGGGTTGGTGGGCTCAGGCGGGTGTCGGTCGGTGTGTTTCGTTTCCCACCACGCGGAAGTGATTTCTCCCCTGCCACATGTTTTTGTTTGGTGTGTTGTGTTGTGAGTGCTTGCCTTGAAGAATGCTGTCTCTGATTGCGGAATGAAGGTTGGAAGAAATCCACTCCTCCCTTCCCTCCGTTTGCCATCCCAAAAATACGGACATCTTTGGCTCCAACATCACAAGGCACCGCCCGCACGGCAGCAGTCCTTGACGCATGCAGAAATCGATCTGGCGTGAGCCCCCCCCCCCCCCCTCTATCCTGCTCTCTCCCAATGCGTGTACGTGTGCCCCCTGCCTCGCCGACCCGCCGTCTCTACCATTCGTCCTTTCCTGATTGGCTGTGTGTTTTTCGGTGTTTCGCCACATTGTTGTGTGCCACACGTTTCAGCGGCGACGTGCCGGGAGGTGAGGGCTTGCCGTCGGCTACCGGCTACGCCGTCGCGGGAGCGTCTCACGCTCTCCATGACGCGGTGAGTCTTTCCTGGCGCTCGGTACTTCGTGGGGCGGGGGGGGGGGGGCGTGCTCTCATGTTTGGCATGCCTTAGCGGTAAACCCTTGACCACGCATCCTCGAGACGATGGAGCACTGTTCCCACTGGACCGACCGCTGATCGATGACAAATCGTTCCTTCTTTCAGGCGTGGGGAGGGGGTTCCGTGGATGATGATGGTAAAGGGGGGTTGGCGGTGCTCTTGCCTGTGGGTGCCGAGGGGCGAGGTCTGCGTTGCACACGTTACGTACACACTGTGTTACGTGCTTGTGTTGGCACACATGTTTTTGTTCAGCTTGACCGTCGCAATTGGTGTCGTAGCCCCTCGCGTCTACGCTGCCGCCGGGACGTGTGACGTTGGTCGGTCACCACCGAGCAGGCGTTCCGCCGTGTCAAATAGGACAGGAGCTACTAAATACATAGGTCACGTGGTTGTGAGACATGCGTGTGTGGGTTCGTATTGGATGATCTGCGTGCGAACAGGAGCACAACGCTGTTAAGATGTTTTCGTTCTACGTTCGGCGAAGAACGGGTGAGCTAGGCCCCTAATATACCTAACACGTATGCATACCTTCCTCTGCCCCTGAACACCAGCTCGCCTGGGAAGTTCCGTGATTTACAATGTATGCTCGGTTCGAGTGTCTTCTGTAGGGCACCTTTATACTGAGGGCAACTGTTGTAAATAGGTGGTATGCCGGGCTATTTCCTGCTCGTTGGCTCGGAGATCCTGCAGCGATGATTAACTACCCTCGGTAATTGTCTGGACATCCTTGTTGCGGATGGTGCATTGCCCGAAGACGGAACGCTATATACCCCCCCCACGCACACCCGCGTCCTTTATCCCCCGTCACACACATCCTCTAAGCACACCTCTAACGCCCCGCTTGTTTCGCCCCGTCTCGTGTGCCACCCGTCAGATCGAGCACGCTCGTCGACTCTCGCCAGGCACAGGTTACCGCGCCGTGTTCGCCCCGCCGGCAGCGCCGCCGCCGCTTCCGCAGCCGCAGCCACAAGCGGAGATGTCGGAGATGTCACGGGACGACGTTCCGCCGCACCGCTCTCCCCCGGTTTCCGCCGCGCCCTTTGCCGACATGACGGATTCAACTCAACGGTAACCGGGCGTGAGAAACAGATCGATTGCATGTGGAAAGGAGGCGTTGTGGGAAGGCGTGTTCTATTGGCGTGTGGTAGCGAGCGTGTGGTAGCGAGCGGTGTGCGGTCTCTTTTCGAGCGGTGGGCTTTTGGACAATGTGGGGCGGAAGGCAGAGCAAGGTTGGCCTCTGGCATTTCCTTAGCTTGCGCAAACCTCCACTAGTGTGCATGAGAGTAAGGCACGTGTACTGTACATTTGTTTTCTCTCTCTCTCTAGGGACTGGGGAAATAATTCAATGTTGAAATTCATGCTTTAGAGGCCGTCCGTGTGCTGGCGTTCGCTGGCGTTTGCGTGCTGCCTCTCATTACTTGTTGTTGTTTTTTACGCCGGTGTTTTTTGCGATATTTTTGGTGCGGTTGTTTTTGGTGCGGTTGTTTTTTTCTTTCGTCCACGCTTCGGCAGAGCTTGTTCGCTCACCTATTTACTTGTACTAGCCTTGCCGTTGACTCGATTGTTCTTCTTGCTGCCGCATTTTTTTGGTGCCTGGCCATACTTGGTGTTGGTTGGTTCTACTTCAGCGGGGTTTCTTCGTGGAACATCGTTGGCCTTCGTTTGGCTATCACGACCACAGCTGAATGATTACCTTTTTGTTTTGGTCCCCTGGACTATGGAGTCTGGGATCTACTTTGTGTTTCTTGTTGTACGCTTTGTCTCCGGCGCTGTCTCTTGAAGCTTTCATTTTCGTTGACGGCGTTTTGAGCGTTTCCCATGTGAGCGCCCACCCCGTCGCGTGCGCCGGGAACGAGTCCCTTCGTTGATCAATCAATCACTGCCCGGCAGGTCTGGTTGAGCAACGAGTTGTTTTTATTTAGTCAGGGCGTGCTACCGACAGTGGTGTGTCCGAGTTCTGCTTTTATGTGTTTCGTAGATGCGGCAGAAGCGTTGACTTCAGTGCGGTGCTGTCAGGATGATGATGCCTTGCTAGGCCAGAGCGCCCCCCTTGTGGCTACCCTAGGCGGTGACGGTTGCTGCGGCAAGGGAGGGAGGGAGGTTTTCTACGTCGCCACTTGCATGAGAAACTCCTACCGGGCCCAAACTGTTAGTGCCGCATGCTGATAGGAGGGGGGGAAGGGCGCTCTGTAATCCACCCAGAACATGAAGGTTAATGGGTACTTTCCTAAATCAGCGCCCGTGTTTGGGTTGATGCTCATTCTTGTTCCGCCCGCTGCGCATGCTTCATTTAGTCTTGATCGAGAGTCTACTTGGCCCGAATTGCTGATCGATACTGGTATTTACTGGTGTTGCGGATGTTTGCTTTGCCGTTCATCTGAGGGGACTGCCGCTGCGGATATATGTATGTGCGACGACGGTTTCTCTTCATGGTGAAGCTGTCGTGCTCAGGACGACAGCCCGTAGTGCTCTTGCTTTGTGCGTACGGCGGTGATGGGGGTTTCGGCTCTCTTCGACCCGCCTGGTTCCGCTGGGTAAGATGAGAAGGCCATGTGCTGTGTTGGCACATGGGCGAGCGTGTCAGCCGAGACGGGATATCGATGTCCGACAACGAAAGCGGAACTGCTGTAGCTGGATGCAGCACCACCGCGCAAGACCGTCTTTCTTGGCCCGAGGCGGCTCGTTTATTTATTTTCTGTGGGAGGGAAAACCCACAGCAACTGTTTGTAGTGTAGCTTTTATTGGCTGAGCACCTACCTGCTCATACGGCCAAGTCTTTAAATAAAGTGTCTCTATTTTGATGCTTGTTTTTTCGACTGCCAGGATGTCTTGCCTTGTGCAACTTTGCTTTTTTTTTGTTCTTGCTTTGTTGTTGCTTCTTCTGGGAGTGGTGACGTGACGTGTGCGTGACTTGCTGTGTTTCTAAGCGGGTGGTCCTTGCGCGTGCAGGCAGCCGTAGCCCTCGTTGGTACCAGCGGGGCTCTTCGGCAATAGTGTGTAGCGTAAGTGTGTGCATGCTTTATTTAGAGTTCGACCACGCTTTGTTTATTGTTGCCGCTGCTGCTGCTCCTGCTGCTGCTGCTGCTGCTCAAGCGTTTTTCTGTGTGTTGTCGTCCGCAGATAATTGCGTTACGATTTCCTCGACCCGATTGTTAGGCAGCTGGCACTTACTTCATTGTGCAGTCAGCCCTCTGTGCGACCACTAATTGCAGATATTTCATGGTGCCGCTTATGGAGGTTGGTTTTCTGTTAATGGTGTTTTTTGTATTGTCTTGCCCCTCCAGCAGGAGGGGATTGTTTTCACCGTTTTGTATTGTACCACATTTTTTCGCGCAGAGGGATCGGCGGTGTGGTTTGAGGGAAGCGGCAAGGGAAAGGGGGGTGCCCCCGTCGTGTACATGCATGTATTTGGAGCAATGCGGGAACTAACAAAAAAAAAAATAGGAGTTCGTCGCGCCCGACAATAAATGTGTTAGTTGGTTTCCACACACGTTGTCCTCTTTGTTCGCACCGAGACGTGTGTGTATCGACAGATGTAATTTTTCTGGTGGGATGTTTTCGGTTTTCTATTTGATTTTTCGTGTTGTGCGATAGGCCCTTTTTTGGGGAGGGGGGGGGGTTCGGCCTGCTGTGAGAAAACGGAAGTCATCCGCGTCAGTTGGACCGGTGCGGATGTTGCAGCAGAGACCAGAACGGTGCATAATGTGGAAGAGTATTCAACAACAACATCGTGGGCGTCGGTCTGCACCACCTACACCCACCTTCATGCTTTGCAAGAAGAAAGCTAGTAAGAGGCAGAGCACGAAGAACGGTCGGGGGGTGTACTACACTGCTGCTGTATCCTCCGAGTTTTCAATCAAGTTGGGCACGCGCGCAGAGCTTCTCCATTCGAATAGATGGTGAACCACCACCATCGCCGCTGCGGGGAAGATGTGAAATTGCTCGTTTATTAGTCGCAGTTTTATCTTGATTAATGTACACGGCTTAAAGGTGCATTAATGTGCTTTTATACTACACACATAATAATACTTGTCGTTTGCGGCATCCATTCATACATGTACCCACACGTATTTGATAGGTTGCCGCTCTCCCTTTCCTCGCCGTTTCCCACCGTTTTTCAGGCATTCGCACGTACGTCCAGACAAGTTATCTATGAGCAAGCGCGATAATGATGACGATCGACCGTTCGTTGCCTTCGGCCCTTGGGTTTGGTGTATTTTCTTCTTGGTGATGAACAATCAATCGTCAAGCTGGGAGTTGAGGTGAATGTCAGTAACGCTTGCAGACTGGTGGAGGACGAGCCAGCTGCCAACAAGAAAATATATACTCCAAGTGTTCGTATGAAAGTGGCGTTGCTTGTTGAATCGGAGCTGAAAGTTGCTGTGTGCTGATTTTCTTAACTAGTCGGTTGAGCGATGGCAAGCACACCAGTCAACGACAAAAGAGAGTAACAGCTTTCTCTCTCTGTGGTACACAATGTGCTCGCTTTTTTCTCCTGCATGGACACCCGAATAATGGCGGCGTTCGTGTGGATGGTCAACCAAGAACGGGACACAGCAGACTCTATGAACGATGCTTACAACTCATGATGAACACAAGAGCATGTGAGACATCATAATCACCAGTCACAGGGCAGTAGTAGTACAGGCAGATAATGCGCGCAAAGATCAGGTCATGCTGTCAGTTCCTGCGGCGGAAACGATCCGGGGGCTCCGTGATTTGTACCCCCTCCCGATGGGGGGGGGAAAACACACAGCACCAAACCTCTTATTTTTTTTTTTCGTAGCTGGTGTGTGGCCCGTCCCCGCTCTCCATCTCTGGGATCTCTCCGGGTGTGGCTATCTCTCGAGCATCATGGTGAGCCTATTGATGCTGTAGCGTCATCCTGTGCAGGGGAAGAAGTTTCGTGCTACGTGTGAACCTGCGCGTGTGCGTGGTTGCCTGGTTGTGAACCTTGTGTTTTTTGCGGCCCAGCCTGAGCCACGCTTTTTGTCGCGCCTACCTCGAAATTCAAGGGTCTGGGCGACCTTCAGAGCCGAGTCTCTCGTACGCTGCGTTGCCAAGACATGGCTATCCTTGGTCTGCGTTCCCTGTGAGCTGTCAGTTGGCGGTCAGGTCAACGTGCTAGTAGGATGAGGTGTGCAAATCGTTTGAGACGTGTGTTGCTTGCTGTGTATCGATGCGGCGGCTTCGCAGAGGATCAGAGAGCGAGAGACTGCTGCGGGGCTGCAAAAAGCTCCCTGATGAACACAGGGCCATGAGGTCATTGCATGCCGCACGATGGCACACCAGTGCTGTGGTTCACCCATTGTGCTTCACGCTTTTTCATCTTGGGTTGGGTTCAATCTTTTTTGTATGGTGGGACCGGTTACCAGCTGTTCGATTGCTGTTCAAGCTTGCTGGTGCTGGTGTACTTTGACGAGACTGCCTTTGTCGCTTTCACAACGAGCTGTGTTGGTGGTGTACGTACATGTCTGCTGAATGAGCCTGCCCCACCTCATACTCCCGACTGATACAGTTCGTAACCAGCCGAGACCGACAGTTGTGCTCCTGTTGTCGGCATGTCTAGCAAGACTCGAGTAAGTTTAACTCGCCACCCTTCACAAACACAGAGAACTGTAGCAATTGGACTGAAGATACCACCCCCTAGCGCCTGGCGCTGGTTTGCTATCACTTCTACGTATAAGTAGTTCCAAGTTCGGGGAGGAGAGTTTAACCCACCGAAGGAATCCCGGGGAGGTTGGCCACCCTCTCAGATGTTTTCCCGACACTGCAGCCTGTGCGTCAGCCCCTTCCCCTGTTGTTTAGAGTCGGGCCTTGTCAATGGTGATCGCGTGACACAGAACGTTCGTACTGAAATATATAGTTGCGTACAACACCGCACCCTATTTTTGGACCGACGATTGCCCTGCAGCAGAACAGTAACAGCAGTGCCTAAAATGGTGCGTTGGAACCGTATCGTCGAGAGCTCTCCGAAAACGTTGAAAATCGTCCTGGGAGGTGATAGATGCGTCCAAGTGTTGCAGCGTGCGGTGTTGTCGGTCGATCTGGCGGTTTCGGCGAGGCAACGCTTTCTCGGGGGTCCACAACACAGCAACGTGTTCACTGGCTGGGCTGTACGTGGTAGGGCAAGAACGAACATTACACACAAACTTGTTCGTCCTGGCTAGCAGGCGTGCGCATCTCCATCAATTCCCGCCCGCCCCCCGCGTTTCGTGGACGACAACGACGAAATGTACCATTACTTCTGCGGTGCCTGCCCGATAGGGGACCCCTTTTTGCGAGGAAATATTAGTCTACGAAATAGAGAGGGTGTTTTCTTAACCCTAACCTCCATCCCAACCCCTTGCTCCCGACTAAAACCAAGTTTGCTAGCCTCGCGTAGGCTACTGGCCCGTCGTTACCGTTCGGCCCGGAATGCCCAAGTAATTTTTTCGTTTTGTTGTCCCCGCTTGCGTCGTCGGCAGCCTTCTCACAAGACCTTCCGCACCAAGGTCACCTTGGGCAAGAAGATGAAGCAGAACAGGCCCATCCCCCAGTGGATCCGTCTCCGCACGGACAACACCATCCGGTGAGTTTACCATGAATTGACAACAAGCTCGATAGACTTCTTTTGTCTATGGGGAAAAGGTAGGCCTTTGGGGGCTTTGGTGTTGCGAAGAGGAGAATGCAGAGCTTTGCTCAGCGGGACATTGCGATGATGGCATGAGCCTCACCATCGAATGATTATTTGCTGGTTCGCTGTTGTTTATCCTGCTAACTCGCCGCCAGATGTAGCCACATGACGACAGACTAGTGACGCCTACAGGGGGGATAGTCGCGGGTGGATGGGTGATGACTAACGCGTCTTCCAACACGCAACGTGAAACGTGGCTTGTCAAAGCGACCCTGCGTGTAACACTCCGATGCTTGTACCGTTTCACCCGACCGTCCTCCGGCTCAATGCTGTCACTGTTGCTGTTGTTGCTGTCACTACATTTGAGCTTTTGTAACATCTCTCAAGCACCTCCCCTTACCCCATACCATTCAAAGCAAAGAAGGCACGAAAAACACAATCGTAGAATCGGAAAGGATGAGGCCGGTTGTGGCCGTCTCTCCTATGCGTCATGGCTCCCATCATTGTTGCTGCAGCTACTTATCCGTGTTTGATGGCGCTCTTGTCTTGTCGACACATGCCCAGTGAGGCACACCCGCGGTGACACTGCCACCCCATACAGAGCTGATGCAAGTCGCGCAGATGTTAACACGTTAAAATGTCGACGGGACAGCGACCGCGGGCATGTCGATGTTCCATTTTTTTTTTTGTGAGAACCGTTGTCGGTTGTGGCCATAGTTTTCTTCCGCTCACGAAGGAACGTCGACGCATCCGAGCCTTGTGCCGAATGTCTTGGTCCGCAGGTCGGTCCTGTCGAAGGCGTTTTGTTTCTGACGCCATTGTCCCCCCGCCGCTTGCGCTCGTCCACGACTCTTGGTGTTCGCTCGTTTCGTTTTCTTTCTCAGCTACAACGCCAAGCGCCGCCACTGGCGCCGCACGAAGCTCGGCCTGTAGAGCGCTTGTTTTTGGCGCCGCATTCGGGAGGAATGGGGGTGGGGAGCGTGACTGGAGCGGGATGCGTTGGCAGATGAATCGATCGACCTACCGCGGAGCACATCGCAGGAGTTATCTGTCTGACGTTGTTGCAACAATGGCGTCCAGTCGGGGTGTCGCATTTTTGCTTTCTGCGCCCTGTGCTACTCCAAGCAGTACACCTGTTGCCAAGCGCACGGTAGCCCGTGTAAGGTAGCAGGTTGCCCTTGAGAGAGATACGTCGGAAGGTGCTAGTGTCTAGGCTCGTTGTTTTTACCCCCCTTCCCCCTGGAGGGGCTGGCTCCCATACGTTCGTTTTCTGAAAGCGAGTTGAGAGGGGCCAACCACCCATGAAGAAAAGGAGATCCTAAAAACCAAGAAGAAAAAAAGCGGACGAGGAATTCCGTTTTTTTTGTTTGGTGCACGGTTTTGCGCCTTGTGTTTGCGTCAAGCGTGGCTGGCGCTTGTGATGGAAGCGAGTGCGGCGTGTGATCGGGTTGCTTCGATGCGAAGACCTGGACTTTTGTGTTTTTTTTTGCCGGACAACGCGAGATGTGCCCCGAGTCTCTTGCTTCTGGGCGAGGGCGCAGAGAAGGCGGTGCACGAGGAACCACAATGCGCACCGTGGCCACCTCTATCGTCGCTGTGGGTGGCATTTTTCCGCACAACCTGCGCGCAAACCCTTGCTAGTTTAGTTGTTGGAGCATACAGCGCACCAAAATGCCCCGGTGACCATTACGATAAACACGTTTTCGTGTTTCGTGCACCTGGCTTTGAAGCCTTGGGGTTGTTCCCGCCTACAGTAAAGCCCACCAAATAGCCCCATGACCTGTACGACGAACTCGTTTTGGCGTTTTTCGTGCACCTAGCATTCTAGACTTGAGATGGTTTCGCCGTGTCATGGCTCAACAGCCCGTGGTCGGTCCTCAGCTACTGCTGTAGGTGTACGTTCTAAGGAAGGCGTGCGCACAAAACATACTCGCTTGCCCTCCCTGGTTCTTTCCCCTCTAAACACCGGACAGCCAGGCAACATTAGCGGCCGATTTATCAGCATGTTGTCCTCCTCAGTCGGAGTCTTGACGTTTACAGGGTCACTCCTGAAACACATGACCACGCTCGATTGTTTGTCCGTTCTCCAAAGCAGTCATTCAACATCGCATCCGCAGACTTCGAGTCATGTCGCCCTCCTCTCAGCCTCTTGACATGGATGATTCTCTGCCCTTTGTGCGAAACGAACATGAACGCGGCTACTGTAGAACCGGAACTCGAGTCTCGTCTCTCGTTGCGTTTTTGGCACGAGTCAGGTGTGAGCAATGTCACCGTCTTGCTACGCATACCACAACCGCACCTTTCGGGCCCCCACCCATGCTCTATCCAACACACCCGGCGCAGCGGCAACACCCTGAACTGAGAAAATAATATTTACCTGTGGATGACCGGCGTCGAGATGACGCGGCCACTACTGCAGTAGACGAAGTACAAATATACAGAGGAGACACGAATTGAGCGGGGCTATCATGTTGATTTCCTGCTCTGGATAAGAAACCCCGCTCTGGATCCTAATCCTCATTCCAAAGCCACCGGCTGAGGCCAAGAGGGGCGGGAATTGTTGCGAGACTACACCTCCATACCACCGTATACAATGAAAGAAGGCTGATTGCCCACCCGGAAGTGGGCGTCCTGACGACGAGGGTACTCTTACGTCTTTTTACTCGGTGCCGACGGAAAAAATACACGAGAAAAAAAACGAAAACGCGTGCCAGCTCAAACCCACTCTACGTTGATACCACGTACGAGTTTTGTGAAACAACGGATTGTACCCTCCGAAAGCGGGTTTGATCTCTCTTTTCCCCCGGCTAACCGAACGGATTCGCCAAACTGTGCTGTGCGGCTTGGCGCTTGGAAGGCGGCACGATGTCGGCTGGAAGCGAAGCAGGCGGCTTGTTGCCCGCCGCGGCTTGGTGGGCCAGGTACCACGCAACGGCAAACTGTTCCAGCAGAATCCACATGTGCGTGGCCCAAGCGACATGAAACGAAGGTCGGACGTGCGATAGAGAAAAAAAAGAAAAACGGATGGGCGGGCGGAGGTGACAAAGGAGAGCGTTAAATAGGTGAAGACCCTGTGTGTTGTTACAAACAAGATGAAGGAGGAACAGGGACAACGGGTAGCAACATACGAGGGGGAAATTTCAAAACTTCTTGCAGCATCGTGTCCATGTGGAACCAGGGCCGGGAGGGTGATTACTGTTTCGCAGAACCTCGTTGAATCCTCGGCACAGTAGTAGTTCGGATTCGTTGGAGGCACTGCATTTTTCACTCCGCGAGAAACAAAACCGTTGAAACCGAGACGTATTCCTCGCTACGGTAGCACTCGAAAGCGGGAAAGCAAAACGAAAAAACCACACGAGTTTGTTGAGAAAGAACCTCCAAAAAACTGTCCTCTAAGCCGTTGTTGCCTCCCAAAAACTCCCCCAAAAACCCTTCGAGACAAAACAGGCTCCCCAGCAGCAAAAACCGCGCTTCTCGGCGCACCTCGTCGCGGTCCAACATCCCGTCCTGGTCGATGTCCGACAGCGCCCACACGGCCCTCAAGTCCTCCTGCCCGGCCCCGGTCCCCGTCCTCAAGGCCACCGCCGCCTGCTCTCCGGTAAGCTTTCCCGCCGCGCTCGGGCCGGCCATGGCCATCTTGAGGTCGGACGCGTCTCGCGACTCCGGGGGTACCGCCCAGCCGTATCCGGTGGAGTCCGGCTTCGGCGGCAGGGGGCCGGCGGACGGAACTCCGACGCCCTTGGTACCCGCGGCGGGGGGCAAAGCCTCGGCGTAGGCGGCGGCGACCGGTACGCCGGTGGTAGCGGTGGTGGCGGCGGGAGTGGCTACGGCGGTGTGCTGGGCGGAGGCGGCGGTGGGGTCGGACGACGTTACGGGCGCTTCGGGCGGGTAGTACATGGCCGTCTCGAGGAAGTCGTACAGGGGCACGCGGAGGGCCGGGGTGTTGGCGGAGGCCGCCGTGCAGAGGGACTGCAGCCAGGCCTGCAGCATTTGTCTGGAGGTGGGGGGTGGTGCGGCGGGGGGGGGGGGAAACAGAGCCACGGCGAGACACCCAAACCCGCCACCGAGGCC